CTGGAGTCCCCGAATTTTGTCTGGACTATTACCCCTCACTTCCCTTATATTTCCTCATTAACACAGCCAAGTTCATGATTTTTGGGGGGTCAACATCCATTTCGATCACTTAGTGACCTACTATGCTTCAAGGTGACCTGGCCAAGAGCTGATGCCATTGTGACCCTTCCAACTCCGTTGTCACCATCACCATCTGCCGCACAAAGGACTCACGACGTTGGGCTTGCACGGTGACCTGGCGATTTGCCAAGTGGACTAGGATTTTTCCCATCCAAATAAACATTTTAAAAAAACTGTTTCCGCCCTTAGAAACATGCTTTAAGGACAAGAAACGATGGTTCAATTTGTCAAAACATAAAGGTTGAAGCATCAACACTTAACCATCAACAGAGAAGGTGTTCGCTTGAAAAAATTGCGGCTTTGCTGTCAAACACAATAGTTGAACGAATAAAGGACAGTCCCTAATATGGCATTAGAATTCGAGTATTATCCAGAAATGATGGTTGGTTGATGGTGAAGGTGCAAAATCTTTGGTCCGATTGGGATTATCTTTGGTCCGATGGTTTTATCATGCCCCCAGGGACGAAGATGTAGAATTACCTTCTAAATTCATCTAAATTCTACATGTTGGCCTAAAACCGAGATGTTGAACTTGATGTTCAACCGAGTTCAACCACCAAGTTCTTTGCTGACCCAGCAAGATGGGAAGATTCGTTCATAAAACTCCTTTCTGGTCACTGAAAAGTCTTCTTGTCAATGGCCCGAGCTTCAAAAAAATAACCCGAAAAATCTGAGGTAAACCAGTTCCAGTGACAATCTGATTCAAACTGCTCAGCTCTTCCCGAAGGTCGCCCGAAGATTTTGAGCCACGAACTTCCAAAAATTCCACGATCTCAGGTTGCTTGGGAGGCTGCTGGAGCCGGAAGATTTGAAATTCCCACCAAGCTGTCCGAAGGATCGAAATCTCATGTTTCTCGTCTTCCTCAGGTTTCTGCAAATAATCCATGGCTTCCTTGTTGGAGTAGAGTGTCTTGATGATATCCTGCGCTTGCGAAGATTTTCTGCAGATGTCTTCAGCCTTGTTTTCCCTTTGAAACTGTAGATGGTATGGTTGTGCAGAAAGACCAAGAAAAATGCATCAATGGATGGGTTCTTCGATGGAAAAACTGTAGGACACCATATTACTGTAACCCCCAGAGATGGAAAAAAACGGCACAATTTCTTGCCAATTCTGGTTAACCAGCGGATTTACCAGGCCAGTTCTGAACCCACACACACAAAAAAAAACTCAGCAAGCACTTACCTAAATACAAGCAAAAAAAAGACTGTGCAAAAACGAAATGGGCCTCCCAAAAAAGTCCAAGGTTGTATTGTATCTAATTGGTCCCGAAAATTTCACATACGAAAAATGAGTGGTGGCCTATTGTTTTCCACCTCCCAGGTGGCCTTTAGATTTTAACAGACCATCCCACTAGACTCGGCCAGCTGGGGCCCCAAACACTCAGAATGCCAACGGCCGATAACACGGAGATAATGTCAGAATGATTCAGAATGTACGCCAGATATATCAGATATGTTGGAACATGGAAGCAGGAATATCAGAAAGATGTCGTCACCCATCCAGGAACAAATGTCAAATAGAATTTCAAATTTTATGTCAAAAAATATGCCAGAAAAAAACTCAGAATCTATGGCAGGCAGGATGTCAACTTTAGTGTCAGAATCCATGTCAGAAACTATGTCAGAAAGAATGCTGGCATATATGTCGGATAGAATATCCGAATATATGAAAATATATGCTATGTCAGAATATATGCCAGATAGAATGCCAGGTAAAATGCTGATAGAATGGCATTTGGTGGGGATCACTGGTTTCAAGTTGTCGTTTAGTTTTTGTTCAAACATGATTTCCAGTCCTTTTGGATTTCCTCCTTGAAGCGTCTCTTCACGCCTCTGGCCCTGTCAGTTCCGATTTTCTTTTCGCCACCTAAATCGTGGGAGAAAATCTCCACTGAAGCTGGGAAGTGAGTTTACCATGTGGTTTCCATGTGTTTCTTCATTTCTCCCAAGTTCTTGGAACAGTAGTCGGGACATTCGACAATTTCCAGCCCATCCACCTTGAAGGTCATCCAACCAGGAGCCCATTCCCGACTTCTCCAGAATCCTTGGAAGTGCCATCCAAATGGATTCCCCAGTTCTGGTGGATGCAGCTCTAACCCAAATGGATCCATGATCTCCCAAAAAAGGCTATGAAAATCCGAAGAAAGCACTAGAGATAAATGACCATTCTATAACACCATCTAGCCAACAAATCCAAGTCATACTTGGATTGGACTGTTCATATGATTAAAATGGGTTCACCATCTTCTTGCGGGTTTTGACATGCAAAAAACAATCAAACACCACAAAGAAAGTATCAAAAACCATCAAAAGCAATCAAAAACCATCCAAATCCATCCTCCGCTGCCCAAATCCATCAAAAACCACCACAACGGTATCAAACCGTCAAGAAACTCACAGAAGTCCAGTAGTTTGCTGTCCTTAAAGCCAGGATTTTCGGGTATGACTGAGTAACAGGCACCCAAGTGCAGGGAACCCCCAGGGCGCGCGAAGAACGGAGTGCAGAACTGCTTCTCCCCAGCACCCTCCCAGCTGAAATCAAGATCCGGCAAATTGCGACCTGCGAAGTCTTTACGGGTGTCCACCGTGGCCGTTTCCACAGTTCCAACCATTTTGTCGGCCGTAGAGCTTCCTTAACTATCATAAGCAAAACATGTCATCTATTTCTGATTCTTTGGGGATACAAGATCTATGACTGGTATTGCCCCCAGAGCCAATCGCAAATTTTCAGTGCGAAGATGTTGATTTGGGTATACCCTTGGACGAAATCATACAAGATCAACCCTACCTAAAGATAACAAACTTTAGTTCAATCCCACCCCAAACATCCCAAAACATTCAAACAAACATTCAAACAAACATCCAAAAAGAATATCTCCAGAAAACATCCCAAAAACATCTCAAAAACATCAGAAATCGAGCCCAGAACACATGCCCAAAAAAAAACGACTCAAAACAATCCTCGGCCTAAGAGTGCCATGGTATGCTGTCGCGTGAGTCGCCGCCAGGCGTCTTGGGCGGCTTGGAGACGAAGCGGCAAAAGTCCAGAAGTCCATCGGCTTTGGCTTCGCATCTCTCTGGATTCTCCTCAGTTTTGGAAGAAAACGGCGATTTCTTCGCCATGAATAGTCATGAACACCTGGGAGTGAGTGGAGTTAGTATTGTTGTGGATTTAATGATTTAACGATTCCAAATCTGGATTTGATTGCCTGATGATCAATGGATTGAGTTTTAAGGGGATGTTTCCAGGGAACCGCTCCCAAGTACATTACCTTTTTGAAGTAAATTGTCCCTTCAACTGGTTCTGGGATTTAAATGAATATCAAAGAAACACGATGTGGACAATGGATCAAAACCCTCCCAAAAAACATGATGCCAGAGGTTTCGAATGGTTTCGACCCATCTCGACATGATGACATCTTTCTCATAAAATAATAGAATAATATATAGATATGATTCAAGCATGCCCGAAAAAATGAAGATGTTTGACTCCATCAGATGCACAAGACCCGTGTCACATTAGCACCTGGCGATCAAACGCAAACATTAGAGTGAGAAGAAATGCGCAGACATGGCAGCATCACATAATTGAGAGTATGTGGATAGATGAAGAAGAAAGAAATGAAGACATATAAAGATATATGAAGATAAACACTGCCATGTTTTTCATCCCAGATTCGTTCCGTCGAAAGTCATCCTTTTCGTCGTGGGCACAGATGGTTTCTCCGTCAGAGCCGTGAAGGAGGAGGTTGCACGGACCCCACAGGGAAGCTGTTGCGAAGGCCCAGAGCAGTGCCCGAAGTAGCGCTTCGGGACCAACTGAATCTGCTGGGATTCCAAGACTAAGTCTGAACCGTCAGAATCCTCAGGATCCTCAGGCTTCTCCTTCTTGTTCTCCTCGTTCTTCTCCTTCATCTCCTTCTGCTTCTTGTCCTTTTTTTCCTTCTTCTCCTTTTTTCTCTTTTTCTCGACCGCTGAGTCCATGGACGCTTCATCTTCCACGTGTTCATCTTCTTCCTCTGCATCTTCATCTACATAATTTTCTTCATAATTTTCTTCCTCTGTCTCCTCTGTCTCCTCTTCACTCTCTTCCTCCTCTTCACTCTCTTCCTCCTCATCTTCCTCATCTTCTTCCATGGTTTCCATGGCACAACAACGGAGTGCTTTGACTCCGAAACTATTCTAAACTCATCTTCACATGCTGCTCTCACAAAATTAGAGGTGTTGTCATACCTACATTTCCTGCAGTTCAGGGCACAGGAAAAAAATGATTTTGGCCTTTACCCTGCTTTCACGTTCAAAATCTTCGATGCTTGATGGTTTTGACTAAATCCATCAGTAGCCTCATTAAAACATGCCATTTTGGAGGTATACTCTAATTTAAGAAACACCCTCATGATGCTTCAAACCACTTGGAGCCAAGAAAGTGTCATGCAATACCTGAAGATCAACCCTCAGAAGAGACTCCAAGACTGAGGCAAAACTCCCACGAATTATCATCGTTCCATCGCTTCCCCCGCTGAAACCATTCATATTTGGGGGTTGTTCTCCATTTGGTTGTGTGAAACCCGTATTTTTGATGCTCATGTTTGGTTTTCAATCACTTCTTTTCAGGGGCATCTTTTGGGTATCGTTCAGGAAACTATATCCACTTCCAGTTTCTGAACTATACTTAGTTCATCCATGGCATGTTGTTCTGATGGGTTTTGGCGGGAATTATGACGGAATCCAACGTGGAACATCAAACGTCGGCCTCAATCCTATATCAAGTGCGAAGATTGGTTACCATTGCAACCCTCCTTCCAACCAAAAAACAACTTGCCAAACAGGGGAACACAATTTTCATTTACAAAATAAACTGATAATCACCTCTTCTCAAGGTCGAGGTGTGAAGAAAAGAGAATGTGATTTAAGCGATCCCAAAAACTGGTGCCTCCCCAGTTTTGCCGGTTGAAATAATCTAAAAGTCAGTGAATTCGCCATGTTTGGCAAACATCCCTTGGTCACCTGCGGCGCCCGCAGTCAACCGAAGCTTCTTCCAGCGGGTTGTGGCCTGGAAAAACATGGGCGAGTGGTGGGCTTAGGGTCAAAAGAATGGAGGAGAATGGTGGAGAATGCGGCGTTGATATTTTTGGAGCGGGAGTAAGTCTGATTAAGCAGGTGTGTGACTTAATCAGGTGTAATGATGCTTGATGGAGATTCAACGGAGTCTAAATGGGTACCAGTAGTGCCGCACAAGGCGGTGGCGGAAGTTTCAAAGACAGGACACTCTAGGAGAGGTGAGTTGTTGTGATGCATGGATGGCAGAGCGAAACCACCGATGAACCGAAAGGTGGTTGGAGCTGTGTTCTTTGGAGCGGTCGCAATGGTTGCAGTGGTCACCTCACCCACAACTGCTGGATGTAGCGTGGTGTAGCGCAGCTGTAGTTGTAGTTGTACGTGTAGTTGTAGTGGAACCGTAGTTGTAGTGGTAGTGTAGTGTAATTAGTGTAGTGTAGTTGCAGTTGTAGTTGTGGTGTGGTGTAATGAGTGTAGTGTAATGTAATGTAGAGTAGTATAGTGTGCTGTAGTGCTGCGTGCTGTTGTGTAGTGTAAAGTAGTGTAGTTGCAGTCGTAGCTGCAGTTAGTGTAGTTTAGCGTGGTTATAGTTGTAGTTGTAGTTGATGTCTAGTGTAGTGTGGTGTGGTGCGGTGTAGTGTCGTGTAGTGTATGTAGTGTAGTGACGTGTCGTGTAGTGTAGCGTAATGTAGTGTAATGTAATTAGCGTAGTGTAGTGTACTGTAATTAGTGTAGTGTAGTGTAATGTAGTGTAATTGTAGTTGCAGCTGTAGCTGTAGTAGGCATAGTAACTGTAATTGTAGTTGTAGCGTAATTAGCGTAGTGTGCTGTAATGCGTGTAGTGTAGTGAAGTTAGTGTAGTGTAGTGTAATTAACGTACTGTAGCTTAGAATTTTTTCATTTGTAGTTGTAGTTGTAGTGTAGTTGTAGTTGCAGTTGTAGTTTTAGTAGCAGTTGCAGTTGCAGTTGCAGTTGTCTATCTATCTATATCTATCTATCTATCTATCTATCGATCTATCTATCATATCTATCTATCTGTCTATCCATCCATCCATCTATCTATCTATCTGTCTGTCTGTCTGTGTCCAAGCTTGAGAACGAAGCAATTCTACAAGATTTCCTCAGTGTTTTAACTTCACAACATCAAAAATGCAGCAATTCCGCGAGATTTCAATGTTCGAACTTGACAACGTCAATCGCTATAAATGGGCCAATATTCACGTTGGTGAAACTAAAATGCGACCACTATGATGACAAGCATGGCACTCTTGGAGTGTCGAGGGTGCAAAAAGAGACAAGGATGAGGAAACCAACAACAAGAGGAGCAAAGCAGGCAGCCCGAACCCGCACTCCCCCCGCCCAGGAGTGCGGAGACGAGACGGAGACGAGAGGCCACACAAACAAAAAGCACTCATCCCGGTCAAGGAGGAATATGCACAATTGTGTTAAAGCAACTTAATGTGAAACCAGTGCACTCAGAATGGCTGTAGGAGGCATGCAGCGCCCGCATCGGCGTCCAGCAGCGTCCGCAAACAACTACACACTGACACAGCGTGAGGCACAGCAGCAAGGTGCGGAAGAATCCTTAGTAATCCTGAGTGGTTGTCAAGAACGAAGCAATTCTGCGAGACTTCCTCAATGTTCGAAGTTGACAACATCAAAAACGAAGCAATTCCGCGAGACTTCCTTCAAAAATGGAAAGTTGACTGCTGAGCTGACGGCCTAGTACCAATGCGTTTGGCGATGTTTCAACGCCGTCTGTGTAGAGCGCTTCGCCTGCCACGAAAAAGTGATGCCAGGTCATACGAAGTGCTGCACCTGTCACGCAAAATCATATTTGCAAACCTGAAGATCTGATGCTCCAAAATGCAACCCCTCTCAGGAGATCAGCGCCCTGACCTCCTAACATCTCTGATGAACATGTCCTTTGTACCGCCTGCCACGCGGAATGCATCTTTACGGACCGTTTTTGGAAATGCCACAAAACCCTCACGTCATGCTCACCTTTGAAACGGTGCACAATCCCTTGCGCCTGCCAAGCGAAACGACATCTGAACGGCTAAAAGTGGTCCGAGCATGTGGTGTTTTTCACATTTGGACTTGGAAATGTGCTTCGCGCCACAACGGCGTGCACTTTTTCAACATCTCAACTTCCAAAAGTGGTCCGAGCATGGTGTGCGTTGTACATTTTGACTTCGAAATGTGCTTCCCGCCACAACGACGTGCGCTTCTTCATCATCTCGACTTGCAAGAGTGGTCTGAGACCATCAGTTTTTTACACTTTTGACTTCGACATGTGCTTTGCGCCACAACAGCGTGCGCTTGTTCATCATCTCAACTTCCAAAAGTGGTCTGAGGCGGTCAGTTTTTTACACTTTTGACTTCGAAATGTGCTTCGCGCCACAACAGCGTGCAATTTTTCATCTCTCATCTCCCCAGATGCTCCGCGCCCGCTTTAGCCAGCCTACTTTTCGACCCTCCGGAGCCACAAATCATTGGAAAAACACTGTGTTTCGCGACTCTGCTACACCTGCATCTTCTTTCTTCTGACTCTTTCTCTTCTCTGATCTTCATTCTTCTTCTCTTCTCTTCTCTGACTCTTCCCACCTCTGCTTTTCCATCTGTCCATATTGTCGGAAGTTTGACTTCTAAACTTCCTGCGATCAAATAAGGATCCCTGACCAAATCTTGCACCCTCGCCTCACCAATGATGGCGTCCAACATGTATCGCTCTCCGTTGTTGGCCTTGTGGACCGATGCCGGTGGGCGGTTGTGCGTGGCTGAAAATAGCCAGTCGGAATGACTAGTGGAAACATTGGAAACCGATGGAACCAATGGAAACATAACAAATAGAAATTCTGCACGGATGACACCCGTCAGATTTGGTTCAAATAGCGGCTTCTTGATTTGCAGTTTCCACAGGCGCATGATGGCGCATGACCGGATTAGGAACTGCTGCCTGGGAAACCAATACTCGTTCAAAAATGGGTGACCATTTCTGATACAGAAATTGCCGTTTCGGAACAAAGAGGTCGTTCAGTCAAAATCGTGTTTCGAATTCAACTAAATGATTTCGAAAAGGCGCTATAGTTAGCCCCTGTGAAGATTGTGCAGAAAATAGTTCGAAAAGCATGCGTTTTTCGAAATGTCCACTTTCATCCACGCAACATTCAATTCTACCTGTGCAACATCCAATTCTGTGCAACCTCCAATTCTGCGTGTGCAACCTCCGATTTCGTTTGCAACATCCACTTTCAGCCCTTCATGTTTTCTCCGTGAGGCGCATTTGTGATAATTTTTGCGCACCGTCAACATGTTCGAACCGTGATGGATTCAAAACTTATCTCTGCTCAAATCCCGTCAGAACACAGAAAGTTGCCTTTTTTCAGAGGATGTTTCCTCGGAAAGCGCCCGACTCTTGTGAGTCTGCCTGAAGACATCAAAATAAATCATCAGGCACATCGGTGCAAGAGACCTTCAGAAACACGACAAAAGAAAAGAATGTAAAAGATCTAGTGCAAGACTACGAGACAGCGCGCACTTAGCAAACTCAAATTCGATGTTCAGAAATTGATCGGGTCCATTTTCCGATCAGTTTGCACTGTGCGCCTCTTCTTCCTCCCTATCTCAGAGCTTTCCTCGGACTCGAATGTGCCTTCCTCCTGATCAGTGGCGGGAAAACGCAAAAAAATGCAAAAAAGATCTATGTGTTTGAATCGAAACAACTGAAGAACCACTGCAAATCAAGTGCACAAATCTAGTTGCTTGTTTCAACCCCTACCAAAAACCGCACTGGAATGGCTAATACTCATAACGTTTTTTTTCAGCTCAAGTACTGTCTATTGAATTTAAGATATTTAAGGGGATCGGCCTTCGTTAAGAAATGGAAGTCCCCGAAGCAGACCCCGCCCCTGCCGACACCGCCTCGGCGGCGGTGTCCGTGCAAGCGCCCGAGCGCCCAAGCGCTGATTAGGAATTCGTTCCGAATCGGAAGGCTGTCAGAGCGTACTCGTAAATCGAGAAGAAGGCCATAGCTTGTGGAACTGTTCGCATCATCTGCGGCAAGATTCCTGCACAAGTTTCACAGGTCTAAATCGTTGCAAAAGTCGGAAGCACAGATCTGCAGAGATGGCGGCCAAACATGGACTCCATCTGCACAAGGGCCTCTGTAGAAGGCTGGCAGTCCGTTCCGCTGCCACAGTAGTTGAACCGTGCGTGGAGCACTCGTATACCTCGAACCCAAAGGGAAAACTGGCAGATACTGGCAGATACTGGCAGATACTGGCAGATACTGGCAGATACTGGCAGATACTGGCTGATACTGGCTGATACTGGGCTGATACTGGCTGATACTGGCAGATACTGGCAGATACTGGCAGATACTGGCAGATACTTGCTGATACTGGCTGATACTGGCAGATACTGGCAGATACTGGCAGATACTGGCAGATACTGGCAGGTACTGGCAGATACTGGCAGATACTGGCAGATACTGGCAGATACTGGCAGATACTGGCAGATACTGGCAGATACTGGCAGATACTGGCAGATACTGGCTGATACTGGCTGATACTGGCTGATACTGGCAGATACTGGCAGATACTGGCAGATACTGGCAGATACTGGCAGATACTGGCAGATACTGGCAGATACTGGCAGATACTGGCAGATACTGGCAGATACTGGCAGATACTGGCAGATACTGGCAGATACTGGCAGATACTGGCAGATACTGGCAGGTACTGGCAGATACTGGCAGATACTGGCAGATACTGGCAGATACTGGCAGATACTGGCAGATACTGGCAGATACTGGCAGATACTGGCAGATACTGGCAGATACTGGCAGATACTGGCAGATACTGGCAGATACTGGCTGATACTGGCAGATACTGGCAGATACTGGCAGATACTGGCAGATACTGGCAGATACTGGCAGATACTGGCTGATACTGGCAGATACTGGCAGATACTGGCAGATACTGGCAGATACTGGCAGATACTGGCAGATACTGGCAGATACTGGCAGATACTGGCAGATACTGGCAGATACTGGCAGATACTGGCAGATACTGGCAGATACTGGCAGATACTGGCAGATACTGGCAGATACTGGCAGATACTGGCTGATACTGGCAGATACTGGCTGATACTGGCAGATACTGGCAGATACTGGCAGATACTGGCAGATACTGGCAGATACTGGCAGATACTGGCAGATACTGGCTGATACTGGCTGATACTGGCAGATACTGGCAGATACTGGCAGATACTGGCAGATACTGGCAGATACTGGCAGATACTGGCAGATACTGGCTGATACTGGCTGATACTGGCTGATACTGGCTGATACTGGCAGATACTGGCAGATACTGGCAGATACTGGCAGATACTGGCAGATACTGGCTGATACTGGCTGATACTGGCTGATACTGGCAGATACTGGCAGATACTGGCAGATACTGGCAGATACTGGCAGATACTGGCAGATACTGGCAGATACTGGCTGATACTGGCTGATACTGGCTGATACTGGCTGATACTGGCTGATACTGGCTGGCAGATACTGGCACATACTGGCAGATACTGGCAGATACTGGCAGATACTGGCAGATACTGGCAGATACTGGCAGATACTGGCAGATACTGGCAGATACTGGCAGATACTGGCAGATACTGGCAGATACTGGCAGATACTGGCAGATACTGGCAGATACTGGCAGGTACTGGCAGGTACTGGCAGGTACTGGCAGCTACTGGCAGCTACTGGCAGCTACTGGCAGCTACTGGCAGCTACTGGCAGATACTGGCAGATACTGGCAGATACTGGCAGATACTGGCAGATACTGGCAGATACTGGCAGATACTGGCAGATACTGGCAGATACTGGCACATACTGGCAGATACTGGCAGATACTGGCAGATACTGGCAGATACTGGCAGATACTGGCAGATACTGGCAGATACTGGCAGATACTGGCAGATACTGGCTGATACTGGCTGATACTGGCTGATACTGGCTGATACTGGCAGATACTGGCAGATACTGGCAGATACTGGCAGATACTGGCAGATACTGGCAGATACTGGCAGATACTGGCAGATACTGGCAGATACTGGCAGATACTGGCAGATACTGGCAGATACTGGCAGATACTGGCTGATACTGGCTGATACTGGCTGATACTGGCTGATACTGGCTGATACTGGCTGATACTGGCAGATACTGGCAGATACTGGCAGATACTGGCAGATACTGGCTGATACTGGTAGATACTGGCTGATACTGGCTGATACTGGCTGATACTGGCTGATACTGGCAGATACTGGCAGATACTGGCAGATACTGGCAGATACTGGCTGATACTGGCTGATACTGGCTGATACTGGCTGATACTGGCAGATACTGGCAGATACTGGCAGATACTGGCAGATACTGGCAGATACTGGCAGATACTGGCTGATACTGGCTGATACTGGCTGATACTGGCAGATACTGGCAGATACTGGCAGATACTGGCAGATACTGGCAGATACTGGCAGATACTGGCAGATACTGGCAGATACTGGAAGATACTGGGAGATACTGGAAGATACTGGAAGATACTGGAAGATACTGGAAGATACTGGAAGATACTGGAAGATACTGGCAGATACTGGAAGATACTGGAAGATACTGGCAGATACTGGAAGATACTGGAAGATACTGGAAGATACTGGAAGATACTGGCAGATACTGGAAGATACTGGCAGATACTGGCAGATACTGGAAGATACTGGAAGATACTGGAAGATACTGGAAGATACTGGAAGATACTGGAAGATACTGGCAGATACTGGCAGATACTGGAAGATACTGGAAGATACTGGCAGATACTGGAAGATACTGGAAGATACTGGCAGGTACTGGCAGATACTGGAAGATACTGGAAGATACTGGCAGATACTGGAAGATACTGGAAGATACTGGAAGACACTGGAAGACACTGGAAGATACTGGAAGATACTGGCTGATACTGGCAGATACTGGCAGATACTGGCAGATACTGGCAGATACTGGCAGATCCTGGCAGATCCTGGCAGATACTGGCAGATACTGGCAGATACTGGCAGATACTGGCAGATACTGGCAGATACTGGCAGATACTGGCAGATACTGGCAGATACTGGCAGATACTGGCAGATACTGGCAGATACTGGCAGATACTGGCAGATACTGGAAGATACTGGAAGATACTGGAAGATACTGGAAGATACTGGAAGATACTGGAAGATACTGGAAGATACTGGAAGATACTGGAAGATACTGGAAGATACTGGAAGATACTGGCAGATACTGGCAGATACTGGAAGATACTGGAAGATACTGGCAGATACTGGAAGATACTGGAAGATACTGGAAGATACTGGAAGATACTGGAAGATACTGGAAGATACTGGAAGATACTGGAAGATACTGGCAGATACTGGAAGATACTGGAAGATACTGGAAGATACTGGAAGATACTGGAAGATACTGGAAGATACTGGAAGATACTGGAAGATACTGGAAGATACTGGAAGATACTGGAAGATACTGGCAGATACTGGCAGATACTGGCAGATACTGGAAGATACTGGCAGATACTGGCAGGTACTGGAAGATACTGGAAGATACTGGAAGATACTGGAAGATACTGGCAGATACTGGAAGATACTGGAAGATACTGGAAGATACTGGCAGATACTGGCAGATACTGGAAGATACTGGAAGATACTGGCAGATACTGGAAGATACTGGAAGATACTGGAAGATACTGGAAGATACTGGAAGATACTGGCAGATACTGGCAGATACTGGAAGATACTGGAAGATACTGGAAGATACTGGAAGATACTGGAAGATACTGGAAGATACTGGAAGATACTGGCAGATACGGGCAGATACGGGCAGATACTGGAAGATACTGGAAGATACTGGCAGATACTGGCAGATACTGGAAGATACTGGCAGATACTGGCAGATACTGGCAGATACTGGCAGATACTGGCAGATACTGGCAGATACTGGCAGATACTGGCAGATACTGGCAGATACTGGCAGATACTTGCAGATACTGGCAGATACTGGCAGATACTGGCTGATACTGGAAGATACTGGCAGATACTGGCAGATACTGGAAGATACTGGCAGATACTGGCAGATACTGGAAGATACTGGAAGATACTGGAAGATACTGGCAGATACTGGAAGATACTGGAAGATACTGGCAGATACGGGCAGATACTGGAAGATACTGGAAGATACTGGAAGATACTGGAAGATACTGGAAGATACTGGAAGATACTGGAAGATACTGGAAGATACTGGAAGATATTGGAAGATACTGGAAGATACTGGAAGATACTGGAAGATACTGGAAGATACTGGAAGATACTGGAAGATACTGGCAGATACTGGCAGATACTGGAAGATACTGGAAGATACTGGAAGATACTGGAAGATACTGGAAGATACTGGAAGATACTGGCAGATACTGGCAGATACTGGCAGATACTGGAAGATACTGGCAGATACTGGAAGATACTGGAAGATACTGGAAGATACTGGAAGATACTGGCAGATACTGGAAGATACTGGAAGATACTGGAAGATACTGAAGATACTGGCGATACGGAAGATACTGGAAGAATCCTGGAAGATACTGGAAGATAAGATACTGCAGATACTGGCAGATACTGGAAGATACTGGAAGATACTGGAAGATACTGGCAGATACTGGAAGATACTGGAAGATACTGGAAGATACTGGAAGATACTGGCAGATACTGGCAGATACTGGAAGATACTGGAAGATACTGGCAGATACTGGAAGATACTGGAAGATACTGGAAGATACTGGAAGATACTGGAAGATACTGGAAGATACTGGAAGATACTGGAAGATACTGGGATACTGGCAGATACTGGCAGATAAGATACTGGCAGATACTGGAAGATACTGGAAGATACTGGAAGATACTGGAAGATACTGGAAGATACTGGCTGATACTGGCAGATACTGGCAGATAGTGGCAGATACTGGCAGATCCTGGCAGGAGTGGAAGAAATCAAAATTCTGAATCAATGAAACTCAACCAGGTCGCTCAAACGGGCCATTTGTTGGTCGTTGTTGCATCACTGATCGCACCACTTGGAGAGGATACGTGGCCTTTGTATTTCATCTGCCAAACCAATTGAAACGGATGAGATCTGCCAAAGGTTTCGCAGGAAAATGCGAGAAAAAAACACAAGAAACCCTCTGTAAGCACAAAAAGCTCTCAGTTTCGACAGTTGCAAAGACAGATAAAGACAGGATTGTCACGCATTGTCTGGCTTCGTTCCGTGCTTGATTTGAAGAAATTCAAAAGGACGCCTTTCCAGTCTGAATCCTTACCCTTTTTGGCATCCAAGAACGTAGTGACGTGGTTCCTTCATGTATGAGTCTTGCTGTCTGATCCATTCTGATTGGTTCCAAGCATCCACCGACGCGAAGATCTTTGCACAACAGGATGCCGCAAGCACTGAATCGAAGCGTGTCTTGAAACGGTCCTGAGAATCTACCAAAACTGGTGTAAGAATATGTAAGAGTGATTCAAGACAGTACTATTCTTGTACATACAGTACAGTATGCAAGCTCATTGAAAACATTTGAAAACTATTCATCTATCTTCATCTGTCTTCCGTGGATTTCTTCGAGGCTCATATGCTACCAGAAGGATGGCCCCATGTGAGCACAGCATCAGCGATGGCATGAAGCCCCGATAGAAACCTGCTCACCGACCAAAAATCACGTGCAAAAATGAAAAAAAAGAAAATCATCATCTCGACAAACATTACTGGCTTCTGTAAAGGACACTGGATTCTCAGCGCTTGATAGCTTTTTGTGAATCAGTGTCCTTTCGGATGTGTTTATCTACCAGTGAGGCCAGGGCTATGAATATATCCTCTTCACTGAAATTGACAGGATCCAAGCTTTATTTTGAAAGCCATTCCCACCAGTCTATGTGGGCAGTTGTGTGCAAATGCATGCGATCTAATATGAAATGTACTTGGTATCTGTGGTCCAAGACGTTATTTTAACGCAAGGCTTGAAAGGTTCAGGAAGCCGCTGAAGCCCTGGAATTCACGCTCTGAACTCGCTCAAAGCAGATCCGACCCGGCACCTGGCAGGCCTTCTTCAGATGCGATGGTCGTAACCTCAGGCGATGCAGTGCCAGAGTGCACCGCTTTCTCAAAACAAAGGGCACTGAAACAGCACAGAACAGCACATAACAACACCAACGCCCAGCTCTCATGCTGGCATCACCTTGGGTTGTGGCAGCATGGAAGATTCCCTGGTAGACCTTTCCTTGTCCACGTTGCAATTGAAAACCTCGTGTGCAAAATGTGCGAGAAGCCCCGGTGTCAGGCCGTGTCGAAAATCTGCCGCTGAGCCAAGCAGCGTGTCTTGATCAAGAAGATCGGATGTACCACCTGCGGCTTTCAACGTAACATTGACCACCAGGGACCCACTCAGCACCAATCTTCCACAACCTCTATCAACCATTATCAACCTCTCATTTCTTGTTATTTGGTGTGTTTCTGTGCAAGTGCAGTGACTTACATTGTGACTCTGGGGTGTGCGGCAGCATCAACGAAGGCTAGATTGCAGTGCTCCATGCTCCGCAAAATCCCAATTCGCTCAATTTGATTTGATTCGATTTGACTTAATCTAATTTAACTTGACTCCTTTGACTCGGAATTTTCGCCAAGATGTGCCAAGCCACCATGTTTGTTACCATTCCAGCTGCTAAAGAGCACGCACTATCTTTGGCCGTTTGGGCACTGGTCTCCTGTACCCCAAAAAGGGCTTAGGGAAAGCAGGGACAGCAGAACCCTGGCACGAAGGAAACATAGAATTGAACAACGGCAATGATCCAATCCACAGGAAACTTGAATTTTTGAAGAGCTGAGATGTTGCGAAGACACGGCTTTGAGGGCCACGCTGAATCATTGGCAAAAATGCTCGAAACTCTCAACACTGGTCACTGGCCTCTCCATATGCCATCGTTTTGAACAGCTGGTAGAGCGGCATCTGAACGCCCCATGCAATCGTGGAGCCAGCCACATTTGGCAAGACACCTGGGGAGAATGTCATCAGCTTTGCCGAGCCCCACCAAAACTCTTGATGTGTCCCAACTCATTCACAATTACCTAATCATCCTGGATCACAAGTGTAAATCGATCAACAACAAATCACACGTCGCGAAAATGTTCTTGGAAGCCCAACCCCTGAAGAATCCGCGAAGACCTTCCGACTGCCATGTTGAGGAGACTGCTTGTCGCAGTGATCCGTAGGCATGCACAGACCCAACAGTCCCATCACGCACTTGCATGCCTCAGAAAGGTGATGCCATCGAGAGAACACTGCACAGCTGCACAGCTACACATGTGGATCAGGAGTGGTTGCCATCCCCCAAGGTGAGGACGATGGAACATTAGGGTGAGGTGTTTAGTTTTGAACTCCAGAATCTCAACAAAAAAGGCACTGAAATTTCCGAAATGATCCAAACTGTTCACTGTCTCTCTGGATCCATCTGCCGTTTTGCACAAGATACGTGTCTTCAACACATCCAGAGGATGCCAAAACGCTGTCTGCGCAGCGCCAGCGAATGATCCTGCCAAGGAATGAACCTGAGTCATTCGTCGGAATTCTGCTACCTGCGCCACCTACAGCAAGCATATATAGACTATAATATATATATATATATGCATATAATATATTAATATCAGTTAATATCTATTGTGAATACATTAATATTCATTTATATTACAGTATTACAGTATATATAGAATTTACGAGTATGATCCCAGAATATCGCCAGAATGCAGGGGAAGGACTGGAGGACGAAATGGGACGAAGTGAATCGAAGTGAAGTGCATACTAAGTGCGTTCAAAAAAATGCAGTCAAGCGACGCCTGGAGAGGCTGAGCTTTTCTCACTCATTTCTAAATATGGTACTGGCAACGTCAAGTCATCCAAAACGTGCCAGCTTAGCTGCTGGAGGCATTTCAGACAGTTGCACTATGTCAACTTTGCATTTGCTTCTGTTTCTGGAATTCATTGGTGGCTGATAATTTTCCAACGAATCCTGCATCAAAGAAGGTTCCAATGATGGTCCTGATTCTGTCTCTGGTGAAAGCTTGCTTGATGCACTCGATGTGCTGTTGATTTGCGAACCCTGCAAAAGGTGCAAATGTGTTTTCGGGAATTCCCTTTTTGCTAGTGAGAGCTCTTCTAGCTTCTGAGTTGAAGACATCCCTCGCAATTCCGCTGATTCCAATGTCAAAAGTCAAGAGCAAGGTCTCAAGTGACGGCAAGTGACAGCATTCAAAAAGCGCAAACTTGTGGCCAGAAGTGTGTTTGTGGAAACATGTGGAAACTCTCGAAAGATGTTGCAACGCTCCAACTTTTGCTACAACTCGTTGCCACCAGTGGCAGTGCCGCCATCTTTGTCGTCTTTCTCATAATCAACTGTGGTGTCAGTGGCAGTATGCAGTCGGAGAAGGAGTTGCGCGGCAAAGGCATCGTTGCGCCGCCGTGCCACATCAACGACCTTGAAACGTGAAGAACATATGAGAAACATTGAGAAACCACGTGAAAAGTGTCCGTGATAGGAACGTGGACGCCACTGAGGAGACTGACACATTGAGATCAATGAAACGATGGAAACTTTGCATACAATTTTGCCATATTTTGCCCTTATGCATCCTTAATCATCCTTATGCAAAGTCGTCTTGTCTGACAATCAGACTCTGCTGTCAGTTTGGAGAGCTGAGCCAGTCACTGAAAAGTTCTTCCCATCACTATGAAATTCTACGGTAGCAGCTGCCCCAAATTCCAACAGTTTGGTGCTGATTAGCAAGGCTTTCTCCTGGCATTTGGCACCCTGATCAGTCCGTGACATGCAACAGCACCCCACTGTAAAACAAGCAACGGCAGGAAGGACTTAAATAACAACACGCAATAACACATAACGACAATCAACGACAGTTGACGACAATTAACGACATGTAAATGTACCACGCCATAGTGCAACAGGTGCAACAGGTGCGTCTGGAAAACTTTGGAGCTGTCTGGGCAACGTCCATGCTGTCCTCATCTTGGACGCAACACGCTGCCAACCCTAGAGGTGTGATCGAAGGTTTCCCTTCTTCTGGCCGGCTGCGGAGGTTCACCTCTCGCCCAAACATCGGCTGTGGCTGTATCAAGGCTGCATATGCTGCATGCTCAATATGCTCAATGGAATTCACGTTTTTCTCCGTTTCCAGTGTTTCCCTTGTGACAATCATCTGCATTTGATGATTTTGACTGTGAAAACATCTCCACCTCAGCCCCTTGATGAAGTAGCATCGTCAGCCGCAGCGAGTCGCTTTGAAGCGCGCGGCGGTGCAAAGCCCCCAATCCCTTGGAATCCAAAGCATCCTGCGAGATCAGAGCATGACTGGGTCAAAAGGTACCCTAGTGAATACCAGCAGTAATGGATGTGCACTTCTTTCTTGTGGAATAGGCTTTGATCGATCTCCGCGTGTTTTCTTGTTGTACAAATCATGTGTTCCAAGGCTTGAGGAGCTGCCAGTTTGCAAGGTTGTTCAAAGCCTCCTACAGAAGTGAGTCAGACAGCAGCTAGCTGTTCAGGCTGAAGTATGCTGTACTTCCCAACCAATCACAACCCAAGTGATATGCGGTCCGTGCAGAAAACCCAAATCTCTGAATGTCAGCAATCCCATAATTAATTGCCTTAAGTAGTTTCAAGATGTTTCAAGACGTCCTTGTCAGCATAAATCACTTCCGGTTTTCTAGGAAAGTTCTCCGGCAGCGCAGATGCTTGTCCCGTCACGTCCGACCAAAGCAGGTTCTGATTTTCAAAGGCCGACCTGCGAAACAACATGAAACAACACTGGACAAAGAACGGGAGATGACGGAGATGACTAACTAGTGTTCAGGTGTTTCCATGACTAGTTTCCTCCACTTGGAAAGGCGTCTCGGCGTCTCTGTCCTCACTTTCATACAGAACGTGGCTTCAGCTCAGAAGGTTGGTCAAACCTTGTAGTGTTTCCACACCAAGACTAAATTCCGCACAAAGTGGTTCTCTATTTCTATCTATTTCTCCATGTTTGACCGTCTTTGACACATCTAGCAGCAAAGGCTTTTTACATGAGACCATCTTGCTAAGCAACCATTCCGTCCCTGCCTGTATGTTTCAGTACGGACCTCTAACAAATCCTCATTGGGATTAAAGAGACCAATGCTGAGGACAACCACCTGAGAGTGCCACAAGCGGTGCCAGTGCTGCATGGAGCTGAAGTTCGTTGTGGTACAAGGCATTGCGGCTTTGCTTTTACATCTTTTACGATCTGTGATGTTCTGTGGTACGTGTGAAAGAAAAACATGTGAGAACATGTCCGTTCAGTGTTCATTCTGCTCCTTGATCTTTTTACACTTGGCTAAGGGAACCGGTCCTGGGTGTGTTTGCCCCTGAGATATTCCAGAAAACCTAGGGGCCCTCATTTTTGAATGTGAAAGATTGGGACGGTGGTTTCTTATGGTTTCTTGTTGCAATGATTTGATCACACTGATCACATGTGTTTCCATTCTGCTGTCCAAATAAATCCCGAGTGGATGTGTCCAGGATTGTCCAGGCACCATCTGAGCTGTCTTAGCATCAACATCTGTTGGTAGAGCATGTAAAATATGGAAGCGCCCCCCAGGGACATAGACCAACGAGCCGGCATTCAGCACCTCCAACGTTGCGATCGGCACAAGACATTAAAGGCATTTAAAAAAAACAGTTTGAACGTCTTGTTTAAACATTAGAAAATATTACAAACATAATCAAACTATGTTTATGCTATGCTTGAGGGGGCTTGCACATCTGCAAAGTATGGTAAGATATGATATGATACTGTACGATTTGATGCTACAGCATAGGATACAATGAATACCAGTGTATCTATTGTTGTATTTTGCATGATTGTTTACATAGTATATGTAGAGCAGTAGGCCAGTAAGCACCGGTGATACATAATGATTCGCATCTTAGGTGTTCGTTGTTGATGGCATCGGCCTTGTCTAGAGTGACTTTGCTTCCAGGGTAGCGCCCAGCGACTCGTACCCGCTTCGTGCCCTTCAGAACATAAATGAGGGCATCTACGGTGTCCTGGACGAAAGCCGAAAGCTCCATTGAGTGATCCATGCGCACTGTCAACACCTTCAATGGCATCTTCATAGTCATAATATCTCAAAATATCTCATACATAGATTCACCATGATTCACCATAGTCGTAATTTGGAAATCATTTCCCACAAGTTACGTCCATGGACATATGTGGCACTGCGCTGCCGAAGCTCCATGTGCCAACCATAGGATCCGACTTTCCGACGCCCTACTCGTGTTGCGTACATGTCCACAGATCCTGCCTTGGAGAGTCGGAGCTTACGAAATCACAAGTTGAATCCGAAATCCGAAATCAACTGAAAAAGTCAGCTGCAAAGATCTGCTAAGTAGCATTAAGTAGCTTACGAAAAAGTCTCCGAAAGTCGAAAGAGTTCGGAAGAGTTCGAAAGTCATCTGTGAAGTGTTAAGATTGTTAAGTCGGTAACGCCTGAAAGCTCAAATTTCACCAAGGCTCAACACCTAAATGGGTGAACAGCTGCGGAAGCCAGTCTCGCACGATATCCAGACCTTACTTTTTTGCAAATGTCATGTGCACCGGGTTCAGAAGCACAAAAGTGCAAGTTTCGAAGCTCAGCGAAATTGTCCGCAGCTAGCTGCCCATGTTCAGGTTTGAATGCGAAGGGACTCAAACTAACTCCAAGTCACGATTCATCTGCTCAACCGCAAATGCGCGCCCTGGTGGTACGTGCATGATCGTCCAGAAGCCTCAAGATCTCCAGGCAAGATCTGCACAAGATCTGCTTAGTCGGCTTACATCCGATTCTTCCATCCATCTGCCGACGGATTCCAACAGATTCCGACGAGTCACGTGCAGTGGCAACCTCTGGCTGCCTCTTTGCTCCGTCGGGCGCTGTTTGGTTGTAAGGCGGCCTGAGATGAGCCAAGGAATCCTATGAGCTCAACCGTCTTCATGGATAATATGAATAATATATATTATATTATATATGAACAATGATTTTACTCTTTTTTTGCTTCGCACAAGCCGCAGCTGCAGCTGAGTGCAGAATCCAACTGTTAGCTATCTGCTTTGCAGAATGAAACTGAACTTGTGAACCTTGCAGCACCATGACACCATGATATGTTTTTGTTTTTTTGTCTGAATCACGCAAACAAAAAAAAACATAACCGTCCATGATTTCATCATTTTTATCTTTGCTTATCTTTATAATAAACAATAATATACAATTGTATATCACTATCATAAATCAACATAAATCATCCAAACTTTGGGCTTGGCGTCGCTGTCTTAGCCTAGGCACGAAGCCAAGCTCCACAGGAAATCTTCTCGGTCGACATCTTTCAGCGGATGAGGATTCAACACCTACCGGTGGAAATTGAACAGTAACATCAGATAACATCACTGGCCGGCCCATTCAAAATCAAACAGAATCAAGGAATCTCAAATTCATGATGATTCAGCTTTATTCATACTCAGATTCTCTTGAACTGTCTTGAAATATTGAAACATATTGAAAACTATTGGATCTGATCATGTTGTCCGTTTCTCAAAAACTTGTCTTCAACCGGTCAGTTCCTGGCCAAAACCTGGCCTTGAAGGTGAGCTCTGCAAACGCATCTTGGCGATCCAAAGCCCACGCCTGGCGAGTTCAAGAAACCTCCTAAAACCTCCATCTTGTAATGATAGTGTAATGATAGTGTAATGATAGTGTAATGATAGTGTAATGATAGTGTAATGATAGTGTAATGATAGTGTAATGATAATGACTATGTAGTATATATGTAGTGAATTGCAGTATTGTGGCTGGGTAATTGTGAAACTGCCATGGACATCAGCATCGGCACACATGCAGTGGCCTCCCAAGGCTGATTGTCAATGACTTTCAAGTGAACGTTTTCACAGGCCCAAGCGCGATGTCGCTCCTCGCGCAAGAGCCTGCGGCAGAGGCTGAAAGCTGTTTGTATCTGTTTGTATACTGCTATTTCGGCAGCCCTGATTCAAGAGATGTTGAGAGTATGCTTTCCGGAGCGCACGCCACGGGCTGAAGGCTTGATCTACAGTGAAACTCTCATCTTTTTTAAACTCAGGCTAGCCAGCACAGATGTGGCCAAGCTCTTCTGTTCGAAGAAAAAATCCTCCAATGTGAAGCAACCCAGAACAGCCGAAATGAGTCGGAATATCAGTCAGCCGATGGCATTGGCCAATCAACGCCATTCAAACCTGGGACGCTTTTCAAGGCTTCTTGCACGAGCTCATCTGGGTAGTCAAAATCTTCCAGCTGGCCTTCGCTCCACTTTTGCCAAGCTGCCATATCGAAATGGCCATGGCCACACATATTAAACAAAATTGAACGTGGCTCGCCCTTTGAGGCTGCATCTTTCGCCTCAGCAAGTGCACCTTCGATGGCATGGGTCGCTTCTGGAGCAGGAAGGATGCCCTCAGATTGAAAGAAAGAGGCCCCTGCTTGAAATGCAGCGCTCTGTGGTACCGCTCGAGCTTCCAATTCTCCAAGTTCTTTCAAGTGCGAAATCAGAGGTGCCATCGCATGATATCTGAGACCTCCTGAATGCACTTTGGGAGGAATGAAAGCTGCTCCTAGAGTATGTGCTTTGATTAAAGGAGTCATTTGAGCAGTGTCACCGAAATCGTAAGCATAGACCCCCTTTGTCAAAGAAGGGCAAGCTGCTGGCTCAACAGCAACAAAGCGAATCTTGTTTCGCTCTCCTCTGAGTTTCTGACCTAGAAACGGAAACGTGATTCCAGCAAAGTTGGATCCGCCGCCTGTGCATCCCACGACCACATCGGGGGACTCTCCAGAAATTTCCATTTGTTCGATAGCTTCCAGTCCAATCACAGTTTGGTGCATGAGGACATGGGACAAAACTGAACCAAGTGCATACTTGGCGGTCCCACCAGATGTGACGCATGCTTCAATCGCTTCCGAAATGGCAATCCCGAGGGATCCGGGACACGCTGGATCTTCCTGTAGGACCTTTGCTCCATATTGGGTCCGATGCGATGGCGATGGATAGATCTGGGCCCCACAGGTCTCAATGAAGGCCTTCAGGTAGGGCTTCTGTTCATAGGACACTTTCACCTGGTAGACTTCAACTGGCAAATCGAATTGTGCTCCTGAGAATGCAAGGGCACTTCCCCACTGTCCAGCTCCAGTTTCAGTGGTGACCTTTTTGGTTCCCGCTTCTTTGTTGTAAAAGATCTGAGCCACGGCTGTGTTGGTCTTGTGGGACCCAGATGGAGAGCCTCCTTCGTATTTGTAGAAAATCTTCACATCCTGCGGCAGCTTCAATGCTTTCTCCCAGCGACTGGCGCGGAACAAGGGTGAAGGTCGCCACAACTCCAACACTTCTCGGACGGGCTCTGGGATATCGATATATCTCTCGGTACTTATTTCCTGTTGAATCAAAGACATGGGAAACAAAGGGGCAAAGTCATCAGGCAGACATGGACGCAGTTCTCCGGGATGCAAAGGAGGTGGCAGAGGCACCTTGAGATCTGCCTGGATGTTGTACCATGCTTTGGGCACTTTCACAGAATCACAGGCAATCGCTGCAAAAGCTCGCCGCGCAGCAGCGTTCGGACGAAGAACATGATGCATCACATGCATCACTTTCATCCTCAACGATTGTTTAAAAAAACTCTAGGCAGTAGTCTAGCACTCTGGTCTTCCAGGAATGTCATGTACAATTCATGGGTGATTGATTTTGAATAGCTTTTTCTACTCTAGGAACACTTTTGGCACATTGGACACTTCCACTTCACTAAGCCACTACACCAGATAGTTTGGAAATGGATTCTTTTTAATCTCACTTGCTTGTTTTATAAAAATCACCGAAACTGTTGGTGTCATTTGGTGTCTGAAAATGTCTTCATTTGCGGGTTCAATTGGCGACTCAGGAGTGCTCACCTCTTTCCGGGCCAAGGGACCGCACATACAACCAAGGGACGGCAAACATCCGAGGGACACTCTATGTTGTTCATATAAACGCATGTAAAATAATGTAAATGGTCATAGATATGTTCATTATCTATGTGTACAATATAAATATGATAGATATGTGTATATATATATAATTTATATATGATATATATATATACAGATTAAATGTAGTCTATTTGCATCTACTAGCTGTATGGCTGTATTCCTTTGGATTTGGTCTAGACATCTCAAATGACTGTCAACTGCAACAGACACAGCCTTCCGAACTACCTGACAGAACCTAAGCTGAAAAGAAATGCAGGCGCCAATCCGCTTCAATCTTCAGCCTTCGAAGGCGTTCTGTACTACAGGATGACGAGTGCGCAACTATGGCTATCGCTGCAAATGTGCTGAAGCGCAGCATGGCAGCGATGGCAAGCAGCAAGTTATTGAATGTCAATTGAATGTCAATTGAATGTCAGCTGTTTGAGTTCTGAGTTTGACTCAATCTCCAAGACTTGGCCAACACTCTAAGTCAAGTCTACATGCCCGAGGGAAAATGATTTTAAAAAAATGTAAAGTAAGATGCAATCTCTAGCTAATCGAAGTCGGGGAGTTGGGGAGGAGTTGTTTTTGGATGCATTTTCTTCAACGCTGAACGGAGCTGCACATCTTGTCGAATTGGCATATTTGGCCATTGCCCAGCAACGCACTGGGTCCATGTGCTTGTGATTTCGAGGCTTCGTCATGAAAATCAAAGGTTCACCATCCCATGCCACTATAAAAATCTGTGAAACTAAAACTGCTAGCTGCCACCGCACATGCTGCTCCCTCCTTTTTCCCACATCTGCTTAGACGTTTCTAAAGCTTAGACCAAACTGGGGACATTTCAACAAATCCTTTCACTGATTGGAAAGACTGCATCCTGGGTCATGCTGTACAATCCATCGCCAGGTCAGATTAATGCGAGGCTCCTTAAAGTGTGACATCTAGGAGGTACATGGAGGTACTCTCAATCATTCTCCACGCTTTCACTCCAATGCCGTTCTGCTTTGACATGGTTCTGGACATGGCTGTCATGAATTTCTTCTGAAAACATCTGGAAAAAAAACTAGTCAATGTTGTAACGTGGTGTAACGTGGTGTAACGTGTTGTAACTGTCTCTGCGTTTCAAGTGTTTTGATGTGTTTTCCATTGAGTTGAGGCGTTCACGGTTACATCCTCCTCTGGAGGGACACGGTGCCTGTAATGCTTTTGACCTCGTGAATGACTTGCTCGCCTCAATTCGCCTCTCAACTGACTTCTGTGGCTTCAAATTCTGAGATTGCCACAGAGGCCTTCCATGGTGCAAAGATCTCCATCCTGAAAGACCCTAATCTTTGTGAGGAAATTGAAGCAAAGGCAAGAACTGCATATAATCATTATATTCAATAGAAGTCGAGCTCAAGGTTCAGTCCTCTAAATACAGCAGTGTCTCTTCAAAAGGGTCATCTTTGGGCCGAAGTTGGAAAGACCTCCAGAGGGTTGGGGGATCACTTAGAACAAAAGGATTGGGATCACTCAGAACCACAGGATCACTTAGAACCAAAAAGCATCACTTAGAAACACACAAATAGGATCAGCAGAACCACCAGTCCGGATGTTGATGGTTGAGGCTGCTATAACCAGCATGGTGGAATGAGACCTTTAGGGTAACACTTGGGGACACGGGGCTGGGACATGGGGTGGGTTTAGGGGACAATTGGGGACAACTCCTTCCGGACCTTTTTATTCTGAGGCAACTCATCCATCAGACATATTCAGGCTATTTCTTGGAGAATACCTGCTGATTTAAATCATTCAAACTGCTAAGACGCGCCGAAAATAGTAGGAGAGATCTCAGAGGTCCAAGGTAGCCATTTCCTTCGAATTTCCATCAGGTTGTGTCTAGTTGGATGCCGTGAAAACCTCGGCACTAGATTTACACTAGATTTACTGTGTTTTTCTTGATAAAGTTCCAACATCCGGAGAAAAAAACATGTCTTCTCAAGTGCATCCTTGTTTTTATGTGTAATTATGTACCTATAAATATATATTATATATATTATATATATACATATTTCAGGTGAGGTAGGTGCCTCGGCTGTACACGCGAGAAAGCAACTCATTTGTTCATGCGGATGCTGATGCTTATGATGGTGCTGACGGTGGTGATGATGATGATGATGATGATGATGATGATGATGATGATTCCAGGACGGTTCTAAGCGATCCAAATTGCGCGGTTCTAAGCGACCCCACGACCCTGCAGCTGTGAGTTGCCCGACAACGCCGATGTCGGTTCGTTTGTTTCCTGTCCTTCGTTTCGTTTCGCCTGGTTGCACCTAGCGACAATGACACAATCAGTGCATCGCGACCTGAAGAGCATTGCAGAGCGCTGAGATCAAGATCCAGCCAAGGAACACCAGAGCTGCCCAGAACTACGACATCCCATCCTGATACACACTACTAGTATTATGATCTGTATATATCTGTATTATGTGGAATACACAGAATGCAAATACCATCATATACCACCACACCAATCACAACAACCACGGACATAATCCCAACTCCAATCCACCTGTTGGTGCAACCATAAGACAAAGACAGCAAACGGCGTTAATCACAGACCACACCTACCTCTGTCGGTGATAAGCCACCGAACAACGAAAATGATGAAAACGCACTGAGAATCAAAGAGGAAATTGAGGCCAATTGACAATGTTGTGAAGATGTTGTGTTCGTCTTTCAGGGTCAGGATGTGTCAATTACAGCAACCAATGACATAACCGTTATAACTAAGTTATAACCCATCAATACCTAAACCGCAATTTCTTCAAAGTAAGAACATTGGCTTGGAGATGCGAAGAGTATTGGAAAATTTATTGGAAATAACCACACCTGTCGCGTCGAAGAGCGGTTCGTCATCGCAGTGCCAGCTGACCTTCCAAACAGAAGCACACATGTCAAAGCGTAAAATGTCGTGAAACATGTCAAAAATCTGAATGTCTTCGGCTGAAGCTCTGAAGTGCATCTCTCTGATGTTTCATCCAAGAAGCATTGTCGGCACCATTCTGGTACAGATTCAGATTGCATGAGTTCGGGCGGTCCTGAGAAGCACATCGTGACATCGATATCGCCAAAATTGGCCAAACATCCACGGGTCCTCCAGTCCACAAGCGCGAGTTACCTGCAGTCGCTTGGACCGAGTCGGGTCAGATGTGTTCTCCCAAAGGTGGTTCCCAGAGCCGAAAAGGACATAGGAAAACATTGTAAAAAAAAGAGACAAAACATGGAAAAACCATAGAAAACACCATAGAAAACACATATTAATATGATTTTAATATGGACAACTGCAAGTGTCACTGGATGCATGGCCTGATCCGTGATCTCTAGGAACCACTCAGGCATTGCCACTGGTGGAAAGCGCAACCCCGCGTACTGCGCAGATGAAAATCGCATAGCATCACTGGGTCACTGGGTCACTGGGTCACTGGATCGCTGGATCCATCTTCACTCACTTCAATCGTTATCAAAAAATCATTTAAAAAAAAAAAACGTTTTGAAACGATTTGGAACACCTGGAACACCTGTGTGTCGGGCATCATCTCTGAACTCTGGAAACTCTGCAGTGATCCTCGTATTCGCAGCGGCAGCCCTGTAGGGTCAGCCAAGCCGCTGAACGGGGCAGCAAAACGTCCAACGGCTCCTGGCTTTTGCCTGGCACCGCAAAAATTCAGGTGCAATCACAGAGTCCCTGTGAAATGATCAACATGAATCAGCATGAATCAACATAATCAATGTTTTACCATTTTTGTCATTATCAAATATAATTATATCAAGATATATCAAGATATATCAAGATATATCAAGATATATCAAGATATATCAAGCATTGATTCTGGTCATGGTGACTGTAACATCTCTGGGCCGCTGGACCGCTGGGCCTTCTTTGGGAGGCCGTTCGGGCTTGTGCCACCGCACTTCTCTCATCAAGGTCTTCCTGCGCCACGGTGTGAATCTCGACATCAGTCCTTGTTAACTACTTGCGCTTCTAGCTTGAAAAAAATGAAAAACTCAAGTTTCCAATTTCCAATGTTCAAGTTTGACACTCAAGTTCCTAGGTTCACAATGTTCTAATGTTTGCAACTCAAATGGTTTCCTCCACTGCGCTAGCGTGTCCGCTGTGAATGCCTCCGCCAAGTGACTTGCTAGATTTGACAGTGACTTTTTGTGCGAGCAACTCTCAATTATTAGAACACCCCTCTGAATCTGTCTGAAACGCCGACCTGTTTGCGGATGGACACGAAACTCCTACGATGCACATCTTGTAAGACCTCGGGAAAGTTGACCCAGCCCGACCCAGCCCGACCCAGTCCCGAGTCCATCCGAGCTTCCATCTGGCCGCACTGAGGACGAGGCGCAAAGCCACTGGGGACAAGATACTATGCTGAGCGGGCCGAAAACACCACCGAAAAACAGCGGCTGTTCCTCGACACAAGTTGCCAGTTCATATAGTTCATCACATATGGCAATGATGCATTCCACTGATGTATGTCTGTAATGCAAGATAATGAATTTGATGTCAGTGCATCCATCTGAAATATCTCTTCAATATGTTTCAAGGATCTTATAGTTTTCAAGGTTAGCTGTGATCTGTTTCAGTATGATATACATCTCATTCTTGCCTCGAGCGTGGCCTCTGCTGGAGGCAAAGGCCTCAAAAATGGAGGCGTTTCAAAATGTTCAGCTGGCATCAGCTGGCCTCACGGGCCTTGGCCTTGGCAGCTGCCCGGCTGCCCGGGCCGATTTCCCAAGGTTCGGGCTTCTTTCTTAATGGTCTTGGCCTAAAGTGTCGTGCGAACCATGGAAAGATTGACTTTGGACTTTGGACTCACTTTGGATCTTCAGAGTATTTGAGAAATTTTGAGAATCTTTAAAGTCCTGAACTACAAATACATCGAGATCATTCGAGGTCCACACTTGTTGCGTTTGCGTTTGCGCTTTCGCCGCTTTCGCTTGCCACGGACAGGAAACTCGTCCCCTTCCAAGAAGCAAAACACCACAGCAAAACACCACTATAACCACTATTGATTGCAATCCTGAAGCCAAAACTGTATAAACATTGGCGCACAAAGTTTGCTATGCAAAGGTGCTATGCAAACAATGTCCACAAGCTTCCACAGGATGCTTTGGCATCTGGCAAGAAGTGGCACGGCATGGCAAGGCCTTCTGAAGTCGAGGGCCAGTCATCATCGATGCGATCTTGCCATGTGGAGCTCATCTCTCGCTGCGCTGGCTCTTCAATTCCCGGTGGAATATGTCTCGCATACTGGGCATACTGAGCCCCAAATGCGCCTGAGATGTCACTATCATGGCTGTCACATGGATCACAGGGATAAATATGGATATGGATATAGCCGACATAGCTCAGATAGCTATAGCATGCTATAGCATGCTACAGCTATGGATAGCTGCTCATTGACCAGCTCCATGTATCAGCTACTGACAGCTATCGGCTATCGACAGTGAAAGCTGCAGTTTTTGGGCGCAGAGCTTGGAAACGGCGCATTGGGCGCAGGACAGTAGCCACAGGGAACCTCCGGCCTTGTTGCACCAAGTCACCAAGTCACGCGAGTCAAGAATAATACTCCAAGGATTCCGGATTGAGACTAATGGGCACCGTTTTCACCGAGGCACTGCGGGAATGGTACTTGGAGTTGATAAGACTGATAAGAAACCTTATTGGCGATGATTTCCACAATTTCGAATGCCTTTGACTATCTTTGACTGCATTAAGATTTCTCATTCTGAGGCATTCTGTCTTCCTTCCTCTCACTGTGGTATTTGAGAAGCGAGAGAATGTGATGACTCTCAAAGCTCTCAGCACATGGCAGGTTGTGCTTGGGCTTGGAATGGATTGGGCCTCGGTGACCCTGTGGCTAAACACACTGCGTACTCTTCATGTACCAATAGAAATTGATACGTAAAGCTGAAGAGTCAGAAAATGTCAGAAAGCATCCGGAATGACAGTGTCGATGCAAAGTGTTGCAAAGCGTCGTGGAGGTACATGATCGATTTTGTGCCGCTCTTCATGGCTCAAACCATGCACTGTACACGAGTCGCACTGTCTTATCAGTTTGGATGCAACCACTTGAGAGGCAATTTGTGGTCATATCATGTCATATCTTGGTGTTATTCAAACTGACAAGTCATCTGTACAAACACCTCAACGGGCTAACTTGCGCCGCAACGGGCAGTTCTGGCGCAGTCTCACAGCCTTAGGCTGACTGCTCAAGACCCACATCCGACAGGAAACGATGCCTCGGTAAAGCATTTGGAGGGCAGGACCAGTGGTGAAATGATGTGATGTGAAATGTAAAACATCCAACTGAAGCACGTTGCAGAAGATGCTCATCTTGAACCCCAGAATGCTTTGAAATGGCAATGGCTGTTTGGATCTGTATGGGCAAAGGATGTAATTCTAGAATCTGCATGAATCTGCTAGACTGCTGGACCCTCTAGGGCCAGACTCTAGGGACTTTAGGAACTATCATCAGCGATCGTTTAACTCCACTACCAACAATCATACTTCAACTTCTGCAATTTCACGATCTTCCTGGATCTGGATTTAAGAATTCAAGATGATTCAAGAAATGTTTTCAAAAATGAATTCATATAATTCAATATAATTCATCCTTTGTTGATTTTGTTTCACGTTTTGAACTTTCGATTCTCCAAGTGGCCCATGCTTGGTGGACTCCACGTCCGCTTTGTGGTCTGCGATGTGCTGCAAAGCCGCGGCCGAATTCACGCGGCTGTCCGACAGCAACGCCCGGGCCACGAAGCTCCCATACTGTGCCATGGCTAAGTCCAGCATGGCCTGGTGATTCCACGGAAGATCAGGAAATTTAGGGAATGTCCAATTCAGATAATCAGATAAATTAAGATTTGATGAGATTTGATGAGATTTGTATCATGAAAACACATGAAAACACTGCATAACTGCTGATTCTGCCTTCATGTTGTGTTTAGAATGTCTAAATATGTCTAAATGCCATCTGATTGCATCTTGCCCTAGCAAAGTCGAAGCTCAAGCTCTCCCAGGCCTGTGGATGTCCCAGCTTGGCAATCATAAGATTCTGATCTTCTGTGCTGCAATAGCAGAGGGCCTTTTCGATGAGGTAGCTGGAGTTCTTGTGCGTGGCATATCTCCACAAATCGGAAAGCAGCATCTTCGCAATGAGCTTTTTGTGCCGCTCCTCACCATGCTCCAAAATGGATTGAATCACATGGTGTGCGAAGCTATGGCTGCACAGATTCTCATGTTCGCCATCATCACGAGCCAGCAACTCATCAACCAGCTGAGAGGTAGGGCCTCTGCCACAAAATTCCAAGAGTCGACAAAAGATGCGACAGGCAAAACGATGCTTAGCTGCACGCACGGCGTTGCCCTGGAGCTCTGTGGCAACGAAACTACTGGCGGCCACGGATAAGTGTGACACCACCTTCTGCACCACATAGTTGGCATACGGACACATCACTGCTTCGAGCACATGTCCTTGCAACTCATTGGCCAAGTCTGTGACATCACGACTGCCTAGTTCAAGTGCCTCTTGAACTACTCGGCAGCCATTGGCGTCACGGGACAGGCGCCAAACCTGTCCTTTGAGGCACTGAATGCCACTGTTTGGGTCTCTGCGCAGTTCAGCGCGAAGTTCATCGATGCTCATGGCGTTGGCACCGTTGGCATTGGCAGCGCCAACTCCACCAGCTGCACCTCTGGAACGCTCCGCAGCGCGCTTCCGCCGAAGACGTCGAGCTGCACTGGCCGACAGGCGTCGCTCGACGATGTCGCTTCCATCGGGAGCCTCCAATTCAAGAAACATCGTAGATCAGCGGTGGGTGTTTGGAAATGATTGGAAAGTCATCCAAATCATCCAACAATCTGCCTTCAAAGACTATAAAAGATTGGATGTCACTGGTGTTCATTCATCAATGTTCGGGGATCTGCTTCAAACCTTTTGCTCATTTGTCCATCGTTGATGGCATCCCTGTTGTTGCTAATGCTGCGTGTTCTGTTGTTTGTGTTCCCTTGCTGGAACTCATCATCTGTATGACTGTGTGATGACTATGTGTAAATATAGTTGCATTATATTCCTTACATAGAAATATTAATGCGACACTGTAGTTGTGGGGTTTCGGAGCATAGTGGTACTTGCAGTACTGCTAGTAGTGGTGGTGACGGTGGTAGAACTTTCCGTTGCCATCATGTCTCCCTTTGCAAAGTGTGGTTGGCTGGCGTTGGTTTTGCATCTTGTAGCCTGCGCAAAGTCCGACCCATATGCAATAAATAGTAATCTTGCATCATGGCGTCTTTATTTGTTACTCTCTCCCTTTTTGGCCTGAGTTTTGCGTCTTATGACACCAAATAAAGTAAAGGGCGTTTCGATTTATCCTCACTGGGGATCTCAAACACATTCCTATAGCATGTCCTTCAAGGCAGAAATTTGGCAACTTCAATCCCCCTGAGTTTCTACTGGCCACGGCGGCCACAACAAGCTTCTGTTTTGTTGCCCCACCTCTGTGCTGCGAGGTGTCGCTAATGTGCTACAACTGGCGCCCTGGAGGCAGCCGCCCATCTCCTTGGTACCGTGCTCGCCGTGCTCGCCGTGCTCGCCGTGCTCAGGTGCGGCAGGCGGCACCGCTGGCGCGGCTGGCACGGCTGGCACGGTTGGCACGGCTGGCGGCACGCCAGGGAGCTCAGCGAAAGGCTGCTGTGGCCACCAAACATACGACCCTGGCACGGAGTGCATGGGGTGCACCGGCCCTGCCCCTGGATGGGGATAGGAGCCTTGCTTTGCTGGAACGAAATAGATCATCTGATCATGCCATCTCTGCACCTGGTCCATCCCGGACATTTCTGGTGTGGAAGACATCGAGGGCTTGTTAGATTGAGCAAGACAAAAAGCGATGAACACACCCTGTTCGAAAAGTGCCGGAGATTCTGAACCAAACTTGAGCCGGAAAGCTGTTCTGGTTACAGAGGTTACAGAGATCTGATTGCAAATGCTTCCAACATCTTCCAACCACTCTGTGCTATGCAACTTCAACCTGCAGAAAGAGAAACTGACATGATTCAGTGCAACCGCTGATACGACTTCGCAAGCTATCAAAAAGTTTTCCGAATCAGCTCAAGACTGACTGGTTCCCTGTTTTCTCTTCGATGTCTTTCTCTAAGACTGCGGCTGCACAAAAGGATACTGGTGGTGCACGTGCGGATAGTTGACATACCTGGACAGCTCTCAAAATCTGGTGGATTGACGTAGAAATAAAAGTACTACCGTGATTGCGATTTTGTTTACTCCTTCCTGAGTCGAAACCGACTATATAATGCATCCGAATGTAGAATTTCTGAGGGATCTTATTCTGGACCCTCGAGAGAAAGCGGGACAGATCCTTAGATATCCCGGTTCAAGTTAGCCTTCAAGGCTGATTTCACGTTTAGACATCTCTCGACTCTGTCGGAACACTTCTTGGGTCTTGAAACTTCAAACCATGAAACTCCAAGGATCCAATATGATCCAATCTACTTTTCTTTCAGGTTATGTCCGTAATGTCCACCATTAAGATCGTCACCAAAGAGAAGCTCTTTCAAATTAATTCCCTCGCTTAGGCTGTCTCAAATGATCTCAAATAGACGTAACTTGTGTAAAGAATTGGAAGAAGATGTTTTTCACATGTGAAGTTGCAAAATGTGTGAAGGTCATTGTGGCCCGTCTCTCTCTCCAGAGCCGCCTGGAAATGAATTTGCATAATTTGCTAGCCTTTCTGGTTCCAAGGACATAATGAGTCGCCCCGTATGATTTTAGGCCCAGTGAAGCGGATCAAACCTCATCTAGGAGGTTATTGAAACCTTGCACCCGAAAACTTGGACCGCGAAAGGTCTCGCAGTGCTCACAAGTAAATCAACAGTCAGCACCCTTTTTTTACCCAAGCCAAGGTGCATAAGCATACCGAAAGGACTCAATGTAACTCTTACTCTGTGAGCCGAGTTGAGCAGCGTTGCTGGAATCTGGAAGTTGTACTGTTGGCAAACGCACACCTGTCGAAATCTTAGCAGCAGAAGATTGGCACCACGGTCTGTTTGCCACACGCTAAACAATTGCGGTTCGGAGCAATTTCCTCCAACATTCTCCGCTCGGCAAGAGCCGAAAGACTACTTGTTTTTTTGCCTGAGAGGGATGTATGCAAAAACAAACGTGACAAAATTTGACAAACCTGTTGACAAACGAACACTTTGTGCCGAATTCCCAACACATTTTACAGGTGAAACAGTCACTGTTCCGAGCAATCATTTCCAACCTTCTATTCATCAGAAGTCTGGGCTGCGCATGCCTGAACATACAGATGTGTGTTGACCACTCTCTAACACACTACAGCAGAAAATTCGCTGGCGCACGTCGCGCTATTTCAACATGTTTTTTGAGGATATTTCGGTGTGTGCGTGAGCTTATTCCACCTTTTCTGATATTGTTTTTTGATCAAAAGTAAAGCAAATGGAAACACACTTTCGCCACCATCATCTTAACCTGTCCCCCAGATCCACGCACTGGAAAGGACCTGCCGTTGCAAACGGGGTTGGATTCTCAGACATGCTGGCTTTATATTTGCACCGGCCATTTGATTCCATGCATCCCACGTGTTCCAGCATTGCTCCGTTTGCGCATGTTTGTGCGCTGGGTTGACATGTGACACTTTGTGCTGACATGCCCCAAGTAGAAAGAGCCGTACAAGGGCCAGAACTCACTTAGAACTCACTTGCAGGCTCACGGACGCAAAGGATGGAAAGGTGGAGGAAAAGGAGGAGGAAATCAGCCGGAGAGTCATTGGAACCAGGTTTTTTCGTGTGTTTGTTTTTTTTTGGAAATGAAACATTTGGGAATATTCCCTTGTGGATGTTTCAAATTGTGGCCTCACATAAATTTCATGGCAAATACATCACATGCAAATCAGCCAATCAGCCACTTCAAATGTAAAAACTGTGCATTTACAGCAACTACTAATCACTGAAACACTGGATATTGAGGGTGTTTTAAGTGCACTTAATCCCTGTTCTTCGCCATCTTGGGATATCTTGGGATATGTTATGCAGGACCCCAGATTTGATCACCACTGAGCCAGGGACCTGGTGAGGCGTCGAAAGCAGGCGAGCGAAGATCCAAATGGATACGAAGAAACACAACTCACAGAAACGATGAAACGATGTTGTTTGTTAAAGATTCCTTTGGATGAGGTGCGAGGAATGGATGCTGATTGGACAAGGTCAAATCACCTGCAAGTATATTGTTCTTTATCACAATGAATACATTGCTTCGCAGGATGATCCACTATATCTATGTAGTGTACATAGGACTGTGACTGTGCAATAATAGCCAAACCCAGTAAGTTGATTTCATGTGACACCTTTTGCCAAATGAACTTCGGCTGAACTATACTTTTACAGTTGCAACTTGCAAATTCTATTTGTTGTGTGTGTGTGTCTGACCAAATGACGTTTGGAAGAACGGGGGTTGAAAGGCCATTCCAGCTAGTGTTGCAAAGTGATGGAAGCAAAACATACTCAAAATATAAACAACACCTCGGCTTGACACAAGCAAAACCACCAGGGACCTGTTAAGTTTCTCTGTTATTGCTTTGTCTTGCCATCTTCAAAAAACAAAACACTTTGATTCGCAGAGACTAGGCACAATAAAATTGAAATATCAAAAGCCCAGAAATTTGTGGGGATCCGCGCCATCCCAAATTGATTTCTTCCAGATCAATTTTGACTGGGAGATACTGGGTGTTGTACATCATACTGCACACTGCTGTCTCAACTTTGTCGCGGCTTGCTCGGTCAAGCTTCATTTCAGCTCGAGGGTGAGAAGGGCCAAATGGCCAAATGGCGTCACCGATTTCTGGGAGACTTCACCCCCATCCCCTGGGTGACATCAAAGACGACTCGGGTGACAAAGATGACTCCAGTGTTTCATTGGTGGAGCACACTGCTGCGCTAACTCTTGACAAAGCTTGACAAATGTGCTAAGGGTAGGCTTTGTCAAAATGCACCTGTGCGGTTCTCTGAGCTGCTTGCGCTCGGTGATGAGGGCGGAACTGGAGAATTCGTTTTTGCCTTGCCGCTCGAAAAAGTTACCATATCAGTCATATCACATACACAATAATCATCACATGAATATATGATAGGCCCCTCAAAAAAATGAAACGCCGCTTTTGGGGTCAATCACTACAATTATCTATTTGGGCACAATAGGGCTAACAGAGTTAGATTGAACATAAATGGGTGCATTCAATCAAAAATTGGGACAAGGTGATCAAGATACTAAACAACAATGTGACTGAATGTCATCCAAGTAAAGTACTTGGGACCATATCCGGGGACACCATTGCACATATGTATCAAAAAATAACTAAGAAATTATCCGGACAAAATTGGAAAAGCCATCCAAGTATGGTACTTGGGATATTGTCCCAAATATACTTGGAAAAGATATCCGCAGTATGTCTGTGTACCCCGTACAAATTACGAGTACATCCCCGGAACCAAAAACCAAGAATCAAGATTGCAGAGAGCTCTCGGAAAAAAGTTGATTCTTGGTTTCTTGTTTCCATGGATGTACGGGTATATACCGGCCGTTGACTGTCTGAATGTTTTTGGCCAATGTGCAGGTGCGTTATTTGTGTTTTCTCAAGATGTTGGAATTATCGATGTTCATGGATTTTCCTATTTGTGTTTTTGTCATTTTCTGAATTCTCACGGTCTTTGCAATACTGTTCTTTGATGAGATGTGTTTTTTGCTTGGGTTTTGTCATGGTTTTATTTCTTTAAAGAAGTGCAGTTTTCTGATAAAGAAAGATCATTTCAGTCAAAGGTCCACTATTCATTTCAAAAACTGAAAATGCTTGTCACAGAAGTTTCAGTCCTCTTTTAAGCCAATGGTGAACATTTCAAAGTTGTTGTATTCCTGGAAAAACATACCAGTGTATTCCAGAAAAATGTGCACTGCCGATTCAAAAGATGCTACTTGTTTCAACAAAATCAGGTAGTCCTTTGAAAAACATGCAATAATTATTAAAAGTATGTGTTTATTTCCAGGCGTGCAGTTTGCTGTGTTTAAAAAAATGCTTCCTTTAAGGACGTAGCATTCCTTGAAAGCATGAGGTCTTCTGTAAAGGATGTAGATTTTGGTTAAAGAAGTTGTGTTTTCTCTTCAGGAGGCACCTTTATGTTGAAGATGCTGCATTGCTTTTTAAAAATGTAGCTTTCTCCTTGAACAAAAACCTTGCGCACAATATGCTGTTTGATGAAGCAGCATTTTCCTGCCTCAAATCCAAGGCTTCTTTAAAAGATTGTGTCTTCCTTGAATCAGTGTTCCGTGTTCCTTTCAAACCAGCAGTCTTTCAAAGAAGTGCAGTCCCTCTTCCAGAAGCAACTTTGATTTCAAACATACTGTAATTCTTGAAACAAGCTTAGTCAACTGTTTTAAGCTGTTCATGTCAAGTTTGCAGCCTTGGACGGCATGTGGAAATGAGCAGCTCTAATCAGTTTTTGTATATCATGGTCTCATGTTTAAACTCAAATCTAAACGTCAACATTAGTCAAAAGAGTGCAAATCCCAGCGAACATCTGAAAAAACTTGGCTTTTGGGGGGCAACATATTTACATCTGATCACCTCACATCGTTCGTGTAATGCTTGGCATCTGCACCGAGAGACCTGGTTCTGGAAACTGGTGACTGACTGGCCAGACCTCACGCGTCCAGGAAAGTCGATGTGCACACAACCGAGAGTCACTGACGAGAGTCATCATGAAATCATAGACTACTCATAGTATAAATAAATAGAATCAAATAGAATTTAGAAGTAAAAAAACGTACTAACATGATCTAACATGTACCACTACATCATACTACATCTAACATCATCTAACTACTAAATCTGCATTAATTAATCTTCTGAGTCACTGGATTTGAGCGCCACTGAGGGCTATGCGGGCTGTTTTGAGGATCAGATTTGTCGCCCATTTGAAGCTTCCCGGCCGTGGACCAGTCAAGGGCCTGCTCAGATCTCTGATTTCCCGAAAAAACCGGCTGTTGCCTAATCAAAGTATATCAAAGTATGTGATGTGTTGAGGATTTCTGGCAGAATCTGCCAGTATTTGGGTTAAATCAGAACGAACGAACGGCCTGCTCGCGGATAAGATTCTTGGCGAGTGCGACCCGCATATGCCTTCCAGAAAGACTGGAGTGCTCTGAACTTGTGTCATTCGCTTCTTTCAACTTAAAGCTTCCTTTCTTAGAAGATTTTGCAACACTTTGGAAGGATGTCTGATGTGCAACGCTTGCTTTGCCGACAGATAAGACAGGCTCTGAGCAAGTTGCTGCAAGGTCACCACGTCTCCTCCATAGAGTTGGTCTGGCCTTACAATATTTGCAATTGCAATTGTTCAAACATGTTCAAACTTAGTCATTGTATGTCATTGTATACAGAATTAAATTTACAGTTGATTTGCATATTATGTTGTCTTTCCACGCCAGGAAGCGGCAACTCACGCAGTTCTTGGAGTCCAGCGCAGCTTCTAAAGAACCAGCAATTGGACCTTGGACGGAGCGATGCCATGGCACCTTTTCGGACAGAATTCACTGTCGACATGTTGTCCCGCCATCGTCAACAAATAAACTATGGGCCGGCCGGTTGTGGGGGCATCTCTTTTCCCAGCTTTTCACGAAGTTTGTGGAGTTTCTCCGAGTTTCTCCTTGCCCTTTGCAAGATTCGCAGTCGGAACAATCGAGACTTGAAGCATCGACTTACACGAAATGCGTCAAAACACCTTTGACGCTCAGTACGCTTCTCGAAGATGCGCTGCTTGATGCGTTGCTTCAGCTGCATGTACCATTTCCGAAATTCCGGACAAACGCCATCTTTGTACATGCGACGCAGCTGCGAAAGGAGTGCGTCCATGTGCACGGGATGCTTGATTGGATTCAGCCGCAAATATTCTTTGATCCAAAAGTACTCCATTCCTGGCATGTATTGCTCAGTTCTGCGTCCCATTTTGCACCTTGTAATCAGAAGCAAATTCGCTTGTCAGCTTGTCAGAACATCAGCTGTGGAGAATGAATCTCCACGCTGAGCTCCATGGCTGGATTGCACCCAAAGCTGTGCTGAAATGCGGATCTTTTCTCTTGAACGAATACGTCACATGTCACGTGTCTGTCGAAGTCTAAGAGTCTAAGGCCAAGCATGGTCACAGTATGTTGAATACACTAACCATCACTAACCTGTACGCTCCAAATTCTGGAAATGTATGGAATGTTGCAAAAAGGTCAGCCTGCGATGGGAACAAGGTCAAGGCAAGCAAAAGCAGTAGTCAAGACAGTCTCAACAGCCCTATGTCAAATCCTTTGTCTTTGCAAAGCCCCTTTTCAGATGGTTACATGGTGATCTGGAACTAGTATGAAGATGTATGAAGATGTATGAAGATGCATGAAGTATATTGAAGTATGGTATGGGTTCAATGGGGTTCACATGTGCGGCTCTTGTTCCTTGGGTTCCAGCAGGCATCTCCTTCATATTGAAAGCACGAACGACTCGCCTCGCGTCTGGATCTTTCAGCAGTGCATGACAGCACATTGCATGACATGGCATGACATGCATGGCACATGACAACGGTGCAACGCGGTGCAACGCGGTGCAACGCGGTGCAACGTTGTGACCTCTACGCTGCTGATGAATTTGGAGCGGATGGTTGAGCTGGACATGCCCGAATCAGAGGACCTGAGCGACTGAGCGACAGTTTAGTGATGAGCGGCTTAGCCGGGCTTAGCCGACAGCTTCACCGAAGTTGAGCACCATTGAGCACCCGTCACATGTTGCATTTGAGTTTTTGAGCAATCATTGAGCATCGATGTAGAACAAGCATGAGCAATGAGCTGCCATGAGCTGCGAACTGTAGAACCGCTTTGAAGTCGTAGTAGGTCAACTTGTTGGCCTTCTGCTCGTCCTTGCCACATTCTCACATTCTGCGCTGCACGATGTGTGGCACATGGCATGATGCCAATTGAGGCCCCACCTGCGCTTCTTTGCTCACACCTTGGGAATGGTCTGGAATCAGCTGTCAAGAGCGAAAAAGGTGGAGCATCTTGAACGGCTATGAACGACTATGAACGACTGTCAAGGTTCCGAAGGTTCCGAGACATAAGAAATGACTGTCTCTCCGAGCATCCTGCGGTGGATCTTTCGGAAGCCTTCTATGCCTCAGCATGGAATGCATGGAATGCATGGAATGCTGAAAATGACGAAAAATGACGAAAAGATTTGAAACGATACAAAAAGTGACTCAGCTGTGCGAGGTATCTCGTGGTCACCTGTCGCTGCAGCATCGCTCTCATTTTCTTTGGTGAGATGTGACACAATGCGAGAGGTTAACATTTTACATGAGTTGCTACGTGACTCCAAAGTCTTTGACCTGGAGCAACATCGGCTTGTGAAGCCTGGAAGCCCTGAATCATTCGAGTCCTACCAGGTCTCAGATGTATTGAAAGAGTATTGAAAGAGTATTGAAAGATCCTTAGAGACTTTCCAAATCGTTCGATATTTGAAGCTTAGGTCCCCTCTTATAGCAGGATATCCACTTCCAACCGATCAGTGTCTCAATCTTGTATGGGTCAGTGAGCACTGCCCAAATGCCACGAACCTGCATGCGCCCATGCGCTAATAGTTGTTGTAAGGGATGCCTAGAAAAACAAACAATACTGACACTCTTGTGCGACGCTCCTGTACACTACTCTTGAAAGACGGCTCTTGCAACTTGCATGACACTCGTGGAAGACACTCTTGTGGCACACCTTTTGAAAACAGTTGGGAAACACTCTTGCGAGAGAGAACTCTTACGATACACTCATCTCATCTGGGACACTGTTCTGTGACACTTTCATGGGACAATTCTGTACCTTTGTGGTACATTCTTGCAACACTGTGAAGACTGTGAAAAAAAAGTACTGCCGGACACTGCGGGACACTCTTTCAGAACCATTTTGGAAGCCAGGTCTTGCAGCACTTCCATGTGTGACACATCACATCCACAGCGATATCCAAATCGAAGTCAAGGCGAACACTGCGCAAACCCCACACCCAATACATGGGAACCCTCCGCTAAGCATTCGGAAAGAAAGTGTCATTCAGGTGCATTTGGATCCATCTGATTCTAGTCTTTCTCGAAGATTCAGTTGCACTGCTTTGTCCAGCATTTGCATCACCTGGTCAAATCACCGCATGGCAAAGCCTGCCAAAGCACGGCAAGGCAAAAGTGGAGGCCATTGGGTGAGTGCACTGCACAACAATTTGTCAACAAATCTTCCAAAGTCGATTGAATAAGTTGAATTGGACTTTGCAGCTGGTCCTATGTCTTCCGCCACATTGGCCCTCAAACCTGTGTTTCTCCTAGGGCCCTAGGGGTCCTGTGAAAGGCTTTGCAGTATCGTACCTGTAATCAGTCTACTGCACTTTCCGCCTTCTCCTATTCTAGTCACCTGAAGACATCTTTGCAACGTAAGAGGATGCAAAAAAAAGGCAAGATAAAGACTACCCAGGGCTCACGCCAATCAGTGCGTCCAAGTTTCTGAAATCACTGGGCCCACTGGATCCAATATGATTCAATGATTCAATTTGATGTCTACAGGGTTTATCGGTTTATCGGGATCCCCCACGGTCCAATACCGTCCAATACCGTCACTGCAGGACGCGCTTCACCTAGTGCTCTCCAGAGCTTCCGCTTCGTTCGTTGCTTCTGCCAGGCGCTCGCAGCTTTGGAAAGCGCTCCTGATTCTGTCAGAACACGGAAAAACACTTTTGGAAGCTTCCACTGTTTCAGAAATTTTGGGGCTGGCACATTCTGCGCATCAAAAATTGGGTGATCAAGGGATGATCTAGGAGCACCACCAAAGAATCAAACACAATCAGACCAATGAACTGCAAACAGGTTCAAACAGCACAATTCCATAGAATTCCTTGGTTGTCTTTTTGCAAATGCTCTAGCAAATTGTATCAGCACGGTTTTGATATTTTCTGATATTTTCTAATATAAGTACATAATATATATATATATATATATTATATATTATATATATATAGATATAATATATATATACAAGTTATAAGTACACGACCCCCAGATGGTCACCCGATACCTTGACCGCCCCGGGTGCCCGGTATCCGGGGTATCCGGTGGCGGGGCCTTGGCGCAGCGGAAGCAGAGTTCCAAGCCCTCGCCCTGGTGACGGCCACGGCTGCAGTGCTCGCAACGCCAGAAGTAGAAATTCAATTTCTTCACCTCAAAAACAAAGAAGTTTTAAAAAACAAAGCAAAAAAAAAAAATTAACAAGACCAAAAGTGATCAAGACATATCAAGAAGCAAAAAAACAAAATATAATTCAGGTCGAGTCGAGTTGGTGACAGTCAGTCGAGTCTCGAAAAGTGGCTGAGAATACTGACAGATGTTGAAACACGTGGAAGGCACTTGTGTTTGTGTGTGTGTGCGTGTGTCGCATCTTTAGTCTTTACATATCTTTACATGTCTTTACCATCATTTCAATTTCTGTCGTATTATGATGGACAAGCAAGAATGCTCGGGACGACATTGAGAGGCGGGCGCGGCGGTGACACTTCGCACATTCCTTGCTTTAGATTCTTGCTTCCAGCTCCACAGGGAGTCATGTCTTGAAAGCATGCGTGTCTTTCGGTTTATGTCACACGGAGCCATACATCATGTTGCAAACATCAGCCTTTCGTCTCTCGTCAACGTCTTGTCACATCTTGTCACATCTTGTCACATGGTGTCACCAGAGTTCCAAGTGCATGCCAGGGGTCAAAGCGGCCGAGTCCTGCCTCCTACGCAAATGTGGGAAGATGATGGATGTGCAAAGCTTGGAGCCACCAGTTGCGATTTTGAAAATCGACAAACCGTTGAGAAACCGCAAAAAAGCCGTAACAGTCCACGCCTTAGTCGTGTGGCCTCGGATCAGGAGAAGCAAATTCCAGCCGGTCAGATATTTATACTATGCATTATATTATATTATATTATATTATATTATGTTATATTATATTATATTATATTATATTATATATATACATTATACATATATATATATATATATACGTACATCAATCAACGTTCCAAACGTGCATGTGATCACAAGCACTACAACCGAACTGCATGCAGAGCACCTTTTCTCTCCCCAGCGACGTGGGTAGAACGGGGAGTTGATCAATCGCATGGTTCTGTCTGCTGGTCGATCCACCAGATGAAATGACAGACCCTGGATGAGATGCCTCTGGATCTGAGGCCTGTTGATATCACAAAAATTCAAGGGCCTGATGATCACAGGCGAAATTGATCAAATACATAAATCGAAAATAAAATCATCGCAAATCAAAAAGAATCCCCGCTCACATGACCAGATCATCACTTCACCCAAGCGCATCAAGAGCAGCCAAGATCCCGAGCTGCAGCGCCAACGCAGTAGCGAGCACAGCGCGAAGATCCAGCGCAGAGCCACATCGCGCGTAGAGAATGCTGCATAGACCTCAATCGGAGGAAAGAGCTGGTCAGAGCATGGCAAATAAACGAGTGGGTTGGCTCCCAACCCACCCCGGATAACCAGGGTGGGCTGGGTGGGAGATCAAATTGGCCAGTCTGGATCGATCTTGAGCCAAAATGGCATAAGGTTCGAGCGACCTCATGTCATCTTGGCAAAGGGTGAACACCCTTGATTCATCAGATCAAATAAAATAAATAAAGACTGCAACATGTTGAACAACATGTCAAGCAATGATCAATGCACATCACATCACTGAAATACAAGCAGCAACATGTTGAACAACATGTCATGCACAGATCAAAGTAGATCGCAATGCAGAGAAAAGGGAAGAACAGTTAGGTTGAAAGAACTAACGATTGACCCACTTATCCCAACCTACCAGACCGATGATAAGTGAACCAATCAACGTTCCAAACGTGCATGTGATCACAAGCACTACAACCGAACTGCATGCAGAGCACCTTTTCTCTCCCCAGCGACGTGGGTAGAACGGGGAGTTGATCAATCGCATGGTTCTGTCTGCTGGTCGATCCACCAGATGAAATGACAGACCCTGGATGAGATGCCTCTGGATCTGAGGCCTGTTGATATCACAAAAATTCAAAGGCCTGATGATCACAGGCGAAATTGATCAAATACATAAATCGAAAATAAAATCATCGCAAATCAAAAAGAATCCCCGCTCACATGACCAGATCATCACTTCACCCACGCTGTCACAAACTAGGAAAAATTGGATCGACCGTCTTCCAACCGAATCTCGCGCCTACCTGCATCCGATCTCTGGACGGGTGATCGGCCGGGTTGGCATCTGTCGGAACTCGGTCTATATACAACTGAACCTTGAGCTCCAAAGCTATGTTCCAGAATACGCTTACCAGCTCGCACAAATTTTCACGGGCTGAGTATCCTTTCACTAGAGCTCCCTGTACGGGTTCAGAGTCAACTAACAACAAAGACCAGGATCCTGCCAGCCTCTCAGAAAACGTGCGCAGAGCGACCACCGTAGCAAAGAGCTCCACCATCGCGATCTGCGACTTCCTCGGAATCCACTTCTCAATGAGGGAGAACTCGACAGCCGCTCCAAACTGCAATGGCTGAGCACCTTTCTGAAAAAGAACGCCCCCGATCCACGGTAAAGTGGGGGATCCCTTGGAACCATCTGGGAAGCTGCCGTCAGTGAAGATCACAAAGTCCGGCGTTCTTGGCTTGGCGAACTCAATGGGCCGTGGTGGTCCTTCCTTGATCAACCACAACCATGCTGCAGCGAGATCACCAGCGCCTTGTTGAGCTTGGCGTGGTTCATCTTGGAGTATTGGCGTTCAGAAAGCGAACACAGGAAAGCTCTCCCAATCTTCCCCCAGAGCTGTGACGCGCCAAACATGAGCTTGCCGCGAAGTTTCCCTGCCTGACCCGGCGGAAAGACCTGGCATTCCAAGATGGAAGAGATCTCTTCTTCCAGTTCCAACTTCCGCGACGGCTTGATCTTCAGCAACATATCGTTGAGGTCGTAGGTGACACCGAGGATCGTGGGGTCGCGACACTGCTGCAACTTCTTCGGGTCGAACTGCGCCCCCAACCAAAGATGAACTTTTTGAGCGACCTCAAGCGCAGAAGAGCAAGTGGTTGACGGTTCGAAACCGTACCTGTCATCATAGAAATTGAAAGCTGCCACCAAAAAGATTCTTCTCAGAACGTCCGTGATGGCGGCTGATCTTCGATTGTAGTTATAGACTGCCGACACCAGACCGAAGGAGTGACCGATCATGACGAAGAAGGAGACCTTACCAGTGGAAGGCTCACGGAGCGATATCACACTCCACCTTCGGTGATCCGGCTTGACACCAATCTGGCGGTAAGCCTTTCGTTCATCCAGGACCCAACCTTCGATCTTCTCGTCCTTAATGAGAACGCAACCAACGAAGAGCAGCCACGTTGACATCTGTTGATGGAAGCTCGATCTTATCTGTGATCGTAGTGGCCATGTTGACGCCATTGACCGTGGCGCTGTCCACACCACGAACTTTATTCTTTTGAACCACTTCAAATCTCTGTGTGGGGATCCATTGCTCAGTGCCCAAAAATGCACTGACCTCATCCCTGGAGAACATCGGGCCGACTGTGACCCCTTCCTCAACGTCTTCCATAGTGGCTGCCCAGATCTTTTCGGTGTTCTCCGTGACCTCACATTTCTTGACATTGCGGACTACCTTGTTGAAAAATTCCCAGGCCCTGTCCGACAACTCATGGACGGAGATCCCGTCGTCATGAACAGGAAGAGCAGGCCACCTGTGACTGCGCTGAATGGCACCCACGATCGAAAAACCGTGGAGCAATGCCGCTGGCAGCTGCGTGTCGATGCAGCGAGCGGCAGTCAGCATTTCTTGCCAGAGCGCCACATGGGTGCATTGGCCCAAAACTAAGGGCTGCCCGTCAGGTTGACCGCGAAGAAGGCGCCGCAGGTGAGGATCACTGACCTGTCGCAACCACTGATCAGTGACGGGGAGCAGCTCGTGAGCTCGAGCTTCCCAAAACCGGAGAGCTCCTGCACGATGCCCAAGCACGAACTGTGGCTGCGATGACACCAAATTGAGAACTTCTTGAAGGTCGGGGTCAAGGGCAGGATCCATTGTGAACGGGTGAATCACGTGCAGAGCCGCCTGCACTGCTTGACCCGGTTCCATCTCGGTGGCTAAGATCGGCGGCAATGCCGATCGCTTCAGTTGGTAGCCCGCCGAGTTGGCTTTTTCAGCTGTGATCCTTTGCTTGTGAATCTTCCATGGAACTTCTTGGCCCACCGGGCGTTTGCGCTCAGCAGCAGGGGTGACCATCTGGAATGTAGCCGCCAAAGGATCCATGCCTGTTGCGGCGATCGCCTGTGCCCAAGCGCTGCACAGAGCGGATGGGTATACCTGCGCTAAACGCGTCTTGAAGACCTTCTGGCCCTCGTAGAGCACTGTGCCGACCAGTGGCTCATGAGAATGTGGCCGTTCAGCTTGATCGCAAAGCAGAGCCAGTTCCCGTAGGTCGACGTTGGAGAGCACCGCTGTCGGCTTCTTGTGGGGGGAGCCAAACCGGCACATGTCGAGCCTGAACATCTTGGCCGTGGGCAGAGCCGCCAACTCGACCACATAGGTGGCATTTCCCAAAGAAAGGAGCTGGCAGGGTTCTCAACCGACCAGCCGAGACCACTTGCGTGGAGCAATCGCACCCACTGCACAGTGAGGTGCATGAACTCATGGCCCAACTGCAGTTTGGCCTGGTCGCGTGGAGCAAGACCAGGGAGCCCCCACAAATGCATGCGATTGCGTAGGGGCGGTGGACCCCCATCAGCCTTCCGAGCAATGCGCTTGGCCCTAATCAGCTTGATAACGTGCTGCTGAACTTGTGGCTCCAAAATGTCCACAGAGATTTGTACGAACTGGTTCGTGTTGATCTCAATGGGTGGCAAGATCTGCATGCCGCGCGCGCTGATTGCTTGCGAGAGCCCGGCTTCACCAGCAAAAACTTCCAAAAATGCAGGCCCGATCGGCACTACCATTGAGCCCCAAAACGGCCGAGAGAGGACTGTCCGAGCGGCAAGCTCTTCATTCGCCCCCCCCTCCGTTTGGGGCGTCTTGGAGCAAGTCTGGCTTCAATGATTGCCCACCATCGGGTGAGCAGCACCGCAGACCATGCAATGGTGTTTGAACCGGCATTTCTCTGCCAGAGCGCGGCCCATTGAAGAGTTGAAATAATGGCACCGCTTGGGCCCTGAGACCGAGGAGGCTGCCTGAGAGATGAGCTTCCATTCGGACTCGGGGATCCGCTTGTCTTTGTCGATCTTGGAGTCCTTGTCCTTTTTCTTATCGAACTGATCTTTCTTCACCTGCTTGATGTCTTTGGTGTCGACCGCACCACCCTTCTTGTTGCGCCGCTTGCGCTGGCGGCGGCTTGGGGTGGAAGGCTTGTCCTGGCTCTCCACCACTCGATCTTGGGGATCATGTGGTTCAGGTTTCTTGTGATCAACCTTCGCCAGGACTGCCTTTGTGCGAGCATCGTTCCAAAGGTACTTGTGGTTGTTGAGGACCTCCAAGAGCGCGGCTTCAAAAGTGCTGTAGAGCTCGCGTTGTTCAGCCTGGAGCCGGTGCACTTTCTTGCGGACCAGCGAGTCGGCTGCCAGGAGATAAGGAAGACTTGGGCACTCTGCTTTGAACTGCTCGAGCTCCTGCATGTATTTCAAAGGCCCTGCAGCACGTGAATACGTGCAAATGTCCAAAAACTCCAGAGCCACAAACAGCGCATGAACTCGATGTAGCAGGGTCTGCACGTCTGTCACCTGATCAGGTTCTTCGGCTTTGGAGATCGTCAAGAGATCCTCAGCGTTCTTTGACAGACCTGACTTCTGAACAATGCTATCTGCCCTGGTGCGGATCTCTGCCACGGCATAAAATGGAACCATGCCGTGAACAAGGAAATCTCTGCTGAGCTTCTCAACGAACTTCTTGTGCGGCTCCTTGGCATCCAGGAGGATCACGTCGGGGTGAGCCGTCACGAACCTGGAGCGGAATTCCGCGTGGTCTTCTTGGGCCATCTCGGGAACCTTGTTCGGGTCCTCCTCCATTCGAGCTCTTCTCGTGGCGAACTGGCCTTGCAGCGCATGACATGAATGCCACACGGCTGCCAGCTGCATCAGCGATAGCTCCTGTGCAGCGGCGTTCGCCCCAAGAGCATCAGTTGGAAGCAAGGTCTGGAGAGACGTTTTCACAGGACCTGCCGCATCGCCGAGCATGGCGAAAACTTCAACGGATAAGAGCCCGGCGTCCGCCGATGCCCTGCACAAATCTGAGCTCAGCCCCAGTCTGCCGAAGATCTGGCGAAGGGCGATCTTCGGTGTGTGCGCCTCATCGGCATACACCGTGCGATCGACCATGCTGGCGAAAGGAAAAAGACCTACGGAAAACTCTTGAGCCTGCAAAACTTAAATCCAAATACTATCACTGGGCGCGGCCTGATCAAGCCGTCAACATATGAACAATCGGAAACCCATTGTCGCCCGTGATTTCACCGCGTTTTTCCTGGCTATATGTCAGCACAATTTTGCTTTTGATTTGCACAACTGGCAGATCATGCCAGGCGCATGCGGACCTACTGAAACAGCATCTGACATCTTCAGTCGGCTGCAAATCGATGCACTAGAGGAAAAACTAGGATCAAAAATATGGCATCTAAAATCCGCAGAATCAAAAGAGCTGGCTGACAGGGATGCTTTGACTATGAACTCTCTCACAACAGGTCCTTGAACCTCCTCGTCCTCCTCTTCGATCACGAACTGTTTGGAATCAGGAACCCACTCTTCGCGGAGCTTCGAGGCCATGTCTTTAACCATCGCCACTGAGAGCTCCTTGCGGCTTCTGGCATACTTGAGCACCAGCTGCTTGGGGTCTTTCCAATTGGCTTGCAAGCCCACGATCTTGTCGTCGACCTGAGCTTTGACGGCCTCTGAGAGCATGGTCACCCTCATCGAGTGCCATGTGACCTCTTGCACCGCCTTTTCAGCCGTCTCCAGTTCGTTGAGCTGAACGAGGTTCAACACCTTCGCCTCCATGAGACCCAGCAAAAAGAAACTTTTCAGCCAGGATAGACTACGAGAGTAGGTGATGGGGGCCTCAGTGAACTCCTTCTCATTCTTGAGCTCCCATATAAAATAATCCCTGTCAGAAATCATCGGTTGAAAAAGATCCCAACCGATCTTCAGCCACTCAATTCCGGAGAGGGAGCAATTCGGCACAGCGAACCGTGTGCCTCTCCTCTTCCGCTCGACCTTGGTTTGCCAAACCACGCCGAGCAGGGCATCACCTGACATTACCAGGGACGATGGAGCAACGTGTACGCCATCATCGAACCTGAGGGATGCATAGATCAAAATGAGGGCCCACCATGCCGTGATCGCGGCGGCGGTCTTGCCCTGGTTCACGAGCCGGGGGACCAAAGCTTCCAGAGCCAGCACCAACTGCGGCGGCAGTGGAACGGCCTCTTTGAGCCCCTTGCCCTTCTCAAGGTGCACCTGGTCGATCACAGCCTTGAGGCGCGCTTCGCCCAGATCGGGGCAAAACATCGCCAGGCGCTTGCAGATCCAGCCCACCGCATATTTGAACGATGGGAGCACTGCCGGCCCGCAACCCTGATCCTTCAAATGCAGAGCGTAGCGCATCACTGCGACGATCGTGGGCGGGTAAACCCGAAGACCGTGAGAAGTCGCCCACTCGTCGAACTTCTCCCAATGCCTCACGTTCTGCCTGATCGTTCTGAAGCCGCCTGCTTCAAAAGCTAACTGCTTGAGACGATCTGCCTCAGCCGGTGCCAGACCAATGCAACGTGAGGGATCATTCACGCCTGCGCTGGCCCCAGCGCGCTCACAGATCTGTTTGAGCCGCAGGCCCCACCTCTTCCGCTCCAAATTCTCGGAGTCCTGGATAGATGGGATGACTTCCGTAGAGCCAGCACCTCCTGGCTTCTTACCGACCTGCAAAGGCACGGGAGCCCGGTGCACCACGTGGTCCAGCGAGCGCTTGCCACCAGTCCGCGGCGGCTCAGCTGACCCGTAGCCAAGATCAGTGGCTATCTCCTCCTGCACCCGCTTAGCTGAGCGGGACACCATGTCTGCCAGCAGGTTGACCATGTCCAGCCGCAGCAGAGCCGCGTTGATCACCTGGTCATCGGCGGTCAGAGCCGGTAAGAAAGATGAGAACTTTTCATCGGGAGATGCAGCATCATCATCTGACATGGCGAGCCAAAACTCAACTCGATCGAGTCCCACTTCTTTGAGGACTGATCGAAAAGTGTCATCAAAAATCGGGAGACACAAAAACCTATGAATAGATCTATCCATGGTGAGCTAGGCCTAGCGCAAAACCCTCAATGCCACTTGATCCAAGAGCTGAGGTCCCGTTGCGATCTCCCAGGCAACAGCGCGCAGATCTGAGGATCTCGCCTGCAGAGCCGGCGACAGGGCAATGATCAACCCCGTCGGACCCGCAGGATGGCCGGGATCTGGCCCCGTGTGAGTAGATCACTCAAACACGCCAAATCGAATAAATAATCAATGATCACTATCCCTCATCCAAAATCCATCCATCAATCGATCACATCGAACTAATGTATCAAATTTTATCGCATTGAATCAGATCCAAATCATCAAGTAAAATCCAGATCAAATCAAATCAGTTCACATCAAATCAAATAAATCACGAGCATTTACGGATATAATATCACGAGATCAACTATCTTATATCAGGATAATAATGGGGGGAACCAAGCAGAGGGGAAACAACGACCCAGGGGTGATCAACCCTGTCATGTTGCTTCACATCACCCTCGCTCCCCAACTACCGGGTATGATCAACCCGTGAAAGATCGAGCACTGGGAAAAAGACGGCTGAGCGGCGGGACATGATCAGTACCCGGTCGCCGATTTCTCTTTTCACTTCCCGCATCGGAAAAGTCGCAATGCTCCAAGTGGAAAAAGATCTGTCACAAAAACCACCTGCATATTGCAAGTTAAAAATCGATCGACAGCAAAAGATCAGCGGCTGTCGAACACAACTCTCACCTCTTCTGTAGACCTCCACAAGAGCGATGAGCGCCTAGACGTCAGATGGCTTCTCAGGAGCTGATCCCGGCGTCGCTGGCTTCAATGCCGCCGGTGTAGAGCTCGGAGTGGTGTTCTGAACAGTCTCAGCCGGCGCTGTGAACACGGGCGCGGGGGTGCTGTCAGGCACCCTCGACGGATGAACCGCCGCCCCCTTGGGTTCAGGCTCCACCTCCTCGATCGTGGCCGTGGAAGGTTGTACACACGATTGGCCATCGTCTCTGCGAAGATCTGAGGTGTGAGCAAGGATGTGGACCTTGCAAACCTTCGATCCATCCTGGCACGATCACGATCATCGTTGACAGCATGGCCTCCTTCTCCTTGGTTGGTATGTCGAACCTGGAGCGATCGCTCGTTGAGCTCAAGCCCCATCTGCTTGTTCACGGAGACCAAAGTGCCCTCACCATGTGAACTGCTTGGAACGTCCGTCATCTCAGCCTGGCCAGATAGCCATGCGCCCGCTGTCAGAGCTGGAGGCCCTGATGGAGCTGGTGTTGATGTGGCATGCTGCATTTCTGCGAGAGCTGCACTGGGGACGATCTCAGACTCCCTCTCCAACAGCTTCGACCTGGATTGAAGGTGGAAATTGCCCTGATCCAGGTCCTCCGCAAAGATGACCAAGCTGCCGACCTGGCTCTCATCCTCTCCAACGGAGCTTGACCACCAGCCTTCATGGATGGCTGCCAGCTGAGCGAACTGCTCCGTCTGTTCCGGACCTTCTACTCTGGCTCTGTTCTCACGGACCGAAGTGATGGTCCTGATCAGAGTGGGCCCTGAAATGTGTGACACCGTGAGCCACGTGCCAGGCACAGAAGTTCTCGAGCACTTCAAGTCGATGCGATTGTTGGCATCCCGGTAGCGGAACTCGAGGCGATCTGCATCGTTGCCCACTGCATCACTGGAGGATCTGTTGCACACTCGGAGCTCAAACCTCGAGCGAGTTGAATCACCAGCAACGACCGCTCCTCCAGGACCAACTGAGTAAGTTCGCCCTCCACACTCAAAGCTTAGGATGGAGACCCTCCATCCAATGAAGACGGCGATCACCACGGAGAGCCGGGTCTTGCCCTGATTGGCTTCTCGGACAAAGAGCTCGTCCACGAACTGCTGCTGCACAGTCAGGTCGGTGTCGGAGCGATAGCCCCTGAGAATCCAATGGAACAAATTTCATTGCCGTTGTAGACCTTCATATCGGCGTAAGATGCCGACGTGTCTCTCAACATGGGCCATGAAAAAGGCTGGAAGGCCGGGTGTGAAAGTGCACGAGCTGTGCTCTCGTCCCACCCAGCGCAAGGATTGCCAGTGTTGCTCTCGATCGAGATGGCGATCACCACCTTGATACCATCCAAGGTGTAGTTGCCGAAGAGAGCCACATGGAACCCCGAGTTGGGTGGCATGACCTGATCACGCTCGGTCATGACGTTGATTGAGCTGGCCGCATTGCTCATGATCTCGGAGACCAACCACGACTGGAACGGCGACACAATGCGATCGTCCCTTTTATCCACCACGATGATGGATTGATCTTCAGCATGGGTTGCGTCTGTGATGGCCTCCAAGAACCTAGGCATCTGAACTTCATAAGGGTTGTGTGCATTCGACCCTGCCCCATAGCCACCAGAACTATAGGCTGGAGTCCAACCACGACCTCCTTGTCCACCTTGACCTCTGCGGCCTTGATCGTAGCCTCGCTGCGAGTTGCGGGACATGGCACGAACAGGTGGATGAGATCGAGGAGCTAGGGGGAACTGCCCAGGCCCGAGATCAAATTGGCCAGTCTGGATCGATCTTGAGCCAAAATGGCATAAGGTTCGAGCGACCTCATGTCATCTTGGCAAAGGGTGAACACCCTTGATTCATCAGATCAAATAAAATAAATAAAGACTGCAACATGTTGAACAACATGTCAAGCAATGATCAATGCACATCACATCACTGAAATACAAGCAGCAACATGTTGAACAACATGTCATGCACAGATCAAAGTAGATCGCAATGCAGAGAAAAGGGAAGAACAGTTAGGTTGAAAGAACTAACGATTGACCCACTTATCCCAACCTACCAGACCGATGATAAGTGAACACATATATATATATATAATATATATACATATATATTATCTATTATCTATTATTGTCTACTATCTATCAAAAGATGGTCACACATTCACAATTCTTCTTGCATGCTTCGCCTCCAGATCCTACAGTCTCAAGGATTCTCAAAAGGAGGCTGAAAGTCGTGCAGCTGAGTGACGCTTGTATTTCGCATCACACCTGACCAAAGAAAGCCTTGCCTTACCATGCCCCATTCCGACTATTCAAACTATTTTACAATTCAAATTTACATCATTCATCTTGTGAAGGCACAAAAACACAAGAGATGCTCACCAAAGGCCCCGCCTGCAACTCTCCACAATTTCGGCTCTTTGCTGCTGCAACAGCTGATAGTCATAGATGTCCCGGTAACACGCCAACTTGGTGGATGCATCTTTGCTTTACTAGTTTTGCCATCATTCTCATTTGTGCTTTACGTTCTCAGCAGCTTTACCTGAACTGTAGAAATCCAACGATGTTGCACTTCCAGTGGGAATCGAGAGAGATCCATATCCAGTTCCAGCTATCAGAGCGGGATTCATGTCTTGGCATGAACTTTGCCGTTTGTACAGAATCTCGCCAAGCAACTGCCGTGCACGGTATGACTACGAGTGTGCAAAGAACCGCGCAAAAAACAATCACTTCCTGAGCTGAAGTCAAAACGCATCAGAATCCATTTGAGGCAGCAACTGCAAGATCCCACTGTGTCAGACTGTGTCTATAAGCGACCAAGACTCAAAAGTTTCCTGGGGCCCTTCTTGCGGAACCTGGCGGAGTTCAAATCAAGCGTAGCTCTGCCAGCAAGAATGACATTGCAACTGCCCGCATGGAATGGAAGGCAAGAAGGAAGAATTGTCTTTAGAGTAAGACCCAGGAGGAAAACAACAGAAAAGCATCATGCTTGCAAAGCCACCACTTTCTTGGCCTTTGCTGTTTGATTTATACCATGGAAAGGAAATGGAAAGCAGAAAGCCTGCACATTTAGGGTGGACTGCAGACTGGCCATGGCGCCATGGAGAGCTGAAGAGTGTTTTGGACGTGGGGAACTGTGTTTGCTGATGTTTGCTGGTTGTGAGTGAAAGAGAGAAGACAAGTTGTCAGTCATTCCATTATTTCTATTCCTCTTCCTACTTTTCACACACACACTTTCACTGTTTGCAGTTGTTTCTCAATGCTCGATCTGCATGGAAGGGAGCTGTAGCGTTTGACCTCTAAATCCGAACATCTTTCTGCCCCAAAAAGATCCAAAAAGAAGTATATAGCTACTCGGACACCCTTCTGAAGGCCACAAACAATGGATTTTTTCACCTGCATCTGTTCGAGTCCTTTCGATACACCCTTTGAGCCAAAACCAGCAAGTGAGACAAGTCCTCAACATGACCATCGCTTCTGCCAGTCAAAGAGCACACAGCCGTGATCTTCTTGGCTCCCAGCGATCCCGAACTTCTGCTTCAACCGCCTACGAAACTCTACGATCTCTACGAAACTCTGAGACTTCGCTTCACTCCGAAGCTTTGCCTTCCGAGTCTCCCAGCCTCAACGGTGGCCCAAAGCATCTGAGACTCGGTGACGTGGCCCTGCCACTCACAACATCTCACAACGACAAACCAATATCGTTAATGCATTGCCAGCATCAAGGAAGCTTGAGAAAGGCTTGAGAAAGGCTTGAGAAAGGCTTGAGAAAGGCTTGAGAAAGGCTTGAGAAGCCAAACTCTGAGCATTTCAGAGGGACTTTTGCTCCGCATCATTCTGGCCCATTGTGCACAGGTCTTCGTAATCTTAAGAGACAGTTGACAAAAGCTCAGAACACTTTCATGAACAAGTGACAGTCTTTCTTGACTTCTGGATCGGGGTGAAAGCCAGTGAAAGACAGCATTACAATTTATATTGTCATGCAAAAAATCCAGAGAGAGAGGGACTGGCGGGGACAAATCTGCAGATAGACATTGTGGTCATCTGGGGTTTCTAAAGCTACATTCCATGCAAGTACCATGCTCAGATATGTTCAGTTCTTTTCGGGGTTCAAAGACATCTGGATTCAGAAAAAAGAAGCACGGGGTCGTGGCATTGACAATGCTCAGAGTGTTCTCAACTGTCCGTTGCAAAGAATGCCCCTAAAAATTCCCCTACCCTCTCACAACGTCTCCTAACATGCAATTGCCCCTGCTATGCATCTGCATGCAAAACCAACTGCCAACAAAATCTCATCACAGAGCTTCCTACGTTGATACTTTTCAGGCAATGTCTGGATGATGACCATGCAGGATCGAAGACAATGTTTCTCGATCGCTCCAACGTAGTGCGGATTTGCTCCACTTTGCCAAGGCTGTTGATCTCTCCATCCTCTAAGAATCTCGGCATCGTTCCGAAGCCGAGCACCCGAGCATCATTTGTAAGACGCATTTGACGGCCTGTCGAACACGTGGAGCGTCACAAGCGTCACAAGCGTCACAAGCATCGAGCGAAGCTTTCATCTGGGCTCGATGTACCAACCATCTTTCTCAAGCAATACATTTGAGCCCTCTCGCATCGCATCATTTGAGAGGACTAAGGTATTTGTCGGTATTTGTGGCCGTTGGCAAACAAGCCACTATCTTGCACTCGGCAAAACACGATATCTCTGAGATTCATTGGCAAACACGATCGCTGCTTCACACGCACCAAATGCGCTGAATTGCGCGCCACGAGTCCGAATCGTCCGCTTGGCTCATGCAACGCCCAAAGGAGCTTTAAAAAAATCTTTAAAACCACCAGGAATGGAACGACACGAACGACACGAGCTCAAGAGGCTCAAGATGCTCAAAATGCTCAAAAAGTGCTCAAGAGGCTCATGAGACTCAAGACATGCTCCCAACAGATCTCTTGCTCTATGATTCTCTATCTGTTGAACCGGTGTAAGTCAACGAGGCACAGGCAACGGAAGTCCGTCCAGTGTCTGCTGGCAATTTCATGCCCAAAGAGCCAGCAGCACGCGAGGAATCTTGTTGAGAGATCCACCACCTTTCAATTGCAGGTATTGGTATCCCTGGTGACCCCCAGCAAAGACAGCCTAACAGCTAAGACTACAGGGAGGAATTGAATGAAGAATTATCCAGGTGCCAGACCCAAGTACTCCACAACAAGAACATCCGAAAGTGTAGCCTGAACAAATCTGAACAATTTAAATCTCAAACTGCAGTGTAAGATCTAAGATCCTGAGACTCCCAGGCATTCCGAGTTAAATCGTTCGATCATTTGAGGCTCCAGGGTTAGTCACGGTTAGTCGGTTCTGTCGCCAGTTCCTAGCCAGGTCGCCTGCTGACCAAGGGCAGCTGGTGGGCAAAGCTTTGACCTGCGAAATTCAGACATAGAAAGAGATCATAAACAGTTAAACAGACCATAATAAACCAAGCTAAAACAAAGACGACGAAAAACGAAAAGCAGTGAAAAACACATTGATTTTCCATAGGTTTTTGATGGTTTTCCTCTCTGCTCCTTTTCAGTTTAATCCGCTCCTCCAAATTGCATCTTCTATCCCCAGCAACTGTGCCTCACCAGAGGCTGGGAGCATAGCACTGCAACATACTGCACGACGGATACAACGGAGCATGGTATGAACCATTAGGAACAACGCTTTTAAGAAGCCAACATCACGTAGCGCATCTCGGAACTCATCGCAGGTGACAGTTCCCTTGCAGAGGTTGTGCCCGCAATCCGATACCCAGTCTCTGAAAATGCACCGTACAACCAAGCAGGAAAAATGTCGGAAGTTACAACCAGGGGAGTCTCAAAAATATCCTTTCACCATCTCTCAACATCTTTTGAATCCTTCCACCAAGTCATCCCTCTTCCTGATGCGTCTTGGTTTTTACACCTGCTGAGGAGCTGGCTCTGTTCTCCACTTTGGATATCTGACACCGCTCAGCACTATTTCGAGTCAATGGTTGCACAGCCCTATTCTGCCGACACAAGTCCTACAACGTGTCGCAAAAAAAATGTCAGGGGCGTACCAAGAAGCGCATCTTTGGCGCAGATTCACGGCGGAGCCGGTCGTGGATGATCCTGGACAGCAGAGCAGCAGAGCAGCAGAGCAGCATAGTGCAGTGCTCATCAGTGCTGCATATCTTGGAATGCCACCACCATCCACCAACGACCCTCTTGGATCCCCTTGGGTAAACATGCATGATGAACAGGAGCAACACAAAGAAGTCGTTCATCTCTGGGCCCACATTCCTTTCGACGGAAAGCTGCATCAAACATGGCGAAAATTGGAAGTCAAAGCCAGAAATTCGAAAGTGGTTTCTGTCTCAGATCCCAACTTTGGATCATCCGCTGAAAAGGTTGCAAACCTCAGAGTTCAACTGGTGCAGAGAAACTACTGGCCAAGCGGCCAAGCGGCGCAAAATTTGCAATGCAGCCAAGCAGCCGCATCAAACCAGCCTGGGGCTGGTAATATTCCCATGACACACATTCTTCTTCACGTCTTCCCGAACACATTGTGACAGGGCACTGCTGCAAAAAAAGAACAAATGAATTGCACTCACATAAATCCTTCACAAATCCTCCCAGTCGAATCCACGCTAAGATCTGCGGCAAATAGCTCGCGCCGTGAAATGACACTGCCACCAGCAGGCAGAGCCTCCATCCAATTGTCCCAAGTCCCAAATCGAAAAAAGACTGACACATCTGCAACACAATGACATGATCTAATCGCGTCCAGTCATATCTAGTCTAATAATAATCTAATCTTGGTATATCTTGGTCACATCTGCGAGCCACGCCCTTTGTATCCCTTTACGTCCCTCTACGTCCCTTTGCCTTGGTTGCAGCATCCCAGGCATGAGGGATGCCCTGGCTCAAAGGACTCAGTGGCATCTGCAGAAGCACTGGTCGTTCCAAACAGGCAGCGCCCACGATTTGAGTTTCCTCATCTTTGGCCTCGCCAAGGATGAGGACACTCTGGACATGACACGGACTGAGCTTACATGGACTAAGCTCATTCAGAACACGGCATGCCATGCCTGATTTATGGTCGGCCGCCGCCCTTGAAAAGACCTGGCAAATGTTCACAGAAACATACAGGTGCCCCATTGGCCAAACTCTCAATATACTCAATGCCACCAAAAAATGTCGGTGTGGCAGCATAGGCTTTGTTCCTGAGTGCTCCGCTGCCTTTCAGACCCGAGGCCGAAGAATGACATGTATATTTACAACCTTTGCTGTCTCGAACTCACATTGCACTACCTTGTACAGTAGTAAATTCAAACTTTGTAGATCTTTGTAGATTCGTAGTGACTTGTTCGACTTGTTTGTATTCTTCGAGGTTCTTCAAGCTTCGGGCCTTGTGTCGCCCAGCATTTGCAAAGCGCCGAGCCTTTCACGACCGCTGCTCACTCCGATGGTTCAGGCTATAGGCACCACAACAGAACACAGAACAGATACAGGAAAGGTACACAGAGTTGGTACCTAGGTCAGTGCTTGGGAGCTAGGAGAAGTACGCATAGGATACCAGTGTTTCACAGCTGAGAGCGCATCTCAGTAAATTCTGAAGGGGCATGAAGCATCGCGAAGCATTGCAAAGTATTGCGAATTGCGAAGCAAATCATGCGAGTAGTTGTTCTATTGTTGTTCCATTGTCATTCCAAGCTTTTAGCTTTCATGCTGCTAGACTGCAGAGACTACAAGTTTGGCGCATGCAAAGCCTGTAGGGCAATGTTCAGCAAAGGGAGGGGCAGTACCTGGGACACCAATAGACTCACAGTGGTTCAAAACGATTGAACTCACCAACTGTCGCATGCAACGTGCAGAATATTGCAGAATTCGCCCACTCTCAAGCCATGTTGAACCAGGTTGAGCCTCCTTCACATTGCAGAACTGGAGAAATCTGGCAAAAAGAGACACCTGCAGTCATCGAAGTCTGCAAAGGCGTGAAAAACATCAGGGGAAACATCAGACTTCTTGTTGTTGCTAGTCTCATGAGATTCCCAGACTGGAGCGCGTACAACTTCTGACATCAAAATATGCATCCTAGAAGCTCTGCAAATCGCTTGTTCTCTCTCAAGACCTTTGGGTGCTAGGTGCAAGTCAGGAAGTGCATCTTAGGTAATGATTGGTAATGATTGGTATTGATTGGTCGTTGCATGGCTTGGTTATTGGATTCAGATCCATGGGTTTCCTTCGAAAACGACACCGAGATGAAACTGGATGTTCCCCTCTGCGCCTTGAGGGGCAAAGGGGCCAAATGTGCTTGGCGTTCGAGGCTACGGATGCAGCTGAGGATGCTGCAGACCCGCTCCTGGACAGCGGGGAACAATACGAGACGTGTACAAGGAGACTCGACGAGACTCGACGAGACTCGCGGCTGACTCTGTCCTGTGCACCAGTGACGGTGCCAAACCTTGCAGCCACTGCCACACACTGCCACACACGTTCACCCGGTATGCACAGCCAATCTCGCGTACAGAATCAACATCAGCATGGCACATGGTTTTTGTATCTTGCATTGCTTTCCCTCTGAGGCTATCGCTGCTCTAGGTAAAACTCAACCAAAAATGCTGCCAGCTCCGATCTCGGCAAACTGGCCTCAGCCGAGTCGCAGCACAGTGATCTCCGATGTGCAGTGGTGCGGCCCGACGCCGCTCGCTGAGCTCTCTGCAGCATCTGCCTCGTTGTCTGCGGAGGTCTTGGCCGTGTAAAGCCGATCGATCTCCGCCTCCAGGTCCTGGCGCTGCACCACACATCATGATGACATCATGATGACATCATGATGACATCATGGATATGGATGGATATGGAATTTCATGGAATTTCACGTTCACGTCATTCACGTCATGTCGATTTACATTCCATGTTGCAAGTACAGTTATACGTGACCTTTCAGACATGTTCAAACTAGAATTTTCATGATGGATTATACTTTGTTGCACCGGATGTACCACTGACACTCATGTGTCCTACATCAGGTGTTGTATGATGACACTAATGTTTACTTTTTGTTGACGCCATGAGTGTCTCGTCCTTCACCAGCATCTTCTTCACGTCTCTGCCTCGGTGCTTTTTGCAGGTTTTGGGTCGTTTCAGTGCACTCCGCTGCACTCCGCGCCTTGGAAGGTGGCCAAAAGTTGACGCACCATGGGCCTTGGTGAAAGATGCCGAATGAATTAGGAAATGTATTACGGAAATACTATGGAAATGTCATGAATCCACTAATTATCACTCATTCACTCTGCAAGAATATGCAAAACATGCAACAGGATCAGTTGGTATCTGGAAATGTCTGTAAGATTCTGAAACACTGATTGTGGAATCATGAATTCCACAGTTTAGCAGCTGGTTAAGCCCTTGACGTGCGGAAACGAATCGGCGCATCAACATCCACCTTGATTTCTTTTGAGCTCTAAGGAACCAGACATGCTCTACCCTTCTCCCATTTCGTCTGTATAATTTATTGAAATTTGACCGGACTAGCAAGCGACTTTGCACAAGATTAAAATGATTAAAGCACTTCAGGACTGCAGGCGACCTTCAGCAAATCCGTTTCCATGACCTGCGTAGCCTGCCTCAAGACAAGTTGCTTGGCTGAACGGTGCGAACGGTGCGAACGGTGCGAACGGTGCGAAGACCAACTGTGCCTTCGTTACGACTCTTTGATTAGGTTGATCCAAATCCACGTGTTTCAATCATTTCCGGCCACGGCGAGTGATGTCAGATGATGTCAGTGTCCTTGACTATGTTTCCAGATGGGAGGTCTTTGCCAAAGGTCTGGAGCTTCTTGGAAATCCAATGACGGACTTAACTTTTGAATACCTTTGATGGGCATTCTGTATTCCAAATAAAACAAGAAATCCATGCATCCTCGCCCGCCACTAAGGACTCCGCTCAGCAACATTGTACGGCCGCAACCTTGTAAGGTCGTCAAAGTTTTTCAAGCGCCGCTGTTTACATCATCTGTTTCAAGTTCAAAGTTCAAAGTTCCTGCATGTTCCTGCCTGTTCCTACATGATGCTTGCGGATCCTCTCTTTTTTATGTTACATTTGGCTAAACGCTGGCACGGTTCACACTAATCACACAGTTCACACGGTTCTCAGCGTCCTGATTCTGTCCGTGTCCCAATGATTCCCAGTGGTTCCCACTGGTTCCCACTGGTTCCCAGTGGTTCCCAGTGGTTCCCAGTGTCCAAGCTCATCTAAGCCTTTCTAAGCTCCAAACACGAGTTCTCCGTCTGGCAACTCGATGACTCGCCCAGGTCTATGGAGTGCAACGTCGTTTTCGCTCTCACCCTCAGACTGTCAGACTGGTGGTTGAAAGATGAAGATCCCTGAAGATCCCTGAAGATCCCTGCATCCCTGACACAGTGCAAACATGTGCAAACGATGCATTGCACGCAGGTTTGAGAAGTTGGCTGCTTCTTTTACGATGCTCAAGGTGTAGTCACCCCTGGCGGTACGAATTGTGACAACGGTGCAAGACAACGATTGGATCTCATGTTTAATCGCATCAAGTTTCAAAGTCCTTTGCACTGACAAGTTTTTAAATGGCAAAAATTAGCCATACGGATACTGAGCACCAAACATTTCTCGAAGGATGGTCGTCTGCCGGGCAGACTCTTCCTGAATTTTACATTAGGGACCCCATAAGGAAGTCCAATGCAGACATGATGAGAAGGCAAAATGCAAGGCAAACTGCATTGAACTGCACATCCGGAGGATGACAGCTCTCTACAGTGCAAAAAAAAAACATGCAAAAATCCGCCGACCCCGGCAGAAGCAAGGGGGAGCGCGCCAGGGAATAACAGTTCCACCACCACTACCACAACAACAACAACAACAACAACAGCAACATGCGGCCGTTTTGCGCTATGTGTCTTTGGCTCTTTTAGGACCTTAGGGACTCTTTGTTCGAGGTTTCGTGGCATCTCCTTCCTTCACTGCCATGCTATTTAGGCTTGTTTTTGCAGCAGTTTTGCGTTGTTTCTTACACTCTTTTCGACGGATTTCAGACAGGACGTTAGGTTGGACGCTGAAACACTGGTATTTACGCAGTTTTTTGCCCGTGACAGTACCAAACCCTTGTAAATTACAGCATTGTTTGCATTTTTTGACCCGATTTTTTGCCTTGATGAATGCAAAAAACGCTGGTATTTACGCGTTTTTCAAAAAATCGAAGATCGTGACATGAGCGAAACCGTGTAAATAACAGTGTTTTATCCTCTTTCATGGACAAAAACTGTGGTATTTACGCGGGCTCTTGCCATCTGACAACACAAAATGCTGTAAATTACAGCACTTTGTGCACTGATTATGTTCAATTTTTAAACGAGCGATACTTTCACATGTTCTTGGCATTCTTCAACCAGAAACGACGTTACAGATTGAAACTAGAGGACAGTGTGGCCCGCGAGAAAGCTGGAGAGAGGAGACCAGAAGATAGCACACAAGAAAAATATGATTATGAATGTTGCTGGTGAGTAGTTTTTACACAGACGCGTTTACACACACAAGTTTTTACACACACAGGGGTTTTTACACAGAGAAAATTTTACACAGAGAGGGTTTACACACACAGGTTTTTACACAGAGAAGTCTTTATACAGACTGGCTGAAGCTTTACACAGAGAGAAGTCTTTACACAGAGGATTTTTTACGCACAGAAATTTTTACACAGAAGTCTTTACACACAGAAGGTTTTACACAGAAAAGCGATTACACAGAGTTTTTATTTACACACAGACGCGTTTGCACACAGAAGCGTTTACACAGAGAAGCCTTTACACACAGGAGCTTTTACACACAAGGGCGTTTACACACAGAAGCTGTTACACACAGACGTTGTTACACAAAGAAGTCTTTACACAGAGAGTTTTAACACACAGGCGCGTTTACAGACAGATTTTTTTGCGCAAAAAAAACCTTTACAGAGAGAATTTTTACACACGGAAGCTTTCACACACAGAAGTTTTTACACTGAGAAGTTTTTACACAGAGAAGCTTTTGCACAGGTGTGTTTACACACAGAAGTTCTTGCACAGAGAAATCTTTACACAGAGAAATTTTCACATGCAGAAGCTTTGACACACAAAAGCTTTTACACAGAGAAGTCTTTACACAGAGAAGCTTTTACACGCAGAAGCCTTTACACACAGAAGCTCTTACACAGAGAAGTCTTTACACAGAGGCGCTTTTACACGAAGTGGAAAATGAAATTGGCAGCAATTCTCTAGGAAAAACCCTCCGCAGGAGCTTTCGGGAACAAGCCTTCCCCATTTGCTCCAAGAAAGAAACCGCAGTTCCATGATTCCATGAATATGTTTTAAAAAAAACATAAGGAATATGTTTCTGAAGCAGCAGGTCCTCATTCAGTAGCTTTCAAGCCCACCCTGCGATGACATCGAGGGTCAAGTAATCCGGCGGAGCCGACGATGAACGTCAGCTCTAAAATTCGGCTCCGCCCCAAGCCGCCAACCCTCCGACCCCAGGCCCCGAAAAACGCCAAAAATCCTTCACTCTGCTGGGGGAGGGCTTTTTGGGCGGAATCCGGGTCGCTCATAAGTGTCTCCAAGAGCATAATCCCCCCCTCTTTTGAGGACACCTAAAATCGGAAAAAAATCTCGTTTTGACACATTTTTCGGACGATGTTTAGCTTTTCGAAATTAACAAAATGCTGTAAATTACAGCATTTTTGCATTTTAACGTCTCGCGGGAACCATGCAAAAACGCGGAAAATGCTGCAGATACCAATACTTTGTAGACCAGAGATGCACAAAACACTGCAAATACCGGTGCTTTTGGAAGCAAGGCCAAAAAAAACATTGCAAATTACATCATTTTTTGTAGGTTGATCGCAAGAAATGCTTGTATTTACGCAGTTTTTGAAATGTCAAGAAAACTTGCAAGGCACGAAACACTGTAAATAGCGGTGTTTTGGCCACTTTTGGACGCTGAAACGCTAGTATTTACGCAGTTTTTGCCCGTGACGGTACCAAACCCCTGTAAATTACAGCACTCTTTGCACTTGTTGAACCGATTTTTCGCCTTGATGAATGCAAAAAACGCTGGTATTTACGCGTTTTTCAAAAAATCGAAGATCGTGACATGAGCGAAACCGTGTAAATAACAGTGTTTTATCCTCTTTCATGGACAAAAACTGTGGTATTTACGCGGGCTCTTGCCATCTGACAACACAAAATGCTGTAAATTACAGCACTTTGTGCACTGATTATGTTCAATTTTTAAACGAGCGATGCTTTCACATGTTCTTTGCGTTCTTCAACAAGAAACGACGTTACAGATTGAAACTAGAGGACAGTGTGGCCCGCGAGAAAGCTGGAGGGAGGAGGCGAGAAGATAGCCTTTACACAGAGCGGCTCTTAGACACAAAAGCTTTTACACACAGAGGCTTTTACACAGAGAAGTCTTTGTACAGACTGGCTTTTACACGCAGAAGCTTTTACACAGAGAGAAGTCTTTACACAGAGGAGCTTTTACGCACAGAAGCTTTTACACAGAGAAGCCTTTACACAGGAGCTTTTACACACAAGGGCGTTTACACACAGAAGCTGTTACACGCAGACGCTGTTACAAAAAAAAGGCTTTACACAAAGAGCTTGAACACACAGGCCGGTTTACAGGCAGAAACTGTTACGCAAAGAAGTCTATACACAGAGAGCTTTTACACACGGAAGCTTTCACACACAGAAGTTTTTTACACAGAGAGGTCTTTACACAGAGAAGCTTTTACACGCAGAAGCTTTTTCACACAGAAGTTTTTACACAGAGAAGCCTCTGAGAAGCCTTTACACAGAGGAGCTTTTACACACAAGGGCGTTTACACACAGAAGCTGTTACACACAGATGCTGTTACACAAAGAAGTCTTTGCACAGAGAGCTTTAACACACAGGAGCGTTTACACACAGAAACTTTCCCACAGAGAAGTCTTTACACAGAGAGCTTTTACACACGGAAGCTTTCACACACAGAAGTTTTTACACAGAGAAGTCTTTACACAGAGAGGCTTTTACACCCAGAACCTTTTATACGCAGAAGCTTTTACACAGAGAAGCCTTTACGCAGAGGAGTTTTTACTACTCACAAGCGCGTTTACTCACAGAAGCTGTTACACACAGACGCTGTTACACAAAGAAGTCTTTACACAGAGAGCTTTAACACACAGGCGCGTTTACACACAGAAACTTTCCCACACAGAAGTTTTTACACAGAGAAATCTTTACACAGAGAAGCTTTCACACGCAGAAGCTTTGACACACAAAAGCTTTCACACAGAGAAGTCTTTACACAGAGAAGCTTTTACACGCGGAAGCTTTTGCACACAGAAGCTTTTACACAGAGAAGTCTTTACACAGAGGCGCTTTTACACGAAGTGGAAAGGTGAAATTGGCAGAAATTCTTTAGGAAAAACCCTTTGCAGGAGCTTTCGGGAACAAGCCTTCCCCACTTGCTCCACCATGAACATGATCAAAAAAGCATAAGGAATACATTTCTCATTCAGTAGCTTTCAAGCCCACCCTGCGATGACGTCGAGGGTCAAGTAATCCGGCGGAGCCGACGATGAACGTCAGCTCTAAAATCCGGGCGCCGGCCACGGGCCCGTGTGCTGCCCGGAGGGCCTTCGGTGGCAACCGAAGGTTATATACGCTGGGCCCAACATAGGCCCCAAGCTGGGCCACCGTGGGGCCAACATAGGCCAACATAGGCTATAAGGTCAACGTTGGATTGTGAAACTTTCCGGTCGGATTGTGAGACTTCCCGGTCGGATTGTGAAACTTAGATTGTGAAACTTGCCGCACGGATCGTGAAACTGGTATTGTGAAACTTGAAGATCGGATTGTGAAACTTGAAACTAGGATTGTGAAACTCTGCAGACGGATTGTGAAACTCTGGGGACGGATTGTGAAACTGAGATTGTGCAACTCTGCAGGCGGATTGTGAAACTCTGGGGACGGATTGTGAAACTAGGATTGTGCAACTCTGAAGGCGGATTGTGAAACATGGGGCTGGGGATGCTGATACCATCTTAACCTTGTGGAGACTCCAAGTCAGTTTGAAGTTCCATGGGGGTGGGAATATTCATATCTTAACCTTGTGGAGACTCCAAGTCAGTTTGAAGTTCCATGGGGGTGGGAATTTTCATATCACCTTAACCTTGTGGAGACTCCAAGTTAGTTTGAAGTTCCATGGGGGTGGGCATTTTGATATCGTCTTAGCTTTGTGGAGACTCCAAGTCAGTTTGAAGTTCCATGCGGGTGGGAACTTGATACCATCTTAACCTTGTGGAGACTCAGAGTCAGTTTGAAGTTCCATGGGGGTGGGAATTTTCAAATCATCTTAACCTTGTGGAGGCTCCAAGCCAGTTTGAAGTTCCATGCGGGTGGGAATTTTAATATAATCTTAACATTTGGGGAACTCAGAGTCAGTTTGAAGTTCCATGGGGTGGGAATTTTCATACCGCTTTAACCTTGTGGAGACTCCAAGTCAGTTTGAAGTTCCATGGGGCGGGAATTTTAATATAATCTTAACATTTTGGGTACTCAGAGTCCGTTTGAAGCTCCATGGGGGCAAGAATTTTCATACCGTTTTAACCTTGTGGAGACTCCCAAGTCAGTTTGAAGTTCCATGGGGTGGGAATGTTCATATCATCTTGGCATTTTGGGGACTCAGAGTCGGTTTGAAGTTCCATGGGGGTGGGAACTTTGATATCATCTTAACATTTTGGGGACTCAGAGTCAGTTTGAAGTTTCATGGGGGTAGGAATTTTGATATCATCTTTAACTTTTGGAGACTCCAAGTCAGTTTGAAGTTTCATGAGGGTGGGAATTTTGATATCATCTTTAACTTGTGGAGACTCCAAGTCAATTTGAAGTTTCATGAGGGTGGGAATTTTCATATCATCTGAACATTTTGGGGACTCAGGCTCAGTTTGACGTTCCATGGGGGTGGGAATTTTGATGGAATCTTTAACTTGTGGAGACTTCAAGTCAGTTTGAAGTTTCATGGGGGTGGGAATTTTGATACCGCCTTAACCTTGTGGAGACTCCAAGTCAGTTTGAAGTTCCATGGGGTGGGAATGTTCATATCATCTTGACATTTTGGGGACTCAGAGTCGGTTTGAAGTTCCATGGGGGTGGGAATGTTGATATCATCTTAACATTTTGGGGACTCAGAGTCAGTTTGAAGTTCCATGGGGGTAGGAATTTTGATATCATCTTATCTTAGCTTTGTGGAGACTCCAAGTCAGTTTGAAGTTCCATGGGGGTGGGAATTTTGATATCATCTTTGACTTGTGGAGACTCGAAGTCAGGTTGAAGTTCCATAGGCGTGGGAATGTTGATATCATCTTAAACTTGAGCAAGTCAAGTTGCGCAATCCTAGTTGCGCAATCCGACCAAAGAGTTGCGCAATCCTGGGAGTTGCGCAATCTGTCGAAAGTAGTTGCGCAATCCGACCAAAGAGTTGCGCAATCCTGGGAGTTGCGCAATCTGTCGAAAGTAGTTGCGCAATCAGAGTTGCGCAATCCGACCAAAGAGTTGCGCAATCCTGGTTGCGCAATCCGGAGAAGTTTCGGAATCGGACTTTATTCGCCAAACATAGGCCAACATAGGGCCGACATAGGGCCAAGACAGGGCCAACATAGGCCAAGATAGGGCAAATATAGGCCAACATAGGGCCAACAAGCCGACATAGGCCAACATAGGCCCAACATGGGCCCAAGATAGGCCCAAGATGGCCAACCTGGCCCAACATGGACTCAAGGGCGGCCCTTCAATCCGGGATGGTCTAAGATATCGCCAACATGAGCGCAACATGCTCCCTACACTGACTTCAGGCCGTTTCTCTGTCAGCGCCCGGCTGTCAGGCGTAAGCCCTTAAATAAATGTTCAACCAAAATTGCAGCCACCTTTCTGGGACTGTTTTGAGATCCGCAAGTGATCTTGAACTATGCTGAGCACGTAGCCCCCCACTGCACCCTTTTTATCTTCAACAATTTGGGTGCTGAGAGAAAGAGCCACTTCCTGTGGCTTGCGAAACATAGAGTTGCATTGAAAGCATTGAAATGGGCTGATGTGAGCACCCAACTGCTGCTGTCTGTCCTTACTTCATCTAACTTCCAGCCCACGATGTATTCATCAGCATACTCTTCAAGGAATGAACAAAAAGCCATTGCTCTTGCAACGCATCAGTCACTTTCAAAGGCATGCATTCGCACCAGGATTTCTTGAGCGTTTTCTCATCCAAAATGAGATCAAAATTCTCTGGCAAGCAAACTGGTGCTCCCCACTGTTCATGACTGACATTGCTTGGCCATTGCAGCCGCACGAGACCATCACATTCACAGGTCTGGTTGTAGTCAGCGCAGTAATTCCAAGAGGGAATCCCCTTAGCAGAATTGTCAGCCATAGATGTGTTGAGTCTCTCTAGAGCGGTTTCGACCATCTGTCGGGTGAAATCCCTGTAGTGTTGCAGTTGGGACATAATGGCAGCATGTTCAGATCCATCTGCAACAAGTCGGGACGTGAAAATGAAGACGAAGCGACGTTGAAGATCTCTTTCGTCATCTGAAATTGGGCCATCCAGCCCTGCAGCAAACACACTGCGAACTACTGAAGAAAGCAGCTCAGAGAGGGTGAACGCTTCGGCACTGGAGCTGCTCGCTTCCTGTCGATGAAGTTTCACCAGTCTGTCATGGCCTAGAATTTCCTGCAGGAGCATGGTTCGCAAGCGCCTGATGATGTCATCCACGTCGAAACTGCACAGGGCGCCGCTGCAGCTCTCAACGAGAAACGCGTTGGCTTCGTCGGGCGGAAGCAATCCTTGGTCTTTGGGTCGCAGCAAACGTAGAACGATGTCCAGCGCCAGGCGTTGTGTCGCTGCAGGAATGGGCTCACTTGCCTTGCGCTTCTGGTCATTCTGGTCCTCGTACTTGTGCAAATATGAGTTGTTTCTCCCACCCAAGTAACTTGCAGCGTTGAAACCAATTTCTGGAACGAGGCTCGAAAGAATCATGTCCACAGCATGGCCATACAGTTGGTAGGACTGTGTCAGCAGCACCGCTGTGTCCAGCAAGTTCTTTTGCACTTCCGCAAACAAGGACACTTGGCCATCAAAGTGGGCAACAGGGTCAGAAGAGAGGTCATAGTCAATACACGATGGATCTTCGCCATAACTATTTTCCTCGTCGTAGCAGCTCTGCAAGCTCTCTGCCTCTCGCAAAATTTCCTGAAGCGCGGCAAAAGGGTGATCTGTGAAGGACAGAATGCTGTGTAGATACTACAGCTCTATATCCCCTTGTTGAATGAAAAGGCAAGGATTGAAGCAATGTCACGTTCTTGCTAGGATTGAGAATGTTGTTGGGATTTGACGCAAAGTCCTTGAGAATGACAGCAGCTTCTGCATCAGTCGATGCTGAATGTGTGTAGCCATAGCGAATTGCCAGCTTGTCATACGCCCCGATTGTAGGGGACCTCATAAGGGAAATGACTGCCAAGTATAGCAATGTCGTGTTTGTATTGCTTGATGCGCAGTGAAAGCAGTCTCCAAATCGCATCCTATTGCAGCATGCTCAAAAACTAGTGCACCACAAGGGCCCGGTTGGAATCGGAAAGGCATGAATGAACATGGATCTTACAACGTTATGCGGTTTTAGGATGTTTTAGGTGGCTGACATGAGTAAAGTTTCCTAATTTGCCACATTTTGCCACTCTCCAACAGATTCCAAGAGACCATACATGAGTCATGTGGGACGAGTTCTTTGGCAGATTCATCGCAATGTAGTCCATGACTGAAGCCTGCGATGACATGACACACAAGGACGACACTCTGCACGACACACTGCAGCCGTCGCTTCAAACCGCTTCCTTGGTGCGGCCAAGATACAGATGTGCCATGCTTGGCAGTGCATGATGGATTCTCCAGGCATTCTCGACCTTGGACCCAAGAAGTCACTAAGGATTGCCACTTCCGCACTATGACATTGCAAGCTTTTCTTATCTTATTTAAATATTGTTTAAATATTTATGTGTTCTTCCCAAGTCCCAAAATTGGTCACACCTTTTGCCGAGAGTCTGATTCCCATAGGTCCCTTGAAGTTGTGGCGCAAGCCCAAGCAATGGCCAACCTCATGCGAAACCACCTCCTGCAGACCTGAACCGAGGAGCTCGTGTGGGTCCTGACAGAAGGCGTTTCGTCTTTTCTCCGGTGATTCCTTTGCGAATTGGTAGTTCTGTTCTAAGGCAATTCGAAGAGGGCATCTAAGTTTGTAAGTTCAACGAAACAGTACCAAAATATTCTGAGTTGTCCCCAGACTGTGTGAAGAAAGGATGCTATCGGCTCGGTCGTCCGATATCACTATCACAGCAATTTGCATCTAGTTATCAGTGACCAACACATTAACACATTCGCAGTTCAGCAACTCACTTGTTGATCATGGGACTGAACGTGATCAAACGTGATCTGTTCAAGCACCCCTTGTGGTAGGTCCTTGGCAACTGGCTCAATGGCTTGGAGAAAGGCTGCAAAGCCAAACGATCGAGCCTTCCTGCCGTCTTTGTCCATGCGAACTTGGCGCGTCCTTTCGAAAACGCTTTGGCACCCTGTAGCTTTGCAACTCACACCCGACTAAAATCGACTAAATACAATCAAGTTAGGGTTTGACACTTCTTTTTTCAACTTCAGTCTCTTGTGGTTCTGGCCGTTGAGGACACTCTAAAAAAAAGATCAAGCACGAAAGCACCGAACGTGCAGGACATGATATTGGCTGAGGTGTGATGAGAATCTCAACGAACCCAAAGTGAACCAGATCCAGAAAGCGTTAGATGTCTTCAGCAGCATACTTCGGATGTCTTTAAGTTAAAAGTTAAAAGTGCAACAAACGTGATTATGTACAGAGGAAAACCAAGGATTGCCAGTTTCGCAATGGCCTACATGTTGGATTCTGGTGCGATTCACCAGAATTTTTGGTCCTGTTTTGCTTCTTCAAAGTGCTAAGATCTCCAGGATCGATGTCCAAGAGAGCAGATTTCAGCGTGGAAGCTGTGTGGGCGAGTTGCGAAAAGTTCAGCAGTTCCAATTCCAAATCTTCCAGGTAGGCCTTGACCCAGGAGTCTCCCATGGCCACGTCGCATTTGATGATTTCCCCACTGCGGGGATCCACCTGATAGGATTCGGATTCGGATGATTCGGAGAGGATTTCTTCAAGCGGTGGTTATCAAGGTTTTAATATGTTTCGTATATTCATGGCTTTACAGGATGAATGATTCAGGAAGATTCACTATATATATAAAGACTCAGCCGCTTCCCCAATTTTTTAAGCGGTGCAGAACCATTCTTGTCAAAGATAGATAGAAAATCAGCGAAAAAATCATCAAAAAGTTTCAAAATCCTCACCCATGATGACGGAAAAAAGGGGCCCATCCCCTAGTGCCCCCAGGACTTCCTGGCCAAACCACAGGTAAGCCCTAGCCAAAGCACGTGGGTAGCCTATGCGCCCGGCCAAACCCAGGAAACAACATAGGACCTACCCCAGCAGAACAAGCATTATTTTTCTCCCCCTTGGAGTTTGTTTAGGCCGTTTTTCGGCCTTTTTTGCTTGTTTCCTCTGCTTTCCGTCAAATTAGGGGGGAAGGGAGTGGAGCTGCAGCCAAATGCTACAGAAAAAATATGGTACATGCTTCTTCGTCTTAAAAAACGAGACGTTTAAACAAAGACTCAGCCGCTTCCCCAATTTTTTAAGCGGTGCAGAACCATTCTTGTCAAAGATAGATAGAAAATCAGCGAAAAAATCATCAAAAAGTTTCAAAATCCTCACCCATGATGACGGAAAAAAGGGGCCCATCCCCTAGTGCCCCCAGGACTTCCTGGCCAAACCACAGGTAAGCCCTAGCCAAAGCACGTGGGTAGCCTATGCGCCCGGCCAAACCCAGGAAACAACATAGGACCTACCCCAGCAGAACAAGCATTATTTTTCTCCCCCTTGGAGTTTGTTTAGGCCGTTTTTCAGCCTTTTTTGCTTGTTTCCTCTGCTTTCCAACGCCCCCTGCCCTGCCTTTAGGCAAGAGCTCAAGCATTGGCAAAGGTTGAGAAAGAGAAGTGAGGTACTGAGTACGTAGAGTACGGGAGTATCGGGTCCAAGGGATGGCCAATTCGGCCAAGATAGCCATTCCCTCGTTTATATACAAGCGGGTGGTGCGAACAGCCTGCCATCGGCCGTTGACCATGAGCCTGTCAAACGAACCTTCTTGTCTAAATTGAAAAGTGGCACCACCCCGTCGTAACGAGTAGGGCCGAAAGTCAAGAGGTCCAAACCCCAGAGAGTTCAGTGTATCAGAAAACATGTAGATGGGGGGCTTCAGTCAAGGTATAGCGGGAACCTGGAGTATCCAGCCATTGTTTGACTCGTCGTATGACATCTTCCACCACCACCTTGGCACTCTCAGCAGCGCCTTGGCGTTTGCCTCCCTTAGTGAAACCTAGAGACACAAGCACGGCTGTGTCACGGGAGGCCACCGCTAAGTGTCGCTTATTGAGGCCTAAAATTTCACCTGTACGCAGAAGACCGTAGAAACCAAGGAGAAGACTGAGAGCAAAAAGAGGTTGCTGATGAAATAGGGCATGGCCTACCATGGCTTCAAGGACTTCGACCGGCATAGGCGGGGCTCGATTTGGAATTTCCGTGGTATTCCAGGCTTTGAGCAACCTCCAAGTCCCCAGCAGATGCCCTCGTAGTTGAGGCTGGGTATCTTGTAGACCAGCAACTGTATCCGCAGCGAGAGCCCTGCCTTCGCCAGTACCCCACAGATGTTCGACATAGTCACTAACAATACTGTCCATCTGAAATCGCTGGCGAGGCAGCGTCAGGTCTTCAGCTTTGAGGTACGCAAAAAAGCGTTCCAGAGCACGGTCATATCGCTTTCTAGTGGCAGGTTGTACAGTCAAACTCTTAAGTGTGCCTAGCTTCTTTCGTGTGTCAATCCTCTCTTCCTTGGTTTTACCTTCTAGGACTCTTTTAGGCATTAGCCCATTTGCGCTTCCGGGGACGCCGACTAGGGGCGTCCGCCGGATTGAGGCTGGTACGGACATAACTCCATACCACAGAGGATCCAGTTGCAAGGAGGAGGGAATTGACACGGAGAAGGGTACGACGTAGTTTGCGGCTACTAGATCTTCCCCTTGAAAGTGAATGAAGGCACACAAGCGAATCGACCATATGTACAAACTTGATCTTGACCTGACTCTGTCTCTCAAGGCGCCAACGGAGTGCATTGAGGACGGCTCTCATTTCCAACACGTTGATATGTTCGCGTCCACCGCGCCACTGCCACGAAGAGGCAACTCTCCAACGCCACAACCGGGCCGGGAGACTCGCCCTCATTCGCTGGTAGCGAACCAAATCTTCCGAGCCTGCCTGGAGAAGAAGATCTTCACCTTTGAGACTCACCAGCGATGACAGCTTACGCACGAGCTGATGGCCCAATTGTCCGCGAACCTTGGTAGATTGCTGCCGCATAGGGGGCCGCTGCAGATAGGCTTGAAGACTATGAGTGCTTCCGGGAGCCGTCCGCTCCACTATCTGTTGGGGGCTAAGGAGTGGGTGAAACCCCAGAAGGTAGCCCAGGTGGTTCAGGATCCAGGCTACGACAGTGACATTCCATGAGTTGCCTATCATGGAGAGCCGGCTGGCCAAGTGCCCCGGGGTATTATGGAGGGTTTTCTTCATAGCTTGCATGGTATAGCCTCGGGGGAAGCCCATGATGCATTCTCGCTCTTCGATGTCAGGCAGCCGAAGCTCACCGGAGGACCGTTGCTGCAAACAGTTCTTGTCTTGGTATTGATAGGGCGGATACCGGTAGTGGTCGGCTTTCCAGCGCTCAAGCTCGTGGGCCTGGCACTGAGCCTTTCCTGCAGGACGGTGTCCCTCATAGTCACGACAGCGCGAGGTGGTGAAGGTTGGTAGGGGTTGTACCTCCTGCCTGGTCCACCCGGGATGCAAATAATCCCTCTCGTCAACCTGAGTGAGCACCTTGGCAGTATGACAAGCTGAGCTGGAAGAATCCCGGGAGAGCTGAAAGGTGACTCCCTCTTGAGCAACTAGCTCCCAATCAAACCAATATAACCGAGGTCGGCGAGCAATTGAGAAATCCTTGCCATCAATCATCCAGGGCGTGTCCCCGAAAGCTTCTGTCATGACTTTCCGATCTTGTTCATCCATTGAAGCGACGTTCTCAGCAAGAGACGCCACTCGAGCCCATGGGAAAAACTTCTGGACCAAGGCCTTGACACGGGGGACATGTTGGAAAAGAGCACTGCGGGAGTCACGAAGAGCTCCCTTCCGCTGAGCATTCAGCTGGCTGACCCCTTGGCACGGAGCCCCTGAGCCCAACAGGACCAGTGAAGCCTGACTAAAGAGGCAGGCCCATTCCTTTACTTCAGCTTCATCAACCAAGACGATGTCAGTCACAAAACGGGTGCTGGGAAACCGAGACTCTACCACCCGGCGTGCCTCTTCATTGGATTCCACAGAGACGTGGCCCAAGATATTCCAACCAAGGGAGTCGACGGCCACTCGCAACGCCGAAATCCCATCAAAAAGGCCCACTGTGAGCACGCTCTCTACCTCCAGAGGCTCTACAATGTCACCTCGCACAGAGCATCTGGCAGCGCAAGCTCCAGCCTCTGTGAGGCCGCGGGAGAAAGTTACCCCTCCCCCATACTCCGAGGCATCGCTGGCCGTGACACACTGGGAGAGATCCAGTCGGAAGTTTACCACTGAAAGAGGACTGAGGCCTACGAACCTGGCCAGCTCTTCTTTGACTGCCTCCGGGAGATCCAGAGAAATGACCGGGGGGAAGTGTTCGAAACTCACGATGAACTGCCACAAAGCGTTCATGCTGCCCAGTAAGGGTCTTCGAAACATCGCCAGGTAAACAAAGCCACCACCAATTACTTGAGCTTGTCGCTGTGTGCAACGTCCTCGGGCTAGTAGATGGCAGGCCAACTGGCAATACTTCATCACCTTCTCCGGTTTCGGATAAGCCAAACCGCGGGAGCCATCAACGATGGCTCCCTGCACTTCCGCGACACGCTGTTGCTGAACGCTCTTCTTGGGATGACGTGGAATTTGAAGCCGTAAGTATTCCTCACGCAGCCCCAGGCTCATTGCCGACAGCTTCCCCTCGATGGTCTCTGCCAAATGGCGGTTCACCTTTTTGAGCTCATCAAAGTTGTCCAAATAGACCCTGAAAAGATGGCCACCTCCTGGGAAGGTGCGATCCTTCCTAATCTCCGATTCAGAGCCCAAAGCCATACCACTATGGACCATGGCACGGCGCACTACCACTCGGTGCACCTGCTGCGCCAGTGATACGGAGTTTTTGAACCCCATCGGTAATACCGAGCTACAGAGGTAGTAAACACCAGGCAGCGGACCACGCAAATGGTGCGGGACTGGCTTGTTGAAAGCAAGGAAGCCATGCCACTCCTGCGGGACCCGGAAGATATAGAAGAAACATCGCACATCTTCTGAAGATACTACCAGATCTTCATGTGGCATCAAGTGCAGAGCCGACATGTTTGCCCAAGAGGGCAAAGTCGATACATCTCCAGAGATCCCACGGCAGATGCGGTTTAGCGGTATCATGTTCATTATGAGACGCCTAGTCTCATAGCCATTGCAGAATTCATGTTTGCTCACCCCGAACAGTCCGTTCAGCAGAGGCTGACCATGAACATGGTAAATCTCGCTTTCATGTATCACTTGGCAAATGCCTTTGGCCAAGAGGCCTTCGCACACCTTAGTCCAAGCCTCCGCAGGGACATGAACTTTAGGGGGCTTTGTATACACTTGATCATCAATTGGCAACAGGTACTCAGAGAAGTTGGTAACGTAGTGAGCACTGCCCATTTCAACCACACTTTGAAGATCAACTGACCCTACCTCATCGGGTAAGGCGGGAGATATGTTCTCCCACTGTATTGGCTGAGCCATCAGTATTTCTTCTCCCCGGTAATCCACTGTCTTTATGTTGAAGAAACTGGCCCAAGACGCGGGAGTCTCTTGGACATCCCATTCCAGTACTCTACGACAATTTTCCAAAAGGTGAGACAAAACTCTTTTTTGAAAAGAGGAAATGACAGTAGTACAATACAGACCCTCGCCATTGAGGGAATTGAGGGAAACACACAAAAAAACGCAAACAGCCAAGTACCTTTGGGGTTTCCTGGGGGAAAGCGACTTTAAATGCTAGGTCGGACGTGGGCAAGGGGAACACCCTGCCCGTGGGCTTGGCCCTGCACCGCTCTACAAAGTAAGAGTCCAACCTGCTACTTAGCCACCCTACTACCTCAGAAAAAAACCCACCCTGGCTGAAACGGATCTCCTTATTTTCATCATCCAAGCGGACAGTCTCATCTAACTGTACAAGGTTTGTCTCTCCTGGAGTGGCAGCTCCATCGAGACGAGGACAAAATGCCCCCGGGAGCTTCCAGCTCCCTCCTCCCGTGTTGGGAGGCTCACCAAGCGCCTCTTCCCGAGCTTTCTCTGACTTCTCCTCCTCTTTGTAACCCCCTTTCTTGCCTTGCTCACGCCGGGAGCCTGTCACTCCCACCTCCTCTCTTTTCATAAGTCTCCTCACTTGTCTTTCTTCTCCTTGAAGCCTCGATCGCCTTCTCCCGTCCTTTTGCCCTTTCCCTTGTCTTCGACCTTGCCTTTCTTTCCTTTTGAATCGGGAGCTCCTACTCCCTTGCCCTTGTATAGGCTTGCTCCTCCTTTGACCTGGTGCTCCAACTTCAGCTCCTTTGCCGCCACACTCATCTCGGCTCTGGTGGAGATCTGGGGTGCCAGGGTCCCGATCAGCTCCAACTTCTCGGTGGAAGCCCAGGTACTTCCCTGAGAGACCCGTTCTATACTCTTGAGTCTCTGCATCCCCAGATCGGCAGCTTCGCTTACCCGACCCATCATCATCAAGTCCAGCATAGATGCCAGTGTCATAACCTCCCTCAGGGCACCCCCTGATAGTTTTCCATGCAGGGTGCTCCTCACATACTTCATAGCGATGGGGGGCAGCGAAGCCTCCTCTTCCTTCCAAATTCCAACTCGACCATGGCCTCCTTCATGCGGCCCACCCCCATGGCTGCTAGAAGGCCCGGGCCATGACGGTGGAGGCTCCTGATCTTGTTGGAGTCTTGCAGGAGGTCGCCCTCCTCCTCTGAGCTCCTTTCGGTGCGGGAGGTCGACGTCGAGCTGTTGCTGGACGAACTGGATGCCTTTGTTCGCAACTTCTTCTTGGCGTAGTGCATGACTCTTCGACGGATCTTGGCCTGAGGGTCCAGGCCTGTCCCCCCGTAGATCAGGGAGAGGTCCTTCCGCGCAATGCTTCGACCTCCCCATTTTCTCTTCCTCCTGACCTTCTCTGCGCCAGCCCTCTTCTGGTCGGCGGTACTGGTTTTGCTGGAGCTCCGACTTCGACCCTTCTTCTTCTTCTTTTTCTTTTCTTTTCTCCTCCTCCTTGAACGGGAGATTTTCTTCTCCCCTGCTGTTCCTGCTTCGCCTTTTGCTACCACCAACTGTCTTTCCAACTCCTCCTGCTTCCGACGAAGGGACTCTAACTCGTCCCCGGGAGGTGTCTCTAAGTTCAACTCCCAAACCAAACCTTTCTCTTCCTCCTTCTTTACACTCCTCACTTGAAGGCTGTGGATCAAGCCGGGAGCATGGGGCTCCCCCGCGCAGCCGGGAGGGCAAAGATGCACCTCCCCCAGGCGGTCTGCTGTCCCTGTCGCGTAGGCCAGCAAGTCCGCGTTGGTCGTGCCCGTAATGTGAACCTTGAGACGTTGATCGTGGTCTCCTTGCCATAGTTCCCGATAGCGCCCCGCAACTTTGCAGCTTCCGCCAAAGTATTTGGCCTCGTCAAAGACCAGTAATTGCCCGACTTTCAGAGCGCTAATGGGCAGCTGGGCAATATCCACGTTCTCCCCTCGGCCAAACTTTTCTTCAACTGTGTTGGCAGCCCCCTCCGGCACGCTAGCTTCCTCTCGAGCAGCTGGCCTCCTTCGACCGCCACCTGGGTGTGGGATTACTGCTGCCGGCCGTCGAAGCTTCGGGGGCATTACCTTTGCCCCTCTTCTCTCCTCTTCTTTCTCCTTTTGTTAGGGCCAAATTGCTGAATGTCTTTCCACCTGGCGTCACGCACTTTGCCCTTGGACTTCTTCCACACTGGATGGGTCTTGCCAGACCCCTTGCCTTGTCCCACGAGGTGAGCAGGAGGTGGCCCTGGAGGAGAAACTGGTCGGGCCTCTCCTCTGCGCCTTCTACCACCTCGTTCACTCTCCTCTCTGCGGGAGCGCCTGTCTCCCCTTCTGCGCGACCTTGTTTTTGACCGGCCCCGAGATGTCCTCCTCCTATCGCGGCGATCTCTGGACCTTTCCCTGGATCGACGCTGCTTTTCCTCAGTTGACCTCTTCTCTTCTGACCGAGCTTCCTTCTTCCTATTCTCCTCTAACGGTTCTGGGGCCGATGCCTCCGCTTTCACAGGAGACTTGGTTTCTCTTTTGTCTACTTCTGGGTCCTCCTCAACAGCTTCCTCCTCACAACTCTCGTAGGTGTATTCGTCCTCCTCCCTGGGCCCTTTGTTGATTCCCTCTGTGGCCTTGGGTGCAGAGGAACTGGCAGCCTCACTTGCTGGAAGGCGAGGAGCGGCTTTCACAGGAACCACTCCTTTGGCCCCAGTGACACTAGGTGGAGGAGGAGCAGGCGCCACCCCTCGTGAGGTAGCCTTCGAATTTGCGGCTGGCGCTTCTTCTTCTTCAGTCGACAACGGCCAGTGGGGCGGAGGAGGAGGAGGTTGAGGCGTGAGGGCACCAGCCTTTGGTGCTACGGGAGGCGCAGACTCCCTTTGTTCTCCCTTAGATTCGGGAGGTGACTTTCCCTTCACGGGGTCTGGAGGTGGCACTTCCGGCTCGGTCTGCTCGGTCTTGACTTCAGCTCCGGGAGTGGACAAGGGCGCACTTGTCTCGCCTCCCAAGGGACCTTCGGGAGCTGCCACTCCCAGGTCCGGACCACCTCCTGGGTTGGTCCCTGGTCCGCCCACCCCTTCTGCCACAGGGGGGGGGACACCAATCACGCCACCAGGTCGAGGAGGTGGCGGAGCTCGAGCCCTAATGTCGAGCAACTCGTTGTAGAGGATGCGCACGCGATCGGTGGCGAATCCAAGCGCTCCTGGTCCTAGCTCACCGGAGTGGCAGAACACTGACAGGCGCCCGACCGCCAGGCACAAACTGCAGCAGCAAAGCTCGGGGGCCGGTTGGCCCCCAACCCGCATTGATACAGCTGCAGCCAAATGCTACAGAAAAAATATGGTACATGCTTCTTCGTCTTAAAAAACGAGACGTTTAAACATATATATATATATATTGATATATTATATATATATATTGATATATAATACTTTATGATACTTTATGATTTATGATAATTGATGAGGATCATTCGTCGGAGCTGGCAGCTCTTAAGAACTGATGACATTGAAGCTGATACTTTCAACTGGGAATTCTGTTGCTGATGGTTCTCAGCTGATGCATTGAGCTTATGTAGCCTAGCTATGCATAGCTACGCATAGCTCAGCATAGCTCAGTGTTGTGTGCAGAACTATGCGTAGCTCACATGTTCTGATTCCAGCTGTGCTATGCTTATGCTTTGGCATCGGCATCGGCATCGTTGGCGCCTTTGCGATGCCCATGCTGACGGTCGAAGGGGCAAGATCCCAGGAGATGGTGTTGAATCGAGCGTCAGAAAGTTCGAAATCTGAAGGCCAATCCTCAGAGATGGACAGTTCTCAAAAGGTATGAAAAAGGTATGGACGGTATGGATATGAAAAAGGTACGAAAATTGGATACAGTGGGTTTGTTGACTGTGAGAATCTCATTTGACACATGAAATTTGGATTGAGGAGCTGGATCTTCAGGCAAAATGGCCTTCACCGCATTCGGTCGCTCTATCAGTGTGTAGGCATCGTTCCACACCTCGATACCCTTCCTTAGGTGTTGTCAAAATCATGTAAAATGTGTTGAACTCAAGAGATGTCTCAAGGATCTCAAAGTGCCTCAATGTTTCTAAACACTTGTATGAGTCTTGTATGTCTTCGTGAGTCTTAGTCCAAGTTACCGGAAGAAAGGCCGCCATCGCTTGGGAACGGATGGGTCGACGTAGAATCGAATAGTCTGATCCGGCAAAGCATCAATGTTGTAGCGCCAAATCATGGAAACTTCCGAGTCCACCAGTTCACTCAGTTTTCGAACCTCAGAAGGTCGACTCTCGAGGTTTCCTTTGTTCACATACTGCGTGTCAAAGTAAAGGAGCCGATCATCATTTGATCTTGGTTTCATTGGCTGCTCAGGAAGCAAAACCACCGTGTAGCCAACACGCAGCAAAGGGAACATAGGACCATAGTCGACCGTGATATCAAAGTTGTTGGGGAACTCCTTGGCATCGACCACGTAGATACTGGAACCCAAAGCAGCAGCATCTACAACGAAGAAACCATCTCCAAGAAGACCTGCAGCTTCAATGATGATCCGATTGGCTTCGCCTTCACATAATAATCGTGGGAGACTCGCGATCAATGTACTTCCCAAACCTGACTTTACCGCATATGCTGATTGTAAATCAGATGTTCTGATGTTCATAATAGGCTTGAATATATGAACCGAATTGCCATCATCCGACAAAGCCATCTCAAGCAGAGTAGACTCTGTGTCCTCTTCTGGAGAGGCCCGTTCTGCGATATAACCCAAATCGTCTGTGTAGGCGCCATGTTCAAACATGGCCATGACAAGCAGTTGAACTTTGGCGCCTTTAGCTTTGCCTTTCAGGGCATTTGTGAGATCGATCAACAGCTCTGTCGCCTCAGTCATATCTGTGCTTTCTGGACGTGCTGTGCCCAACCTCAACAGATTCCTGCTGGAATCGTTACAAATTGGTTTCAGCCCATCACATTGAGGATACATTGGAGGACAACCTGTAGTTTCTTCATTGTTCCTCAAAACTGTGCGAGTGTGGTGAGAGTGGAGCCCGACTCCATCATCCGTATGGGAATCCAAATGATGTTTCTCTTTCGCCAAGCTCAAGCCAACCTGCAGAAGGTCGACAGTGTCCACTGTGTCTCGACACTCGCTTCCCTGTCCATCAGCCAAAGAAGGACAAAGGCCAAGCAGGCTGAGGCCCAGGAAGCCGAGCATTTCTCTCAGCGAAGCTAACACATGTAATGAAAAATATTCTATGGAAAATACACAGCCATCGGCCGAGTGGGCTTTCCGGTCACGAAAACGGCTTCGAAAAGGCATGAGCTCTGAGAAAGGGGCGCTTTGCCACGTGTTTCCAAACGAAATCCTAGAACTTCATTTCTCAAGTAAAATCTACAGGTGGCTACAAGTTGCAAATGATCACAAGACCGTTGCAGAAGTTGCACTCAGCAATTGACTCAGTACTGAATTGCCAGTCGCGAGAGCTAAATGTCGAGCCTCCAAGTCCATCAATAGCTTCGCACCTACCCACATTGACCCAAATGATACTAAAGTGATATCAAACAATATCAAATGATAGCAACTAATATTTAAAGTGATCAGTCATCAAATGGCGCATCTAAGCAGTGCACAGGTGTCCATGAGGTATCCAACGCCTTCCACCGAGCCCTCAGTTGAATGGTTTGGTGACTGAAATTGTGGAGCCAACGGAGGCAGGATCTTGTTGAAACCTAGCTGCGTCATCTGGATGGAGACGAGCCAATTCGTCCTGGAATAGGCAAAGAGTGGCAAAGATCTGAATGCTATTCAATTTCTTAACTTTCTTAACTTTCTTAACTTAACTTGTATCTGAATGTACCTGATATCATTGGTGGGCCAACTGCTGCTCTGAAGACCACAGAAAATGCATGTGCCACTGCAAGTGTGAAGTTTTTGTCCTTAAGCCACTCGATCTTCTCTTGGTAGCTTCGGATCTGCACCAAATGTCACATGACTCAGTTGTAAGACTTTATGATCTGCCAAGCAGGACCGGTCTCTGGACCTTGCACTTCGGCCCAACCTCAGCCTGCTTGATGTCGTCTGCCATTGAAAGCTGTTTCTGGCGCATCGAACTCAATACACTATCAAATCGAAGAACCCAAACAGTGGGTGAGGATTCCCAAAAAGGGCCACATGAACCACAGTTTTAAGTATGGCAAATGTCAAAGCAGTGGTTTTAAGTATGCAAAATGCTCTTTGTTCCGGTCTTTCTAATTCTTTTCACATTCGGATCACGTTCGGAATACTTTAGAATACTTTAAAAGTAGATAAACGTTGTCAGAAATTTCGAATGTGATTTCGCATGAATTCGTCCTTTTCATGTTCCTTTTGAGTTGCTCTGCGTCCTTGAGCTCAGAATTCTGCTGCTGCGTTGCGGCGAGGTCATTCCTGGAGCGGACATCTTGGCACAGAGCGAAAGTTGAGACAAAACATGAGACAAAACGAATAGACTTGAATCACTTGAATAGACAACTTAGATCAACTTAGACCACGTACTGGCCTCGGTTGTGTTCTGTCTGAAAAGTGAAAATGTGAACTGTGAACTGTTGGCTGATGGCTTCCCTCGGCTCCTCAACTGCTCTATCTCTGCTTGTGTCTCTGCCATGGACTCTTGGCTAGCCTTCCAGTGACAAACGACACCAAGAGCGACGGAACCTTTTGTAACATCTTTGAATAAAAGCTGGGACACCTATAGACACATCTAGTTGATAGCATCTAACGATCACATCAAAAGAGACCAAGCAGGCCATTCCGTTACAAGACATTTCATTCCTAGTTTAGGGTCTTCACAAGATTAATGTCCCCCAGACTACTTCATACCAGGTTCCCAGTAGACTCAGTAGGACCTTCCGACTGGCCAATTCCTGCTGTGTGGAGTGCAGCTCAGAGTCAAAAGCCAAGACCTGAGAGAAACTTCCAAAACGGAACAGCAAGAAGATCAATTTGGAGAGTAGTGAGAAGAATCAGAAGACTTGTTACCTCATCATACATCATCATACATCATACACTAAAATACTGAGGGTCTTAGGCAGTCTTAGTATGTAGGCACACACACACACACTAGACAAAATTGGATCTTTGAAGAGATCCATCAGGAACTGAGTCCTGTAACGTGCAACAAGCCTAGACAATTAGACCTAAGGTAGATCTCGTGGTTGTACTTTGCGACTACGATGAAGGTCTTACGAAAATATCCAACGAAGCCCAAACCAAACTCCAAAAACGGCAAATAAATCGTCATCCAAAACCAGATTGCGGCGACCATGTAAAACCATGTAAAATAAATTGTTTGGAAACGGCGTGGTGGTTCTTGGGTTGGCCACATCCCATGTCCGAAAATGAAGCAGGTACGTGACAAAGGCGTCCCTTCGTCATATCACCATGGAAAGGCAGTGTCTTCGTTGGTGGATGACTGCCAGACCATGCATCCACCCCCTGCTGACAACTGTAAGAACCCTGAAGTTTTACATCTGTACAGATGTGCCACACACACACACAGGGGATGCAATTTAGGTGTGGGTGCACATCCATGCATCATTATACATCATTATACAATATTATACATCCATCTTTAGTGTCACGTATATCACCTATATCACGTATATCACGTATATCACGTATATCACAACTCACATGGGGTTGTGTGAAAACCTGGTATCTTTTTAAATGACCCCCTGTAGACAAGAATTTTGATGTTTCCAGCTTTCTGTGGGTGGGAAAGCATCCTTGGTCGAGAGTCAACAGATGTCATCTTTTGTTTTCATTTCCTTTCATCGCCTTTCATTTTGCATTCATTTCCTCTCATGTTCCTTTCGTTTTGCATTAATTTCCTTTCATTTTGCTTTCATGTCCTTTCATGTTCCGTCGCTATGTATCAAAGATACAGGTCTTCGAAAGCTGATATGCTCAAACCTGTCAGGTGCGTATCCGCCCAAACGCTCGCGTTTTTTCATATTTCGTGATTGTTTTTGTTATCGTTTAGCTATCGTTTTGGAGGCCTGTGCAGATTGCCATCTTCAGGCTTCGTGAACATGTACATGTATAAGCTCGCTATCGTTTTTTTTACTCTTATCGTTTTCTGGGCCGGCAATGCATTGACAGTGTTAAGGTGCAAGCCAAGCCAAAATGAAATGCCCGGGGTTATTATCCCACATGGTTCTTGATCATGTTTAGACGTCTTGATACAGTTCCTATTCCTACAGTGTCGCACCGCTGACCGTGGAATCGTGGGACCGTCGCGAGTCGAGGCTCCGAGCAGTTCCCTTCACGGCGCCTTCCAGCCTCAGACGGGACGCGACGCAGTGGACGAGGCATCTCGAGTCTCGGATCGCATCTCGTAACGTCGTAACGTCTTGTACACCGACGGACACAGTGAGAAACGCCACCTGGATCCACGGAACAGCCGTGACGAAAAAGGAAGAAAAAGCCGAGCGGCTAAGCGTTACAAAAAATGAGAAAAGAAGAGAAAAACAGGAAGAGAATGAGAAAACAGGACAGGGACAGAAAAAGAGTCAAAGACGAAGAAGACGAAGAAGACGAAGAAGACGAAGAAGACGAAGAAGACGAAGAAGACGAAGAAGACGAAGAAGACGAAGAAGACGAAGAAGACGAAGAGGACGAAGAAGACGAAGAAGACGAAGACCCTCTGCTGTGAACACCAAACAATGATTGTCACTCTTGAGACCCATGCAAACGGGCAGCAGTAGGCAAACCATAGCCTCAGGACTTCCCAAAACAAACTTTCTCGAACAGTGCTCTTGACTTCATGTCAATTCTCTCCAAATCTTGCGACTGATTTTGGAAAGGATACTTAATCGATTCATATCGATTATATCTAATTATATTATATCATGTCAATGTGTATATATATATAATTTATAATATTATAATATTATATATATATGGATATTATATAATATATATGTAGGTGTGTGTGTGTCCTGAAACCTTGAGACGTCTACGTATGGACCGAATCACTTCACGGATGTCCCTCACGTAGTCCTCTAAGCCTGGGAAGTCACACACAAGACGCACAGAATGTCCCGCGTCCGATTCAACGTATGGATTCAACATAGTTCATTCATGTCATTCATGTTCATTCGACATGACATAGAGATGTCATGTGTCCATAGTTCTGTCCATAGTTTAACTGTCAATTCTCCCATCGTTGCACATCGCACTGTAAGGCAATCCACGGCATCCATCTGGCAGCCCTTTCTGGGAGAATTGGACGTCCTGATCCCGCTCGGCCCGCTCTCTGTAAATTCCCCGGACATTCTCCAATTGACACAGCTTCCAAGCTTTGTGATATTTTGATACTATAATATACATTGATATACTGCTATGATATACTTTGTGCAAGAGCTGCAACCAGCCTCTCCCTCAGCATGTGTTTGAGCTTCCTGACATGCCTATGGCATCCAATCGCAAGCTCAGGAACTTCAATATATATATATATATCATTACAAATCCTGCAAATGTTGTGAATTTAAATGCATTTGAATCTGTCCTAACTCCAATTCTCACAGACTCTTCCAGTATACTCAGTACAGAGACACAGCGACACTTCTTCGCTGCCTTCACGTGTTGCTCCAACCTTGCCACTAGGGTGTCCTTCCTCAAAGCCTCAGATGTTCCTAGACTTCTGGGCTTTTGCGTACCCAGCGTGTTCCTCGACACAAATTGGGCCCTGGAAACCATGTCTGCTGAGTCTGCTGAGTCTGGTGAGTCTGCTGTCTCCATCTGCATCAAGCCGCTCAGTTTCGGGTGAATTCCGAAATGTGACGCATTTCGATGCCAAGCTTAGCTAATAGCTGCTCCAAGCTTAGCTAATAGCTGCTTTAAAAGTCTTTAAATGCTAAGCTTTACAACGAAGGCATCTGAGGCCAAAGGACGCTGTCGTGTTCCACGTTTCTCAACCACTCCTTCGGCTCCTTTGGCCGCTTCGTGAACCTCAGAGCACTTGCCCTGAAAACCGAAATGCCACAGCGCTACCACAGTTCTACCACAGTGCTACAGTACCTGTCCTGTTCACACGACTCGGCAAACGCGTTCCCCAGGTGTTCGGAGACTTTGAGATTCCCAGCTGGGCATTTTCTCGTCTTTTTACCTGAAGCTCAGTAGTCAGCTTCCTCAAGTTGCCAAGACCTTCCAAGACCTTTCGTTTAAACAAAGTCGTCGCCAAGCCTCACTTTGTCTGGAGCCTCACCGAACATGACGCCACTGTCCGAAAGAATAAAAAGATTCAATGGATATCAATAGAATCAATAGATGCTTCACAATTCCGCTTTTATATATCATATCATAACACATTACAGTAGTTAGACTGGATGCCAAGAAAACAAAGAATACATCAGAATGACAATCCGAACAAATTGAAGAACCCTACAATTTGCAACGACACATCTGGATCAAAATGGCAAACCCCCAATTGCCACTGCTGCAAAAACAAGACATGCCTCCACTGGGTGGCTGCAATCGCTGGAGCAAGACGGTTTCTGGCACTCTCTCCTTCAAAACAATCTTGAAAGGCCAATTTCAAAAGGCAATCCACAAGCCCAAAGGAGCCAACTGGAGTCCAGTCGCTGGACGTCGCTGGACCAGTTTGAAGTCCGACAGCAACACCTAGCTGCCTAGCTCCTTCCCTGCCTTCGTTTCACGTTGAAGTGAAGAGCTGAGTATGGTGAATCATGGTGATCATGATTTTCATAAATGATCATGATGTGTCTCAAAGGGTTCCAACCCCAGTCTCTCTCGGATTCTCTCAGGACCTCTTTCGTGGATTTTGAGTACCAAGAAATCTCGCATGCAAAAGCAGCTAGATCTGAGTCCTGAAGGCACACATTCAATGCATGGCCTTAGCAGGTTCCACTGGTTCTGGCCAGCCATGAAAACTCGAAAACTCAGAGCTTCAAAAATTGAGTGCTGCACAATGGTCCCCAGTCATTTTGCATGCAGGTATCCTGTCGCCAGATGTCGCCAGATGTCGCCAGTCCGTTTGGAGGTGAAGCTGCGCTTACACCGGGTCAGTGTTCTGGGGAAATGAGACGAACTCGTTCGCGCCTTCGCTTGCCATCACTCCAGCGCCCCTCAAGACCTGGTGGCAAACCTGCCCAATGCCCACCCAAAATCGAACAAATTCCAACAAATCGCCCTTCCTGCGGGGTCACCATATGGAACTGCCCGTGCCATGCTCAGTTTACATTCGTGCACCACATCTACTGCCCTTCAGCATCTCTCATGTACTGGTGTCTGACGCAGCATGGTCATGTGCAATGATTTCTGGCAATGGCCTACCATCGCCTGACATCGCCTAACATCGCCTAACATGCGAAAGAACAGTCACAGGCCACACCTGTGCGCCGGTCAGGCGAAGCACGCCCAGAGTCCCTGGTGCAAAACGCTGTAAACCTCTAACCAAACTGTCCAACACCATCCAAAACTGTCCAAAACCGACCAAAACGTCTGAAACATCCGAAACATCCTGGTAAAGGCAACTTTCGACCTCCAGTTTTGGGTTACAGGAGAGAGTTTCAACAAGCGCAGGTCACTGGGATTGGGACACGGATGGTGTTTCAGGTCGACGCCTGTGCCACAGGAATTCCTTTCAAAAATGCTCCCAGTTCATCGGAATTTCATGCAGATGTCACTGTATATAATTGTATATATATATATATACTGGTTGGTGGTTTCAACCCCTCTGAAAAATATTAGTCAGTTGGGGTTATTATTCCCAATCTATGGAAAAATTAAAAATGTTCCAAACCACCAACCAGTATAATCATACATACTGTTCACTGCAATTCTGATAAAAATCGCTGGAGTCAAGGGAATCAATCAACAAGAAATTCGAAATCAGACTTCAACGGGCAAAATATTGCAAAAAGAATCCAAAAGATACAAAATGCACCGGTGCACTCTGGGGGACAAGCGTGCATAATGAGCATGACGTAGATATCGCTGTACCTCCCACTGGAATCACAGTCACAAGACTGAAGTCGATCTGAAATCATCAGTGACATTCGTCGACATTCCTAATGAGTGACTCTGAGTGACTGAAATTCGTCGCTTTCGTCAGATGTTGTCCGTTCCAAAACGTGGCACCGCTCGGCTGGAGTTCCTGAGCTCAACGGATCGACCAGCGCCACGGGATGCCACGGGCCCGAAATCCTTCGTTGAAAATGTTGTCCGACTAAGGCAGGCACAAAAGCCTGAAGCCGGTCCGGTGGTGAAACTCACAAGGCGTGTGAATTCTACACATTTCACATCGTTTCACTATGTTTCACTCAGTAGAACACTTACAAACTGAGTTTGATGCCCATGGCACACGAAGTACAACGGAATGAGCCTGCTGGTCTGAAGTCTGAAATGCAGCTGTGAAAAGGTCTGCAACAAGTTCTCCGCCCGCAATTCTTCATGGTCATGCAGCAGTTGATTTGATTGTTTGATTGAGATTCTTGATTTTTTTGATGTTGCAACAATTTGCAATATCTCACTGCCTTTCCATAGCTAGTGCGCACTGCCCCTGGCAATTCCACCCTGAATCACCACGGAACAATGAGATACGACGAGTCAACGAGATGCACTGCAAGGACTAAAACTGTAGGCAATCGTGGGCGACTGGAATACATAGCCAGGTTTCTCTGAGAACTTGCTCCAAGCATTGGCAGTTCCAAGATGTTCAAAAAAAGTACTGTAGGTTGAGTTTCCAGCGACAATGCAACTTCTTCGCCCTCATTGACCTCAAAAAGACCGTTGGAAAAAGGAGTTGGAAGGAGTTCACTGATACTGTTCTTCTGCTACCTAGCGTAATGTTAGCTAACATTAGTAAGTGAGTTCTGAAATGGGCATGACACAAATGGCGAATCAAATGACAAATGCATCTGTTTTTCTCACAAAGAGGCCCCTGCAGCTGGTCTCGCTGCCAGTGTGTGACTGCTATCATCGTCCCATTCTGCGATCAAAATTGAATCGCAAAGCGCAGAAATGTTGATCACAAGGAAAATCAAGGAAACAATGCGAAACATGAAACAATTTATGCATCTTGACCCGACCGTATTCATTCAATACAGTCAATACAGTCAATACATCACCATATTCACGTGATTTCACGTGTTGATGCGTTGATGGCACTTGACTTCCCATGGACTTTCTGAGATCATCTCAGCAGCTTCCGAGCCTACGGGCCCGTCTCGTCTGGTCTCCTGGCTGAGACCGCAGAAAACAAATGACAACAACAGATTTCCACAGGTTTCCACAGGTTTCCACATCAGTCACATGGAATCGATGGAAAGATATGAAATCAACAGAAAGCTTGATGAGACTATTGGGTCATGGTATAGTGTCATGCTACGCCCTACTTCAGAGTCAAGTTTGCGTGTGTCCTGAGCAGCGCGGAATGTCAGTTCCAGCTCCTTCTCCAGACCTCAACTCTCACAAGCCCTTTTTGCATCAGTGTCTGCCGTGTCTGCCGTGTCTGTCATGTGCCCAAGATGTGCCCAAGATGTGCCCAGGCTGCCTAGTCCTAGTCAGTCCTAGTTGCATCATGTTGCATCTGAAATTAGCCTATTAGCTCTGAAGCAACACTCAGCTGAGCAAGGCGCGTTGCAACGCAGAGAGGCCTTTGCTGCATCTGAATGGCTATATACTCTTATATATTCTTACTGTGTAACCCAGAGGCCCATGTTGTGACAAAGTTTCAAGTCCTTCCATGTCAACTGAATTGCGCAAGACAACCCAGTGACTCCAAAGTGAGATTAGAATCAGATTCCAACCCGCCTGACATCACCTTGTTGTGCAGAATAACGCTGTCTGCAAGTGTGCCTCCCGGAAAGGTGGTAGCGAGGAGTGCAAACGCTCAACTTAGCATAGAATTAGTGGTGGGCAAACTCTGCAAAGCTGTGTGCAGCCAAGAATCTATTGTCAGGTGCATCCAAGGTAGCTTCTTGCACAGCGTTGGTCTGAACAAACAGAGCTGCTGTTGAACTGCTAGGTGTTCCAACAGTTGAAAATGTTGACGTCAGCAGGAATGCCATAGAATGGAGGACAGACTGAAACACTCCTCAGGATAATTGTAAGTAGCCCAATTCCGCATCAGGTCAGCCACTGTCCTGGCATAGCCAAAATGTGCAAGGCCAATGAAAGGCCAATAAAAGGTGCGATTCGCGAATGAAATGCATGAAACATTAGCAGCATCTTTTTGCAGTGAAAAGTTCTCTCTGCCAGATGTGTTTTTTCTTTGACGTGATGGCTTAGCATCTCTCCTGATGGCACTTCCAGGACGCTTGTGTTCTCGGCGCAGACGGTTTCGTCCACGAAAAGAATCTGGCACGAACCACACGATGGACATTTGGGTTTGTCTGAAAATTGGATTCCCCCAACCATTTTGTTACGAGAGAAACTCTGCAAGAGATGCAGATTTTGGGTCGTGAAATTCACAGCGTGCAGTCTTTTCTCCGCAAACTATTCACTTCTGCTATCTTCATCGGGCTCATCTTCGTCCTCATATTCCTGCAACGTTGAAAGCAAAAGTTAAGTCGGCGTTGGACACAATCTGACAAGATCTGACAAGCCAATGTGAACTCCAGCAGGGAAACTGCTGTCTGTCGGTCCTTTCGTTTGCGCAATTCGACACTGCTCAGCTCTGCATGTTCACCGCCACAGAGTTCCATGACCTACATCAGTGACCCGCATGTCTGCAAACACGGTAGATAAACTTGTAGATATGACCGAAGTCGTTTAAGGGCGCTGAAAGATGTAAGGCCACCACGTCGTTTTCCACATGTGTACCTGTTTTGTTTGTGTACCTACGTCCTTGAATTCAAGGCAGCCCCACCTCGTTTAGCAACTAAATCTGGGGCTAAAACAGAAAGTACCTCTACCCAAAGACTACTCTACATGTGCGCAAATAAAAACAATAGCTGGTATGACAGGATGTGAGGTTTTTCGATTCGCTCTGAGTCATTTCAATTCATCAAAATGAGCCTTCTGTAAATTTTGTTGAATCGAGAATTGAACGAAACGAAACATGAAAATCATGAAATGAATTGAGTAGTGAAGTAGTTCGAAGTCATTCAGCAATGCCTTCGGGCCCTTTTCGGGGCTCCCTGGGGGCCTCGTGCCACAGGGGCTTCGGGAGCCCCAAGCATTGCTTCAGCGCCACAGGCCGAGCACAGGCCACGGAAACCCAGCTGAAGTCTTGTGTGCTGAGGTCCCTGCATCAAATTCGGTCAAAGATGATAAGCACGAAGCACGAACAAAAACAATATGCATTGGAGGTGAGTTGCAAAGATTGCAAAACGTTCCCAAATATATCCAAATATTGCAGATGCAAAAGGAATTCAAAGACGTTGCAGCAAACTTAACGACTCTTGAACTCAAATAATTGACATGGCATGCGGAGTCTGAGTGCAACTAAGCAGCTTGTGACGTCCAAGAAACCATCGAAAGTCGAGTGGATGTTTCCTAGCATGACTTTGGTGTTTCCAAAAAATCATTCTAACATTACTTGTTACTCTTATTCTGCATTGACTCTGCATCTATCTTCTCTTTTGCATCTCTCTGACAATTGGCGCTCTTGATAAACTCCACACTCTCGTGCCTGCCAGCACGTATCGCATCAATTGCTGCCTCTACACCTGCAGCTGCTTTGAAGGCTTCGAAGTCTTTTGGGCATGACATACCCAAAGGTGGTAACATCTCACGTTAGCCAATCATACTAGGCCCAGGCCTAGTATATATCCACCTTACCTCCCAGTTTAAGGATGTTCAAGGCATTTTAAGATTAAATCAGTCGGAGACTTGTTCCTCCCGTACCTTCAGTGATCCTTTCCTTGGTAAATACATACATACCTGAAATAGACATATCCATATTGTGTGTATATATATATATACTGTGTATATATGCATATATGCGTGTGTGTATATATATATATATACAGTATATGTGTATATATATATATGTATATTGCGAATCGGAGATTGCCTGTCCGATTATGTCCTGGTACTTGGTTTTGAAGTAAGTGCTTCGGTGATGACTTCACTCGGATGGCGGCTTCCGCATGGCAGTTCTTTGTTCTGGTGCTGCAGTGGGTCTTGAGCCAAAGAGGCCAGTTTGATATACCCCTTTGGCATTGGATCCTAGAGTGTCGAATTATATGTGAATGCACAATGGTACGTAGCCTACACTCTATTCGCACCCCCCACGCATAGCCAACTTTGTTGGCTACGCGCAAAGGAGTGTCCTTTAAATTGATCCACTACATTTGCAGCTGTTCATTTATTGAATTATGGAGAGCTAAAGTCCGTTCAGAACTTCAAGTCTACATGGCGGCTTGCTACGATCTCTACCAAAAGATAAAAGGTTCTGTTCACGTGCATGTAGACACAACGTAGTCGGTGTCTAGCATTGAGGTTCATCCGATGTGGCGTAGCCAGCATGGAATCCCACTCAAGCATGTGAATTAAAATCGAAACACAAAGTTGACTATGGAACTAGAAGTTTACCTTCCCGTTCCTTCGTCGGTTGAGATGTAGACCGCTGTAGAAACTCAGCGTCTCGTGCAATGATGTTCCAAAAAAAATGTGTGGTTCTAAATTAGCCGGCTCAGAGTCCTCTCAGAAATCATTCGAAATGAAGTTGAGGTAAGTCTCGAGCAATGATTGCATCCTCGCATCGCCAGGTTCAATCAGGACCTATGCAGAGGTCATATCGATTTATCATCTATATCCCCATCCATAGTATCCCTGTTGGTTCCAGTCTCCACCACGGTGTGAATAAGATCTTCCACCCTTTCCTTGGTCTTTTCCACCCTTCTGTGGCGGTGTCACTGGAGTTTGTTTTGGCGGAGGAGCGGTTTCAACTGTTCTCCATGTTGCTGACGATGACGCTTTCGCTTTTGACACTCTGCCCAGTGCTGGTGCTGCTTTCGGAGCTGCTTTCGATTTGCCAGCGGCCGGGTTAGCGCGTTCGCGATCGGCAGGAGTTGGGGCATCAGCAATCGCAAGTATGTGAGCGTCAGACAAGTGGATGCCCCATCTTGGTCGTTGATCGTCCCGCTGCTTGATGTGGTTGTAGTCATCGATCGCATCATACAGTTTCTGGAGTAGAGGTCGTGGCAATTGTCGGCCATTCTGAAGGATCAGGTGTAAAAGTGATATTCTTCGAAGTGCGGGACGAAGAGCACACACAATGTCAACTGGGTTCAGTGTGATTGTGTCTTGAAAGTCGACGTTCCTGAAGAAATAAACAGCATTCACCCTGTATGCACCTGCAATGATTCTTCTGACCATGACGTCTTGTCGGTCAAGGGCGTCGCGGGCCGCTGTGGTCTTTCTCATCTCATCCATCGTTGTGTCACGTTTCGACAGCTTCTCCATCTCCTCGTCAAAGAAGATATTTTGTAAATCATCATACGTGTAGCCACATTCAAGGGTATATATGAGAAGTCTTTTGAGTACCACTGCCTCATAGTATGCATTGACGAATCCCTCTTCTCCGATGTCGTCCTTTTGATTTGGTCGGCCGATCTCTTTGTAGAGCTCTTTCATCTGTTGTGCAGTTGGTTCAATGAGTTCACCATTCTCATCCTCGCCTAGGTAAGGCACTCTTGAGTCCAGGTCCATCCTGAATTTCTGGTTCTGTTGAAAGTGTTTCCATGCCGTCTCGATGTCTCCACAGAAGTTCCGTTGGAATAGTCTGTAGATCCTGACGATATGTAATCCAATCTGCAACAGGAGGATCTTGATGAGCTCCGGCTGAGCATCTCCAATTGTGCAAGGCTCGATTGGTAGGACCTTTGATCCAAACTCAACCCGCTTCATCCACTTGGGGTACTCAATCACTGCATCACGAGCTTCTCCAGCCTCATACTCTTCAATGTTGATTTCATCGACCGCTATCTCTTCATCGTCATTCTCGTCGGTCGGTTTTCCTTCCTGATTGAGAAATTTGTCGACCTCATCTTGTTCTCTGAAGTCTCTTTTCTCATCATTGATGTCGCCCTTCTTCGAGGCTTGGTCATCATCTCCCTCTTCTGGTTGAGGTCCTTGTTCTGGACTCTTCATGGTGACGTCATCATCATCTGGCATCATCTCGTCGTCATCACCATCACCTGTCAAATCGATCTTCACCTCCTCCCACGCTTTCTTGACATGGTCTTTGAGATCTTCTTCTCGATGATGTGATTCGGCACTTGGTACTGTAGCCACGGTGATCTTGATTCGTTTCCTCCATCCATGACTCACCAAAAATCCTTTGCACATCACACAAATCGATAATGGTGCAGGGGTCTCCATCAGACATGCGGGGCATAGTCGATGGTCCTCCTTGCTGGGATGATGAGTGACTGCTAACAATGATATTGCATCATTCCAATCCGGATGTCCAGGGAACAATCTGTGAGTATGACTGAAGTGACCGGTCTTGATATCGACAAGCTTTCGAAGTTCGTCCAGATCGGGTGAAGATTCATCAGGCACAATGTTCCCAATGAGCTTGTCAAATCGTTCAATGGTGGCCACCCTCTTTGCTCCTTGCACAGAAAGTACAAGTTGATCTCTTCCCTTTGTGATCATGAGACGGTAGTAGTCCTTTTCCCTCCAGTCGTAATACCAAACTGCATCGAATGATTCGAATGGGATTGTTTCTTGGACCAAAATGTGTCCGTCTGCTGACAATCGAGGGGAGAACTTGGCGATGGAATCGTACGTGATGTAGATGTAGACAAGATCAGTTTGTTCAATCTTCCTGAATCTCAGCACCGTCTGACTTCGCGCGTCCCACGGTGCGAATGGCACGAAGAACGTATTGATGCGGTCGCCTCCTCCTCCGGGACGTAGTCCTTCTCTGAAGATTTGAGCGATGTTGTCAAAAGTGGTGCAGTGAAATCCTCCTCCAAGAGTGTATCCTACTCCAGGGTTCATCTGATAGGAAGTCTTCTTGTCTTCGATGTGCACACCGCCTTGAACTCTTGAATGTGCCATAGGGGCACGGATTGCCACCGGCCAAAGCCAAATCTCTCGATCTGCCGTGCCGATCTCCAACCTCAGTGTTTGTCGATCAAGTCTCGAGGTCAATCCATCATTGAAGTTGTTCATGATGTGTTCCAACTCACCTTTTGTGACCTTGAGTCCTAGCACTTGAGCTCGGATTCTTTTCGTTTGCTTGTACTCAGTGAAGATCACTCTCTGGAAATTGTTCCACCTCTCAACAAGTATCGGGTAATTGACGTAGGTCGTTCCAGCCAATGTATGTTGGTCTCTCCAAATGTTGTCGTACTTCAAGATCGACTCGACATTGACCCAACCTGCTTCATCGCATGGTAGTCCACGGTGATTTCGATTGTCTTTGACGCAACCCACGGAGTGGCGTAGCGCTGCATTGAATCTTTTCGACAATTCGACTATCCATTGCGGATTTTCCCACTTGTTGCCCATCCACTCATTCTCGCCATATCGATGTACCTTACACCAGCCCATTCCAAGATATTCTTCTCCATTGATGCGAGCAAGTTGAAGTGTACCAATGTTGTGGCCATGTGTGAATGGTTGGATGTACTTGAAATTCCAGTTGTCTCCACGTTGTTTCCTTTCTTCAATAAGCCATTTCACATATGCATCGTGGTCAATGGGGTTCCAAGCATTCAGCTCTTCAATGGTCGGCAAAACAGGCGGGGATTCCTCAGCCGCACGCTCAATCAGCAAATCAAGCTCATGACGATTCTGCACGCCTCGGCTAATTGGGTTGACTTCGACACCATTCACTAAGTATTGTCCTCCTTCTTCACGATCACCAATGTCGTACATAAAGGCTGACTGACTGTAGAAGCACTTGGTCACTTCTTCTTTCTCAGTGAATCTGGTTCTTCCCCAACGCTTTCCTCGTGGCATGACGTTCTTTGGGAGCTTGTCTTTTCTGCCTCTGGTCGCAGCTTTGGATCTTTCTGATGATGATGGGGATTTGGACTTCTGATCCATGATCAATCTCATGCGCCATAGGGTGTCCTTCATGTTCTCGTCATCTGGTGTGGTACATTCATCAATGTCATGCATCCCACCACAAATGAAACAATTTTGAACACTCGATGCGTCTGCGATCAGCTTCTCAAATCGATCACGGATGTCCCGCACCTCAGTTCGGCGCTTCTTCGCTTCTGAAGGTTGTCCCCCCATATCCTCTTCCTCCTCTTCATTCTCAATGTCACCAGCTCCGGCATCGGTCTCTCCTGAAGTCTGTTCTGTTCGAGGGCCCCGCGCCGTAGGCGTCGTGGTCTCCTCATCAGGTTCGCCAACTTCATCCTCCTCCTCATCGCTTGACGAGACCTCAATCATTTCAGGATGGTCATCGTAGTTGGCTTCCGGGAGCACCGGCATTCTGGTGATCTTCTTCTGCATGAGTAGGTCGAAGATTCCCGCTTCTTTCAGAATCGTTATCACCATGTTGTTCTCGACCGGCGGGATGTATGCTTTCCTGGATCGGTTTCGCTTTGTGTTGATGGTGTCGGTAGGTCGACATGAACTGCTGAATAGCCAAAACGACTCTTCCAGTCCTGCGAGGCAACTGTCAAGGTTTGCCCCCCATCCAGCGAACATAGTAGGGAATTGAATGCCCAGGTCAAGCATTCCAAGCCAGAATTCG